TTAACTACCAGTTGTACCACCTGATCCATAACGAATGAAACTTGGTTGTAGTTAACTGTCTCGCAGCCAAACTTGCAATTATACACAGGATTCACGGCTAATTGCCAATCTCAAGGCTTAAAAAGAGACAAAAAGCCAAATTTGAAGGAGAACACCCAAACTTAAAAGTGGTGTGGGGAGCGAACAGAGGGAAATGACATCGAGGCTATTTAGACAGTTGGAGACCCGATAGAAATTGACAGAGATGATCTCAAGACGCGGAATTGACGGAGTTGAAACATTTAGAGATGAGTGCAATGGGGGCATAAAATCGAAATATTTCTAATAGATTTTTGCAATGGCTATCCAGTTTCTACTAGCCCTGAACAGACAGGGGAAGACGAGGGTGTCGAAATGGTATGTGAATGCTAGCGACGAGGAGAAATGGAAGACGGAATCACAGGTGCACAAGCTGATATGTTCAAGAGACCACAAGAACCAATCGAACTTTGTACAGTTCCAGAGCAGGAAACTGGTATATAAGAGGTATGCCGGGCTGTTTTTCTGTTTCTGCATAGACGTCCAGGATAATGAACTAAGCTACCTCGAAAGCATACGCTTACTGGTAGAGGTATTGGATTCTTATTTCAACAATGTTTGTGAATTGGACCTGGTGTTCAACTTCTACAAAGTGAGCGAAGTGATCGACGAGATGTTTTTGTCTGGAGAGATTGAGGAGACCTCCAAAGATGTGATACTGCAGCGGGTCCAAGAGACGGCCAAGCTGGATTGAGGTTACCGGATTTAACTGGTGTCATGTGTATATCTTCGATTATAAAAAGGCTAGACAAACACAAAAGTATATGTGTGGGAAAAAGAAGAACAAATGGAAAACTCAGTGGCACAACTCAAGGCAAGAAGAGCTTCGCCGTGAAAAGGACCTCTTCTTTCCACCAGAAAGCATATATACCCTAGTTTATCTCCTTCTCTCTCCATGGTGACAAGAACAATCCAACAATACTGATAAAGAATAGACAGAATCCATAGCGAAACGTATCCAAACACAACTCACTCGTTTTATACAGGCTTGAGGCGCTGATGATGCACAAAGGATGATCAGCAAACCACCAGTTTATCGTGTTTAAATTGAAGTTTCGTTTTTAATTATTTCTTTAGGAGTGCAGCTTAGTTCTTTGGGGCTTCCTTGAAAGAGATGGCGGCCTCCTCACCCATGGCGGAGATGATGGTGACGAGCAAGTCCTTACCTTCGTCAAACTCGGATTGGATCTTCTCTCCCAACTCTCCCTCTGGGGCACGGACATCGTCCTTGGTCTCACCGTCTTGGGTCATCAAGTTCAAGTATCCGTCATCGATGTCCAACAATTGGAACTCGGTTCTGCTAACGAAAGGAACCTCCATGTTGTGGGTGGATGGCGAAAGATCCTCCAACTTCTTGTTGGTGAAGATGTCAATGGCAACCAAGTGGACCTTGGCGTGACCGTGCTTACCAGTCTTGGAGGTAGACATGTCAACGATCTTGCACGGTCTACCCTTGATAACGACGAAACCGTTCTTTCTCAAGGCAGAACATTGTTGTGGGTAAGTGGTGGATGAACCGGCATCGGCTTGCTCAAAGTGGTGCTAGAGAAGTTAGTAACAGGTACTTGAAGTCGGTTTTGCAACATCATCGAGAGAACGGCGCCAGGAGCGAAGTTGTGGCAGATCACCAGCTGAAAAATTTCAAAATTTCAACACAAGACTTCATCTCCACAACAAGGCCGTCAGAAGCTGGAAAATTGAACCCCAAAAAGACACTACAAATCTCTTGTTTCTCAAACAAAAACTGGCGAAAACTGCTGGGAAGCACACCGAGCGTTTATTTCGCCATTAGGGTCTCGATGAGACTTTGGTCTTTGGTCATCCTCTTCTGTGGCTCAAACTCGCTGTCGTCTTTCCTCAAAGCATGGAAAAAATAGCTGGACACATACATCTTCTTCAGCAGACATGTTGGATGATTCAAGTTAAATTGATACGGGAAAAGTAGCGAATCAATAAGAGGTGTTGGGAACCAAGAATTTCAAGGGAGAGAGAAAAGAAGCAAAATTGTTATGTCGAAATTTCTCCAAAAAAATTCGCACACTTCACACGACCTTTGTGTTTTTTTGCTTGTGTTAGAGTTAATGCCAGTCCGCACGCGTACATCTGGGTCCCAACCAGGGTTACCCTTAACAGCCGCAGGCATCTACAACAACTCCGAGATAGTAGCAGATGATGGTAATTATATAGCGTTATTGGGATATGACGATGAAGCAAAGACAGCAAGGATATTTACGCGCGTAAGCCTCCCAACGCCTGGAGATCCTCGTCTATCTCATCCTGCCCTAGTCCTGCCGGAGCAGTGTATTTGCGCATTACCCTGGCCATTTGAGCCGCTTCTGGCTTACCGAACAAGGGTTGTTGCTTCTCCAACTCTCCTCGTGGAGATCTTGGGGTTGTGGTTGAAGGTTCCGATGCGTCGGAATCGGAATTCTGGGTTATGACGTTTAACATGCCCAGATTTGCTCTGCTTGCACGAGTGTGCCTCGCAGAAGTGCTGGTGAAACTCATCGGAGTCGAATGAACCTTCTCTGTGGCTTTGAAATCGGCAATTGCGTCTTGAATCGAATCCAGACCCATACTTGCACTATAGTGATTCACAAGTCTGTTGTAAGTTTTTGCATCTTCCGCAACCAACTGCTGGAACTCCTCGTCAGTCACCATGGATGAGTACTCGTCCAACGGCTGGCTGGCTACTTTGAAAAACTTAACCTTCCGCTTGGACATTTCGTCTTCTTCAGAAGTTGACTGCTCTGAGCCTGAATTCTGCACTGAATTGGAGGGGGAAGTGATAGTACCTTCTCTGGTCACGATTGGCTGGTCTACCTCGAGCTTCAAAATACCGCCATCACTAGAGCTCTTGAACACTTTCCAAGGCTTCTCGCTCTTCGCAAGGGATATGTCTAATGAAGTCTCTTTTCCCTGAAGAAGATGTTTCTGCATCGTGAGGAAGTTTTTCAGCTTCACGAGTCTGGTCACCGAAGACTCGCACGTTTGTCTGTAGGACTCAAGAGCGTTGCTATAGTATTCCTTGGTGGCCTGATTTCTCCTGTATCTGATCGAATACTCCAGTCTGAGAAGCTCGTAATCGCGGGCCTCTGCTAAGTCTTTGGCGATTTCCGCAAACTCGGGATTGTCCTCGGGATATCTGCTGCACAAGGTTGACAATTTATCATCAAGTTTGAGTATCTGACTGGTGTAGTACTCTTCTCTATGGGTTCTTGTCAGGCCGTTCAGGAAATCCATCCGCGAGTTGACAGCAGCCAGCAGTCTTCTTGTATTAGCGCCAAAAGGAGCCGGTTTTGAAGCCCTTCTCTTCTTTATGGGGATCCGTGGCGGAACATTAGACTCAGGCTCATATAGTTTGTTCAACATATCTACAGCCTCTTCTTTCGTATATTTCGTAGAATCCGATTCCTGGCCCTTTGATTTTTGTTCAGCCTCTTCAGTCGCCAAAATCTGGCACAAAATGCCGGGGGCCTCTTTCTCGTGCAATCCAGACTCTCCCATGAATCCACCATAGCGAAGGAGGATCTCATCTGGAAGCGGCACGGTATGCCGAGCGCGTTGTATCTGAATAATCACGGGAAACCGCAATTGTGGCACTCGTTTTGCCTTCGTAATCTTAAGGTCATTGAACATGATGGCCCCATCGTCTTGCCTTATCACGGCTTTGAGATAGTTGCGATACGCAGCCAGGATGGACTCACTAAACGTGGTGTGCGGGTCCAACCATACCAGGCCCTCCGAGTCGGGCGCAAACTCGTGTTTGAACATAACTGGATCTGTACTCCTATTGGTCATTGAGTCAATTCCCATATTCAGTAGCGAGAGGTTATCCTGTTCAAGTGGATTGACCATCTCCTGTTCCTCTACGGTTTCGCTTTTCTCAGGATTAGGAGCTGCAGTCTCCACCACCGGCACCGACGGTGCCGAAAATCCCATCTTCTGTACTTGTGGGACTCGACGAGCATCTGGAACAATAGGCAGCTCAGTCACGTTCAAAACATAATCGCGCGGACCTCTTCTCTTCTTGATTACCTTATCAACCTTAATGGGTGTATCACCATGCCACGAATAAACCTCATCAGAACTCTTCGAGCTCCTTGACATGGCTATATTCTTCTCAACCTTGAGATTCTTCTTCAGTAACTGCAATGATTGGTCGTTCAAAAAAAATACCGGCCAGTAGAATTTACTATTCACAGTTTGGCCTGTAGCCCCTCTTAGAATTCACTATTTTGGAAGGGTTGTTCTGGAGAAGCGGATACCCAACACAAAAAAAAAACAATTCGGGTTTGTGAAAATTACTGGAGTAATTCCTATTCCAAAACACAAATTAAATGAAAATTAACCTGGGGTTATAGCAGTGTGAAGGAAGAACCTAACAAAGCTGTCCATCTGCTGGCAAATATTACAGAGATGGTCTCGATTGATGCACCACGGGCATTACATTTCGCATTCGGCTTTTCAGGTGGGAAAACAGGGAAAAGGCGGACTGAGGGCTCAAATGGAATTTTTTTGAGTATTCACTATCGTTTTCAACAGTTATTGCCGAATTTTACAATTTTTATTAATGTTCCAGGGTTTTGGAACATATACTGCCTCATTATTAGTTCTTGACGCTTCGCTGAAGGCGGCTTCAGCATACAGCAGAGCCAAAGAACGTAATGGCGCTCAACAGCCTTGGGATTATTTGTTGTCGAAAACAAACGGTGAGATGTATTCGCCTTTAATATATTTCTGACATTCATTTTTTATATACTTGCGTTCAACGAAAACTGAAGAAACTCCACTACTAAAAACCAGGAAATCCGGGTTTTATGCAGGTCTTCATGCACATTGACAGCGAACGGGATTTTGGAAACTGCTAGTTTCAGTTTGTGAAAGTCATTGGCAACAAGTCAGTATGCTTGGATAAACATTATAGATAATAGTACTGAGTGATTAGAATCGTTTCACGGCAAAAAACCTTCAACTCTGGTGTTGTGAATATCCACATTGTGTTTCTTGAGCTTTTACTGAAAAAATGATGGTTCCCTTCGAATATGGGACTTCTCCTGATTGAACGATTCCTTAGTGTGGAGGACAAAAAATTGTTCTTCAAGTCTTCTCATAGTAAAAGATATAACAAGCTTTGAGATAAGATTTCAAACAGTAATAGACATACTTGGCATGGAGAGACAATGAAGGTGAGTAAAATCGAGATTTTGCTGTGAGAGTTTTATGTCAGCTTACTAATTCTTTTCCATAGATCGAAGTGGAAAGAGACAAGTTTTTGTCTAACCTTGAAGTATACCACCATCTGTGCGGTGTACAGGTGAAAAACAGCTGGCTATCGGACTCAAAGGGCACAAAAAGGCGGAAAAACACTAACCTGGCTCAGCTAGAGTCGATATCACGAGACTTGACCTCGTATCTCGGAAAAGTAGGTAGCTGTCCGTCAGACCACGAGAGACTACAAAAGAACTATGCGTGGGACTCGGACTCGTTCGTTGAAGCGTTGAAAAGGTTGAACCAGTATCCCTTGGAGAAGATTGAGAAGTTACAGATTTTGAACTTTGTGCCTCGGACGATGGTCACGTTGTACTCTCTTATCGAGGAGTGTGATCAGAGATTTGACCAGGCACAGAGCGAGGAGATTCTGGGGATTGTGAACGATTGTTTCCCAATGGAAGCGGTGGAGGGCGAAGATGAGGAGCAACAGGATATTACTATGGACTGAGAAAGAGAGGCTCAGAAGTGCTTGCGTACAGGGTCTTAGTGACGGGTTCTAGTCATTATCCATACCCAACAACCATCATGAAGAGCTTTTCCGGCAAGCTCAAGACCCCATTTGACTATACATTGCGTCTCTACAATCGCTTTAGCGGAGTATTTTGATTTCTTGTACAATAATTTTAGTTATTTTTCAGACCTGGTAGTCTCAGCAGCCTCTGGCTTGATGCCATATTCAGGCACCTTTTCATTTTTAATCGCAGATATCAGATCCGTCCAATCTGACAGCAGCTTTTCACATCTCTTATGAAACTGGAAGTCTTCTGGTCGTTCGAGTTTGGGGATCTTGATGATAGCCTTCAATACCTTGTGCAGTTTGGAGGTCTTGAGCAATTCCAGAGATACGCCTATGGTGGCCTGAAATTCTTCGAGATGAGACAGCACACTCGAACAGTGTTGGAGCTCCTCAATTGAAGGCTGTGTTTCACGGATCACCAATCCCTTTTGGAGCTTTGCACGGTACGATTTAGCCAGAGTTTCCTTCTCGGCATCGGTATAGGATCGTTTGGGTTGAGGCGTAGAAGACTTGCTAGACTTATTAGAATCTGTTTTTTTCTTTCTGGGCGAATTGGATGCAACGATCTGAGGTTCTTGTTTTGGCTTCGCTTTCGAAGACTCTTCAGCATCAATATTCAGACTTCCAATTATTTCGTCCAACGAAGGGTTTTCGAGTGCGATTTCGTAAGCCATCACCAACCGCTTGGCTTTCTTCCCACTCGACTTTTTCAAGAACGAATGGCACATTTCGGTCGTTAACGGACTCAACGTACGCTCCGAGTCCCAGTTGAAGGTGGCCTCAGCAAAGTAGCACACTGGCCACGTTCTGCCCTTCTTGGGCTTTGACTTCAGCACCTCAGGAGGTAGCGCATCTTCCGGAAACACGATAGCCGGCCAGGGCGGGAAACTTCCCAGTTTCGAAAGCACGATATCACCGGGGTTGTAAGGGGCCATCAAATCGCGTGTGTTGTAGAATGATTGAGCTGGCAAATGATCAGGTGAACGACGCGATTATACCAACTATGAATGGAAACCCGAGGAATCAATTAAAGGATCAGTTCAAAATGCAACACGACAGCTGAATATGTTTAATCTCACGGAATACCGGGAGGCGGTGTTGGAGTTTCAGGAGCAACCGGGATGCCTAGCGTGCTCCGTTTGAGGTGCCTTCTGTTTTTCTATTGGTGATGATGGGAAGCCATCGACTCGGGCTCAGCTGGAGATTGAACCGAGCCGTCTGGACAAATTTGTTACGGGTTGAAGTTTTAAAATAGGCTAAATTTATCAAGTCATCTACAAATATCGTCTACAATTTTCAAGTTTTGCGGGAAACGTTGCTGTCCTCTTGTGGTCCATTCTTCAAATCTACATTTAGCTCTTATCTTGAACATAACCCAAAGAGTCACGTGATGATCTCATCCCAAGGTCGTGCCCCAATAGACACATAGCTGACAATCTCATGTTCAAATTGCGCCCCCCCCCTTGATCTCAAGAGCATCTCCAGCCGTGCTTCTTGGGCCCCCCTCTTTTTGCGTTTTTTTTACGGTCTTGGAGCTTTTCGGTCGACAAACTCGATCTCCAGCTTGTGCCAGCAAGTTCTTGGAGCATTTTTTTGCGTTTAGCCTGATCACTGTTGAGATCCGTCGCTGGCTACCAAACCATTCCCCAAGATGGTGTCTTCCAGCACAACCTCGATTCAGACGGGGCTACCGCAGCCCACGAGTACTGGTTCAAATCCGGACGGGTTCATTGGAAATAAGCCCTCGACCGTGCTGTTTTTTGTTGCCCTGTGTATAGGTGTTTGCATTGCCGTGCTATTCATGTTTTTCACAATGAGGTACTTTGTGAGGTCCAGGTTCGGAATGTATGTTCCGGTCTCGGCGTACAATTTGGGCAATAGGACAGGGCCTGTGTTTGCTTCGGGTCGTAATGCTTTTGCTTTTTTCACGCCTGTGCAAGATTTGCATTTCGGAGATGTGACTTATATTCCTCAGAACGCCGCAGAGAGCAACGCATATGCATTTTTGATTAACAACGGGAGGCGATTCCGCAAGAAATTTCGGCTAACGAAACAGCAAGTGGATGATCTGTTTCCTGTGAAAACATACCATGAATGGGTAAATGGAGGCCAGGAAGAGGATGCGGCCAATAGGAAGCAGAACGTGATCGTTTGTGAAGAAGCTGAAGTCCCTGATACTGCTCCGGTGGAGATCACCGGTGCTTCGGAACACACGGAAACAACACCATCTTCTAGTGCAGAAGGTCATTCGCATGAGGCCGAAGTTGAGCTTGAAGAGATCGATCTCACGGAGGCTTCTGTAGCTAAGAAAGGTGCTGAGCCTCCTCGCGAGCAACAGGCCCATTTCACTTCCGGAATATGTGCCATCTGCATTGACACCTTGGAGGACGACGACCAGGTGAGAGGCCTCATTTGCGGACATGTTTACCATTCCGAGTGTATAGATCCATGGCTCATCAACCGCAGGGCCTCGTGTCCGATGTGCAAGCGCGATTACTATATTCACGACGAAAACGAGGCTGATGTACCGAATGACAGTGATTCACTTCAAAATATCTATTTCCCCAGGACGACCTCGTACAGGGCTCAGAACTTGCTCGCTGCGCTTCAGAGCTTAAGGACACCAGATGCACCTACTGCGTCTGCGGAAAATACCCCTCAAGAGAACGAACAGGGTGATGAAATGGTTGATCTGGCTGACGCTGGTGGGCAAACGGGAAGTGGAAATGGTGGTACAACTAATACGGGCCCTTCATCCGGTGCGTCTCCTCGCTCACATCCCTTCAACCCGGCAGACATTGTCGATCTCGATGTGGAAGCCCAGCGGAGAGTAGAGGAGAAGTCCAAGTGGTACCATTGGATATTCTGGCGGTTGATGGGTATCACGCCGGTTGATCTGTTCAATCATTACGTCGTTGATGTGTACGAACGCAGACGCTACGAACGGAGGTCCAACCAAGCGAGAAACGCGAATCATGAGGCTGGGGGATCGCACGAACAGAATGATGTCACGATGCATGATCTAAGAGAGTCTTTTGTTCATTCATTGGTTTAAAACGGCCTCGTTAATGTCACTTTTATGTCTTACTCTTCTTATCTATACCGGACCCGCTACTAATCTTTAACGACTAATTTTGAAGTTTTTTTTTCTTTTTTGAATACTTACGCGTATAAAGATTGGACAGGAACACGAGCTAGGGCTATACAGAGGGATTTAAAAAACGGGCCTCTCTGTTCAGCTCTCTGGCGACTTCGGGTTTTTACACTAAGCGAAGCCCTCACTATGTGCTTGATTGGATCATTTCTTCTTACCGACAACGTCCCAACCACTAGTTTCAGACACCTGGAGTCCAGACACAGACTCGGTAATCTCAGCAACAGAGTCCTTCTCCGACTTCTCGGACTTCTCCGGGCTCTCTTCATCTTCGTCAACAGCCAAGACTGCAAAGGCAGATTTCCTTGGGCCGTCTTCCGATTTGGCAACTGGCTTCACAGCAGGTGCCTCAGCAGGTGCCTCGGCAGAGCCTCTGGTCCACTTAGCCTCGGGCCTGGTCTCAGTCTTGGAGTCTTTTCTCTTGAACTCTCTTCTTTTCTCACGTGGTGGAGCTTGACCTCTAACACCCCAGTCCAACTGAGGCTCGTCGCGCTTTGGCCTCTCGGCCCTTTCTGGTCTCTCAGATCTGTCGAATCTCTCCGATCTTTGTCTGGTGGCAGCTGGAGGCTTCTGGCCTCTGACATTCCATTCTGGCTCTGGGACGTCTGCCCTTGGCTCTCTTGGTTCCCTGGGTTCTCTTGGCTCTCTAGGTGCTCTGTTTCTAGAGGCTGGAGGAGCCTGTCCCCTCACGTTCCACTCTGGTTCAGGTAGTTCGTCTCTTGGTTCCCTTGGTTCTCTGGGTGCTCTGGGGGTAAATTGACGTTCACGAGCTGGAGGAGCCTGTCCTCTGATGTTCCAATCAGGTTCAGGCAAGTCCTCTCTTGGTTCTCTAGGTTCTCTAGGTTCTCTTGGAGTGAATTGACGCTCGCGAGCAGGAGGAGCTTGACCTCTGATATTCCAGTCTGGCTCTGGTAGATCCTCTCTGGGCTCTCTTGGCTCTCTTGGTTCCCTTGGAGTGAACTGGCGTTCACGGGCAGGAGGAGCTTGCCCTCTGATGTTCCAATCAGGTTCAGGTAGGTCTTCTCTTGGCTCTCTTGGCTCTCTCTGTTCTCTCATCATACCGCCTCTTCTAGGTGGGAGATCCTCGCCACGGGCAGATCCCTTGGCTGCACCCCAGTCAAAGTTCTGCTCCTCGTCTCTTGGACCACGACCAAATCTCTCGTCCTCTGGAGCAGCAACGGAAACATACACTCTTCTGCCCATGAAAGATTCACCGGAAAGGCCCAAGGCCCTCTCCAGAAGGTCTCTGGAGTTGAATGTAATGAACCCAAAGTTTCTCAGTTTGCCTGGGTTCTGTGGATCGGTTGGAAAATTCAGTCTTTCAAACTGCTCTTCGGGATGCTCTAGCTGCAAAGCATCGATGAACCACTCAGCAACGTCCTGTTCAGTACCTTCCCAAGGCAAGTTGTTCAGTCTGGCTCTGTATGGGGGTTGGTCTGGAATGGGGTACTCTTTGCGTTCAGGTCTGGAATCATCAAATGGGCGACTGGACGCGTGGGAAGAAGAAAATGGGGTATATGTCGAGGACGACGCAGAGGCTGCTCCTCTGGCGGGAATCGAAAGCGTTCCTACGTCAACTTCGTCATCTGCCCAGGATCCAAAGGTCTCGTCCGAAAGGAACGAGCCCAGATCCATCTTTTGACCTTTCTTTGGAGGTGCTAGTTGGCGCGGTTAGTATACATGTCGAGGCTCGTGGAGAGTTCACCACGAATCAAAGGTTGTGTAAAAGGTTTCGGAGGAATATTAACCCGCAAGTCCACCACACCAGATAACATACCCATTTTGTCGAATTGAAAGATTTGCACTAATTCGAGAACTTGTTTAGGAGTGGTTGAAAGATTCAAAGTCTTGTTTGAAGAGCTCCGATCGAAAATTTTCGAGGTGTCACAGAAAAACTGGCTTATGTAAGGTATGATGTAATCAAAGTCACGGAGTCCTCCGTTTTCGCCAGCCAGGCTAGAAATATCGTTGTTGAATTTATTTTTGCCTAATAGAGTCTCGAAATTTAACTTTTAAAAAGTTTATTTGTCCTTAAATATTATCTGGAACGATATTGTGACCCCTTTGGCTCGAAGCCGCATCGTAGCCGTGCTAAGCAAGGGCCGATTTGGAGATCCACTATAGCAATTCACAACAATAGCTAAACCCCCCGGATATTTGGTGATTTTACATACGACCAGAGTGTGGAAATTCTGTGAAACTTTCATCAAATTGCTGTGAGACCATCGTGAAAGTCTTTTACCCCCTCTTTTACGGTCAGATTGTGACTGCTTTTGCTAATTGAAGGTGTTCTAACCTGAGCCAACCCCATCTCCCATACACAGAGGCCACGATTGCCTCTTTCTTCGCTAAATTATCCGCTCGTGATTTTTTTTTCAATCTGATGATATAGTCCAGAAATTTTTATTGCTCTTATGAATTATATATGGAACCAGCAGGCCACTGTTGTGCTGTTGGCATTGGTCATATGGCACTACGGTACGAAGCTGCTTCTGCGGCTGTTGTTGGGGTTGAGATACTCCTACATTAACCCGTTCACGTTGAAAATTCGCAATGCTGAGTTGTGGCTGGCAGGACAGACGGTTTCTGCTAAGAAACTGCAACTGCAAATCAATTTGTTCTCGAGGAGTAAGAAGTTGATTACCCTGAGGGCTACTGAGGTAAGCATTCAGCTCGTTAAAGCAAGGACTGGTGGAGAAACCCTCCCAAAAGACAGCCAGCGAGACAAAAATGTGGATATTGAGGCTTTTCTGAAGGACCTGGATTTTGAATACGATAAGCCCTTGAAGATTTTTCCTGACCATGCAAAGCTACGATTTCTGACTACATTGATGACAAGATATCTACCGTCTACAGAGATCATTGTTCAAGACGTGACCATTGGGTTTAAAGAGTGCGAAGACATTGCGTTTTATATTGGATCTGTTGGTTTTGTTACAGATGCTGTAACTGAGTCTGACAAGAGATCTGTGTCGGTATTCTCTGGTATGATCAAGGGAGCACAGACCAAGTTCCTTTTCAGCTATGCCACGATCAAGTCCGTCACGTTCACAGACGGAATACGACATTTTCCTCTGGTGGACATGTTGAGCCTGAATTTGGGGATTGTCATTGATCTGGGCGAGTCTTCTGTGTATTCTTTGCGCTCCACCTTAAAAGCCACTGGTGTGAACATGCCTGTTTTCCCTCTTATGTGGGTTCAAAAAACACTATCGTCGCGAACGAAGCCTGATGGTGTTCCTGGCAACGATGAGACGAAGGAGATTTCACAAAAAGACGCTCTCAAGTTTCTGTATGTCGCAAATAGTTGCTTGAAGATGCTGGAAGAGGTGGATGTTTCCATCGATAGGGTCTCTGTGGATCACATTCCCATTTTATCTTCCTCAGAGATTACAAACGCACTTTCCTCAAAGCAACTCTACTCTAATGTGGACACAATTTTTGCCTCGGTTGGGCTCAAGAGCTTTTCGCTGAACTTCTCCAAGCTCCGATTCAATAATGCTGGGTTCGATCTCCACTTCGATAAGCTTGATAAACCGGTACAGTTGCTGGTATCTCTTTCCAGTGCCAGGGTTTTGTTGGACCTATCCCATTGTTCAAAGGCTACGAAAGGACAGCCTTGTACAGTCGAGACCTTTACTGTTCCCAGCATGAACTGCTCCATCAACTCCAACGTTCTCTTCCAAGGACTCAAGGCGTTGTCAAATGGGAAATCTTCTCGTGCAATTCTATCCGTGGATTGTACTCTGTGGAATCCTATTATGGATATTTCAGCCGTTCATCTGGGGCTTTTGATCTCCAAGTTCAAGGAGATATCATATCTGAATGATATGGAACAATCTCCAATACCTTCAAAATCACGCGGCGAACATGGTGTGAAACTTGAAACGTTGATGCTGGCATATTCGAGATTGTTTACATTGGCCCCTCCATCGTTCGCTATAAGATTTTCGGTCGAGAAACCAACTTTCATCCTGAAGCATGTTGATGAGACTTCAAATAGCATATATATGCTGGTAATTCGTCCGTCGATGTTGGGTGCAGTGGTTCACTCGTCAACTGAAAGAGACGAAGACGACTCTTATGGACTTGAAGTTCGGTGTATCGCTTCTCAGCTCGACGTCACCTTCTCTAAGAAACGGTATGATTGGGTACAAGAATCAGCGGGTCTTCCTGAGAAAGCCGCCGTGAAGAAAATTGCAAGCTTCAGAGACGTCAAGTTCAATGGCCAATGTGATATCAAGCCAGAACTGGAATGTTCTCTCAGAGGAGACTTTGAACGCTTTTTTGTGGATCTTTCTGAACTCGAGACTTTGGACGGTATTGCAAAAATCTTGGACAGTGTCAGCAGCAACATAGATTCCCCAAGGTCAGGGTTGAAGAAACATTCCAGGAGCATAAACTTTGATCAGATTAAAGAGATGCTGTTCAGAGATTTGCCGAAATGGGTGAAGAAGTTTGAACTTCATGGCCGCGAATTTGAGGCCAAACTGGGATCTAGGTCGGTTTTGTTACCTGCCTCTCTTGTCACCCAGGTGAACATCCCAGGAGGAGGTGATCGAGTAGGTGGTTCGTTCAGAAAAGTACACGGCAATGTTGGATCCTGGGATGTGGTTTTGAAAGGGACACCCTCTGATCCTTCAACAGCAGATTCGGATTCGCTTACAAGCTCTGCCGATAGTTCACAGCATGATTCATTCCTGGACTTTTGGCGTTTCAATGTGGGTATTCACAACGTCGTTGCTGATACTATGATAGAGAGAGCTCCTAAAGATGACCAAACTTTAGATGAGATGAAACTCAAGAAAAAGGTCTTTTTGCGTTTTCCTGAGCTGTTGTTGGTGGTCCGGGGAGCTTTGGATCTCACAACTAAGAGGAACGAGATTCTGGTAGACATTGTGTCGACCAATCTGGTTTTGGACTACAGTCTTGCAACCCATTTCATCATAATGTCGTCCATTCATCTACTCAAGAACACAATTATCAAGACAAAGGGGTCAAATGAATCCAAGAACATGCATAGCACCGCTAAGAATGACATCATGCTTAATCTCAAGCAGGCTTGGAGCATGATTAGAGCTCGTTTCTCCAACAACCAGACTTTCATAACTCTAGGACTCCCTGGTGACTTCAGCATGAAGCTTGACTTTGCGTCTTCCGATCTCGTTATGGAACCCGATTCACCTGTGGTGTTTACTAATCAGTCCGCGAGAATGCATGTTCAATCCCCTACAATGCAGGGATACTGGTCCCGGTTCTTGACATTCCAGTCCAATGAATTGCTGTTCCATTTGGACAAACTTATAAAGGGTGAAATCAACTTCCAGGGAGAAATGGTGAACAATGTGGTCGAGCTTATGAATTCAGGCTCGGTGATGACAATCCCCAACGAGTTTGTCATTCACAAATTGTTTGACTCGCTGGGAACTTCAGTTAAGGTGCTTAAACAGATCCACTACAGTTTGAAGACAAATTCAAACGAGTCTTGTATGAGTGCAAAAGTGATGAAGCCTATTGCGTTGCCCAGGATGAGGTTGAAGACCAGACGGTTTGCATTTGGTATGGTGGATGATCCATTTGAAGTGGAACTGGGCATGATTTACCAACTGGGATTACTGGAACAGCGTGATAGATTAGCGAAGATTGCTGAGTTCAACGAAAAGGTCAAGGAACTGATGAAGGAAGATACCCCAAGTCCACTATTCGAAAGTCTGACCCGTCTTGATGAGAGAGTTGCTACCGACACAATTGCCCATGTTAAGCGAAAGAGCTCCCGGAAGGATTTGATTAGTCCTTTGAGCAGACATGACCGGCCTCATACATCTGCTACATTTCCAAGAAGTCCTCGTGTACGGTCTCAATCTCGTGGTGGAGCTCAAAGGCTGATTGATGAGCTCGATCATAAGATGTATGTCTTGAGAAAGAACTTTCAGAAGTCCTGGCTGAGATTGGTCCAGGACTTCAGGATAAAGAGAGAGCTTTATGCTAGGGAAAATGGCAAAACTCTCTGGAATCTTGTACATGATCATACAGCGTCACCAGAGTTCAACAGCCACGTCCTGGCCATGCCTGATAACCCTCATCTTTTATCGGTGATAATTGAGGGAGCAGAGATGATTATCAAACAGCCCACTTTTCCCTTGGAGAAACTTCCAGATTTCATATACGAAGAAGGAAAGGGTGTTCCGAGAGAAACAGAGTACAGTTTGCTGTTGCCCGTTTCGTTGGAAGCAAAGGCCAGAGAGGTTAGGGCACATATCAGAGACTATCCTCTCCCTCTGTTATACATGCCACCACCATCTCAGCCCAAAGAACCAGCTATACTGTTGCGAGGAAACTTTGTCGTAACGGAACAGTTCTACGACGATCCTTCAAATGTTCGACATGTGCATGTTCCACTTGTTCCGGGATCACCCCATGGAAGCAAGTTCTTTTCTCTTGATGTTCCGCGGACCGTTGCTTCTGTCAAGATCATTGCAAATGCCAGTGTTGATGTGCTCACAGACCAGCCCACGACATTTACCTGGGGTGTTTCATACACTCCTGCCATCCAGCAGATGATGATGAACTTCGATGCCTTCTCTAAACCGCAGCTGGATCCCTCGGAGAAAATAGGTGTTTGGGATAAGGTAAGGTCGATTATGCATGGACACGCTGTTTTACGCTGGACAAACGAGAATGAGGTCCGTGTGAATCTGAAGGGCTCAAGTGATCCATACGAAGTTCTTGGAGGTGCCGCAGGTTTTGTGCTGAGTTTCAGGAAAAAGGTTTCAATTGAAGTTAACAAAACTGGGCATTCAAGGGACTTCTTGGTGGTGGATGCCAAAGAAGTATTATGGGCTATTCCCAACCTTGTATCTCAAGCCTTACCGGTATGGTCCAACAGGAGCTCGAAATCTGTTTTCTTGCCGAACTCAGACACTTTCTTTGCTTCCTCTTACGGTTACTTCTTAGATGACACTCAGAATCAGAGTTATCCGGAAAATGCAAGGGACGTCATGAAAAATGACTACTATGCCAAAGTTAACTTGAAGCTATACGGCCAGATACGGTTTAAATTGGGATTTCTATTCGAAAGAAAGTCGCCTGATGGTGGTAGGTCTTCAGACTTCATTCCACACTATAAAGTCAAGTTAACCAACGCGGAATATGTGAAGGGCTTGGACCATTACGATGCGTACGACGGGTTCAGAAGCGAGTACATCCACATGGCATTTTCTCTGATCGCACCCCGGTCCGTCAAGGGCGAAGATGATACCACAGAATCCTCCAACAGCATTCATCTGTCACCTAATACATTCAACGCTTTCTTTAGTTGGTGGAACATGTTTGGCGGAGATGTCGGTCTGCCCATCAGAAATGGCACTCTCTTTGGTCCTAAAGAAGCAACCAAAAAGTTTGGTGCGCATCTTTTCACCATCAAGTTTCAGTTTTTGCTGGAGCCTCTGTTTCTATTCCACGGTTACCGTGGTGACTTGTCGGAGCCTGCTACAGAGGGAATTGTTGATATGGTGGGCCTTAAGGCAAAGATTGACAGTTTCTCTGTAGATCTGCATCAGAGGAAGGAGGTTATGGTGAAACGAAACAACGAGCTCAACACCTCGCAGCAAATCATGAAAATGAAGATGTATCTTGGTGAAATACTGCTCACCGACGTGGATATTCGTGCTGTGGAGGCTTTATTTAAGCTGGACTTGGATACAAGTGGCCACGGCGAGCACGTATTGCGAGTCTTTGATGATGATGAATCCTGGTTCGATATTCAGGACACAGAGGAGGAAGGCCTCACTTCGGTGAAAGGTATGACTTCTTCTGCAAGGATCTTGCCATTTTTATTTGCTCCGATGATCTCTTACAAGCGAGATACCGACCATGGAAAGACTGGCAACGAGAGTGACCCACAATTCAAGCCATTTGGAGATGAACCTTCACACGACTGTACGCTAGGAAAAAACTCTCATGATAGGCCACACGATGAAACTTGGGTATCGTCTGATCCGGTGATTGTGAAAAACATAGAAGAGGAAGAAGAAAACCTAATTTCCAGAATGAACCACAAACTAGAGAATGCGGACCAACTCTACAACGAGGTTGTGAGTGATGCGAGCTCTACAGTTGAGCAGAAAGCGTCAGAAGCTGTTTTCAACAATGTTTTTGCTCTAAATCATATTTTGTTGAAGTGGAACTGCAATGTGCGTAATCTGGTGTTCAAGTACTTTCACAACCAAGGTGTGAGAAGAGCATATAGGAAGTACGGAAAATATCAGGTGTTCAAGGTTGCAGAGGAGGCTATCGATGCCACTTTGCGGAGCAGTGCTGGGACTGAAACTGAGGAATCCGACGATTCTTTCAAGTATACCGTTGATGAGACAACGTGCACCGAAAGGGTGGCCAACTTCGAAGAAGACTTGCGGAAATTTGCAGAGGGTTTCGGCTTTACTCCGAAGAACGATTACTCCATCAGCTTGGTGGAGCCGCAGATCCAACTTTTCACAACAGAAGACTCGGATTCATGCGCTTTGGTTACTTCTCCCAGAATTGATCTGAACATTGTTTCAATAATCAAGCAATTGAAAGACACAGAGGGAAAGATTGTCGAAACTGTGGAAGATGAAACCATTCAGACAAGATTTGGATCATTTCTCAAAGATGCCAATGTATTTGTGTTGTATAAAGATGACGTTGAGATGATATCATCCTATTCCTTACCTTCCTATGGCTCCAAATCGAATTGGCCGCCTTGGCTCTCTCACGAGGTTCCTCCCGACTTTCTTGAAAGCCACATGTTGCTAGAGAAAACATCTATGGTTATCAGGTACGATAAGGTGGACGTACTGGGATTATCCAGTCGGATAGGCGAGAAAGACAGAATTATAGTCGATGTTCCAAAAGTGGCTGCCTCTTGTGATTCTAAGCAGTACTTTGCGTTCTTCGTTCTCGTGGTCGACCTGTTGATCTATTCGGAGCCTTCATCGCAACGACTGAACGAGCAACTGCAAAAGCTGCTATTGTCGACGGATCTCTCTGACTTGGAGGGTGTAAGGACCCAGATCAGAAAGTTGCAGAACGAGTTCGCTGCTCTTCGTGTCATCTCCAAGAACTTTGACTACAGGAGAAGCATTCTTTCCGAGGAGGAATTCGATCTGGCTACTGAGATCAGAAAAAGAAAGGCCGTTGTTTCGCGTGAGCTCTTTCTTTTGGTGAATCTGGTAACAACGGGTGCTTCCAAAGAGTCGGGAGTAGAGTGGACTATCAGGGCAGATGAGATTGGAGTGAGCATGTTGGAGAGCAACCGCAAGGCTTTTATTGACCTTTCCGTCAAAAAGGGCACCTTCAGAAGGATTGAACAATCTGGCGGTTTTAACACCAACGTTATCGAGGTTGGAATTATCAATGCCTCGAACAAGTATGATCAGGCACTGTTTCCAGAACTGCTTTCAGGTTTTGACGACAAGTCGGAGGATACTCCTCAAGGAAAGAACCAGATTGAGCTATCATGGGCTATGGAGTCGGCTGTTGGTGGCATAAAAATTATTAAAGACTTTGATATCAAGCTGCAACCTTTGAAACTTCAGTTGGACGAGGCAACTGGTAACAATATCATGAACTATGTGTTTCCATACGATCCCGACTTTGGTACTGTGAATCCTGCTGCTTACGCTCAGAATGATATCAAGGACAAGTACCAGGAGGAAGAGTTGCATAATGATCTGGAAAAGGCCATGAGCAGAAGAAATAGCGACGTCAGCTCGGAGAGACTCGTCATGGAGTCTTCGATTAAAAACTCCTTGGATGGAGTCATTGATGAAGAGGAAGATGTGGAAAGCACCAACCAAGTGGAAAGCTCTGATAGTTCCGACTCGGACGATGATGAGAATATGACCCAAATGGTCAATAGGGCTTCCTCTTATTTCAGTCTGGTTTCTGTGTGTGTTCACAGCGTCACTCTGTGTATCAGCTTCAGAGGTTCTGGGCTGAAACGACTCATCAACGTGTTTGAGTTCGTTCTCAGGGTCCCAACTTTTGCGTTTGAAAACAAGCTCTGGGGGACCATAGATCTCGTGAATCACCTTAAGAAGGTGGTGATCAAGGCTTTGCTCGCGCACAGTTCCTCTCTCCTTGGCAACAAACTGAAAATTCACTCCCGCAGACGAAGACTGATGAAACAGCTGAATCTGAAAAGACTACAGAAAGACATCAATAAATAGCATATGATACAACTCACCATATAAGAAAAACTCCGCTACCGCATAAAACCATCGTTATTCTAATCGAAATGGACCTGGACATGTCTCCTTTTGTTATCCGCATTGACCGGTGGAGAGGCTGTGTTTGTTCTTTTCTTGGCCTTCTTGTCGCTTCCAGGCGACATTTTGTCTTCCATTGCCAGCTTGGAAGGATCAAAGCCCGGAATCCCGTTAATTGAGGAACGCTCGAAGGAGACCAAACTTTTCAGCTCCTCGATATCGAAGGTCTTGATCTCAGGCTGAACTCCTTCTCTGGGTGGCCCAAATACCAGCGGCGATAGATCGCGGTCTTTGGGTATATCATGCTTTCCGGGTAACTCCGTTATATGATTCTTATATGATTTCCTCAGCTTAACTCCTTTTTTGCCATCTGGATTCGTTCTGGCGACTGAGTTGGATACCGAGTCCAGAGCATATATCCTTAGCAAGTCTTGCTTGAAAGATGGCCGCATCGGCTCGTAGGTTTCTAATTGGGTTAGTCGTCACATGTCATTATTACAATTGAACATTACTGCACTCACGATTGGGATCAATATAGTACCAATGGCCCTCATGTTGTTCCATTGTCGTTGTTGGTGTGTCCAGTACTATACACATTATCTAATCAGCCACTCCGCATTTCCTCAACTAAAGTGGCGATGGTCGTGTGGCCATATACTTTTTCGTTTTTGCACTACTTGTGTGTGAATCCCAATTTCTTTATTTTCAGTCACGTGGTAATATTCAGGGCTGGAAACCCCCTCATCATCTCTCCCTTCCCTCTCTCCCAAAGAAAAGTTTCAGACCTTCAGCTAACATCTTCAATTACAATATCATCACGATTAAGTCTATAATATCAAAAGTATGTGTTGAAAACAGGTTGAAAGTTGGGTTATTGTATCCAGGTAGAAACGATGGATTGATTTCATTTACTGGTTTCCATTTGTTCATTGCGAGGAGGCAGATATGAGAGAGAGAGCCAACAACCAAGTCATCCGCTCATCAAGAGGACAGCTGAAGGGATCACCTGGGACCGATTACTGTATTTGTTGTTTGTTTCGGTCTCCTTGAAGTGCGAGCGTTTGAGCTTAGGGCAATCTATCGCAAAAAAGAGTCTCTATTTGCTGTATTCACAGTCTCCGAAAAGGCCAAGCAGGCGGTTGGTTTTCGCCTCCAAGGGAGTCTGTTTTTCACTGCTCAATGTGTTCTGTTTCGGCTAATACTTCGTTCTCTCATCGGGCAATACAATAACTCCAAATTTTCAGTGCGGATCTGTTGAAGATTTTGCAAGTACTAACATTTTCTCTAGAATGGCTGCTTCATTACCACACCCAAAGATTGTCAAGAAGCACAAGAAGGCTTTTAAGAGACACCACTCTGACCGTTATGACCGTGTTGGTGAGAGCTGGAGAAAGCCAAAGGGTATCGACTCTTGTGTGAGACGTCGTTTCAGAGGTACCATCTCCATGCCAAAGATCGGTTACGGTTCTAACAAGAAGACCAGACACTTGATGCCATCTGGCCACAAGGCTTTCCTCGTTTCTAACCTTAAGGACTTGGAAGTCTTGACTTTGCACACCAAGACCTACGCTGCTGAGATTGCCCACAACGTGTCTGCTAAGAACAGAGTTGACATTTTGGCCCGTGCTAAGGCTTTGGGCTTGAAGGTTACCAACCCTAAGGGTCGTGTTGCTTTGCAAGCTTAAAGTGTGTTATATAGGCTAATTTAACAAACAAACAAAAACTCACAATTTTCATGTTTTAATAACGAGTATGCAGATAGAGAGGTCTTTGGCAGGCTATATTGCCGATGTTGAGGATCACCTTGGGCACCACCTTGAGGACGACATTCTTTTGACCAAGAATTCTTGATGCCCAGCAGCTTTCCCAGATGATACTTCTATAATCATTAGCATCATCTTTAAAATTTATCCAGAGAGCTTTCTCTTGCTTGTTTATAAGCTATTTTAGAATATTACCAACATCACTTAGAAGTTAAAGCCCTCAGCGAGTCCTGATGCAATGAACATCGCGAGCTCTTCGAGTCTACCTAGTCCAGCATAGAAAGGAAGTACAAAATCAAGGACTTTATATATCTCTTGATGTCTGCATGGAACGACAGATGTAGACATTTTTGCAAACCACCAAGGACTCGATCAAAACGTTGACTGGAGTGTCTGATTCAATGTCGAGGTCATCTTGGCTTCGGACTAAAAAATTGCAAAAATTAGCGGGTTTAGCTCAGTTGGGAGAGCGCCAGACTGAAGTTAGACTTCGGTCACATGGGTAATCTGGAGGTCCTGTGTTCGAACCACAGAACTCGCACTTTATTTTTTGTTTTTTGCAGTTGAATCGAGTTTTTTCTGTGTTAATGAGGCTTGAACGAAGCTTTTTTTTTTCTAATTGTTACAAAAAGTTTCTGTTAAAGAGTAATCAGGTTCATTACTCTGCCCAAAGAACCAGGTTTAGGAGGACTGGGGAAAGGATAGGGCTATGAACCCCACCACCACTGACAGCAGAGTCCAGACAACGCCCAACTGGAGTCTCTTAGAGCTAGCACAGTCTTTTTAGACCATATAGTACCTGATAACTATACAAATAAAAGCTTAGCCCTGGTTCATTATGCTTTTGAAAGTCAAGGTAGTGTCTCTTTATCAAAATTGACATCGCGAAAAAAGGACGCGTCCATCGATTTTCAATTTAGCCCGATTGGGAAACTGTAGATTTTGGAGCGACTTTCGAAACCTTCCTTCTTTCTAAACGCTTACGTTTTTGTTTCTGCTATCCCAACTTCGAATTCGTTTCGGTTCGATTATAACACAAACATGTCTTTTGATCAAGCCGAAGTTTACAGCACTTCTGTTCTTCCGGGAGAAACTCCCACCCAGGATCAGAACTCTGAGGTGATCAAGGCCTTCAAGAGTTTCGTGTTGGAGTTCAGAATCAACAACCAGTTTATCTACAGAGAACAGCTCAGAGAAAATTTGCTATCCAAGAAATACCAATTGATCGTTCAGAATGAGCATTTGATTGTTTTTAGTGAGGAGTTGAACAAGAGATTATGTGATGATCCTTCAGAGATGACGCCTCTTTTTGAGCTGGCAATCACCGAAATCGCGAGAAGAATTACGTATCTTTCTAACGACGAGGTTCCTCACAACTTCCCCACGTGTCAGTTAGTGTTAATAACTGGTGAAAACCGAATTTCTCTGAGAGACCTGGACTCGGAACACATCTCCAAAATCGTCAAAGTGTCTGGAATCGTCATTAGTGCTTCTTCCTTGAACTCAAGAGCCACGGTTGTAACTCTGATGTGTCGGTCCTGCAAACACACGATGATTCTGAAGGTGCCTCAAACTTTGGGAGCTCCACAATTCCCCAAGTCTTGCCAGGCTGCTCTTCCACCGGATCAGAAGAAAAGTGAATGTCCTCCAGATCCCTATCTTATTGTGCACGATAAGTCCACGTTCATCGACCAGCAGGTGCTCAAACTCCAGGAAACTCCAGACATGGTTCCAGTTGGTGAGATGCCAAGACACATCATTTTGAGTGTTGACAGGTACCTGACCAACCAGGTCATTCCCGGAACGAGATGTGACATCACCGGTATCTACTCTATCTACCAGGCAAAGGTTAGAGCGCAGGGTTCGAGCAGCAACGTCGCTATCAGAAACCCCTACATGAAGGTCTTGGGTATACAGACCGACAGAGAGAACGTTGGAATTGGAGGAAACATCACCTTCACCGAGGAAGAGGAGGAAGAGTTCTTGGCCCTAGCCAGAAGTGATGACTTCTATGAAAGATTTGCCAGTTCGATTGCACCTTCAATCTACGGAAACGAAGACATCAAGAAGGCCATTACATGTCTGCTCATGAGTGGTTCCAAGAAGCTTCTTCCAGACGGTATGAGACTGAGAGGTGATATCAACGTCCTGCTACTGGGAGATCCCGGTACTGCCAAATCTCAGCTGTTGAAGTTCGTTGAGAAGGTTTGTCCCATCTCCATCTACACCTCGGGTAAAGGTTCGTCTGCTGCAGGTTTAACTGCCTCGGTTCAGAGAGACCCAAATACCAGAGACTTCTATCTGGAAGGAGGTGCCATGGTGCTGGCAGATGGTGGAGTGGTTTGTATTGATGAGTTCGACAAGATGAGAGATGAAGATAGAGTTGCTATCCATGAAGCTATGGAGCAACAGACGATTTCCATTGCCAAGGCTGGTATCACGACCATTCTGAATTCCAGAACTTCGGTGCTTGCAGCTGCCAATCCCATTTTTGGTAGATACGACGATATGAAGTCTCCAGGTGACAATATCGATTTCCAATCCACGATTCTTTCCAGATTTGACATGATCTTCATTGTGAAGGACGAGCACAACGAGAGAAGAGATATCTCCATTGCGCAGCACGTCATGAATGTTCATACCACAGGTACCTCCACTGAGAACGAGGTTGCCGGCGAGATTCCAATTGAGAAAATGAAGAGGTATATTACTTACTGCAGATCCAAGTGCGCGCCGCGTTTATCTCCTGCTGCTAGTGAAATTTTGTCGTCGCATTTCGTGGAAATCAGAAGAATGGTCAAGCAAAAGGAGGCCAACTCTACTGAAAAGTCTTCGATTCCGATTACTGTCAGACAATTGGAAGCTATCATCAGAATCACTGAGTCTCTGGCGAAGCTGGAGTTGTCGCCAATTGCTACTGAGAGGCACGTCAACGAAGCTATTAGACTTTTCAAGGCATCCACCATGGATGCCGTGAACGAGGGTAACAGCGATACCTCTCAAGTCAACGACCAGATTGGAAAGATCGAGGATGAGCTCAAGAAAAGATTGCCTATTGGCTGGTCCACTAGCTATAACACTCTGAGAAGACAGTTTGTGGAGAAGAACAACTATACGCAGTACGCATTGGACAAGGCCCTTTACGTTTTGGAAAGACGTGAGACCATTCAGTTCAGACATCAAAGATCAAACGTCTTCAGGTGTGGTGCTTGATACTGATGAGAAATACGGTTATTGGTTTTTGGTTTAGCTTTCTGTGTTGAATACTTGTTGAGATAGTTGAATTTGTGACTTGAGGCTGTACATGTAAGAGCACCTTCTGGGGCTGGCCCTCTGGGACTGCCCTCTCATCCCATTGCATTAAACAATATTGTGGAAATAATCCTTTCCCCTGGAAATACCAGCTTTTACGATGGCTGAAATCTCTTTGGGGTCTTTGGTGATTCCCGTGAGATTCTCGTAACCAGTAGATGTGACCAGAATGTCGTCTTCGATTCTCACTCCTCCGATGTACCAGTATTTTTCAACAACATCCATATCGATATATTTGGCCTTGCTTGGGTCCTTGAGACCTGCTTCAATCAAAAAAGGAGAAAAGTAACAACCGGGTTCGTTGGTGACGACCATTCCTTTTTCCAATGGTCTGCGCAATCTTAGGTAGACCAGCAACGGATCAGGATCGCTGTAATTGGCATGTCCAGCAACATCATGAGTGTCCATTCCGAGGAGATGGCCCAAGCCATGAGGGAAAAACATTGCGGAAGCCTTACTGGCGAATATCTCCTCCTCTGTGCCGTTCACAAAGATACCAAGTTTTATGAACTCCTTGATGAGAACCTTATGAGCAAGCAAATGAAGGTCTTCCCAGCTTGCGCCAGGTTTGATCCCCTCCATAGCCTCATCCTGCATTTTGGAGACTATGTTATATATCTCAAGATGCTCTTTAGTCCATTCACCGCTGATGGGGAAACATCTGGTAACGTCAGCCGCATAGCAGTTCCACTCAGCACCCGCATCAATGAGGATCGAATGCTGATTCTCGGTAGAACTATCGTTTTTCACGTAATGTAATGTCCCACAATGTGGTCCAGCACAACAAATGGGATCATACGCCATGTTTTTGGCTCCTTGTCTGACCGAATGGTACATGAACTCAGCGTGGATGTGAGTCTCGTTGGTCTCGATAGGCAAAGCTGACATCACCGCCTTGTGGCAATTATCCGTTATCAAAGCAGCGTGTTTCAGCAAGCCAATTTCAAACTCGTCCTTGGTCAATCTTGCCTCGTCAAGAGCATAGAAGAAGTCCTGGTCACCAGATTTGACCAGTGTGGAAAAAGACTTTGATTTGAATACGTCCGTGTCCGTAGTGAAAATTTCCTTGCTTCCGAAAGCCTTGAGAGATTTCTCAATCTCACTCACGTATAAAACTTCATCGACATCGTATTTCTGCTTGGCGTCTTTGATTGACAGGGGAAGACCGCTCCACATCACGTCATCGTAGTCGATGTCTGGTAAAAAGAGTGTCAACTTTTCGGACTCCAGATCAAAGGACACAAAGCACCCCGGGATCTCACATCCCGTCAGATAGTAGAAATACCTGTTCTGTCTGAAAGGAGCTGTCTGATCACAGTAAGGATAGAGCAGGAGGTCAGCCCCGCCTAAGAAAAACGCTGCTGAGGTTTCTCCACCAGGTCTTTTTGACAGAAAAAAGTCTTTCGCCTTTTTGGCGTGAGCTTTTGCTGGGTATTTCTTGCCTTCCAGTTCAGTTGGTCCCATTCTTGGATTTTCGGTGTTGTCCTGTTGAACAATTTGCTGAGTTGTGCCGTACGTCTGCATGGTCTTATCTTGAACATAATGTGGTTATGTAGCCCCCCCCTTCAAATTGTCAAGCGGCTTTTCATGCTACCCACATGAAGAGCCTACGAGTTTTTAGTTACAAAGTCCAACTCGCGCTCTCCGCAAACTTGATCATGCCTTTTAAAAGGCGACATGATAGTGACGATGAATCAGCTGTTGTCAAAAAGCTGAACATTGGGTCCGAAGAACATTCTTCAGATCTAGAGTCTGACCTTGAGAATGCTACCGAAGAACTACATTTGGGCTATTTGAAGACAATCAACAGGTCCAGATTAGACTTTGATTTTGAGAAAGTCTGTTGCATATCATTAGCTACTGTCAATATCTATGCTTGTCTTGTTTGTGGCAAATACTACCAAGGGAGATCAAAGAGTTCATGTGCCTTTTCACATTCACTAGACGAAGACCATCATGTCTTCATCAATCTGGATACACTGAAAGTGTACATTCTTCCCGAAAACCAAGAAGTCAAACTGAGAAGTGAAGTACTAGAGGATATTAAATATCAGATCAACCCGACATTTTCCCCCGAGGACATCAAAAATCTACACCAGCTGAAGGAGATCAGCTTTGATCTACAGCACAGACCTTATCGACCCGGTTTTGTAGGGCTGAACAAGATTGGGGCGAATGACTACGCCAATGTCGTCCTACAAATAGTCAACCATGTTGATGCTTTGAGAGATTTCCTATTGAAAGGTGAATTCGAGGAAGAATTGACAAAGAGAATTTCGCTGATGACGCGAAAATCATGGTCTTCAAGATTGTCAAGGCCTCATCTTTCACCTCATGAAATAATGCAGTATATCTCGGACAAGTCAGGCAAAAGGTTCTCAGCAGGAGAGCAGAAGAGTCCAAAAGACTTCCTCGTATGGATTTTAACAAATCTACATTCGGAGCTGACTCCAAAGGGCAAAACGCGCTCTCTCGTATCCAAGCTATTTCAAGGCAAGGTCAAGATCATAACGGAAAAAGTTGCTAATGGGGTTCCAACGGGCTCCAGGTTGGAATCTTCAACAAAGTACTGGATACTGACAATTGATCCACCGGCATTCACGTTATTCAAAGACGGAACGGGATTGACCCAAATTCCACAGGTGAAAATCACACATCTACTATCCAAGTATGATGGAGAGACGGCCCAGAAGCTGGCTCATGGGAACAAGATGTTCAAGCTGATAACAGTGCCACCCTTTCTCCTTATCCATATTAATCGTATGAGTGGATCTCATGGCCTGGAAGGTGTTTCGGGAACTTCCCGCAATCCAACAATTGTGAAGTTTCCTTTTGAAAACTTGGATATGTCGCCGTATGTTGAAGGTGCAACAGGACCAATCCAGTATAAATTGATTGGAAACGTGATACACCAGACCATTCCTGTGACGAAGATGGTTGATGGCACTGAAATGGCGATAGACTCTCACGTTTACAAAATTCACCTATTGGATCAAGTCCGCGGGGACTGGTTGGAGATTCAAGATTTGAATGTGAAGCCCGTGGAAAAGGAGCTGCTGTTCATGCAGGAAACTTATCTGCAGATCTGGCAGAAAGTTTTGTAATATTAATAACTAAAGTCATTTACCTTAAGAACAAACTCTCAGTCCGATGGTCTTTTGTGAATGCTCATCAGAAGTAGACAGTGGTCGTATAGTAACATCTCATAGGTGAGGCCTCTAGGCCCATATTATGGGGAGTCGCCCGCCTTCTGTCCCTTTCACAAGTACTCAAAGTCTTCAATGCTTCGTATTGTTTTGCGTGTATATAGTCAACTCTATTGAATAGCCAACGCATTCACGTTGCCTGATAACAAAGAAACAACGTTCTCTTCTATCAAGCCCTCAGCTGTCTCTCCCAAATGCTTCTTGGGATCTTGCTTACCAACATACCTCGTCTTCAGTTGCTCCTCGCTCAATTCCTTCTCCTCTTGCACCCTGGTAACGTACTGTTCAGCGATCTTAACCAATGCCTTTGCAGAGTCTTTGTTGTGTATCTCTTTCTCATTGTAGTCGTTCATTTTCAAGCCAGATTGCCATTCCTTCTTGTGTAAATTCAGCAACATGCCAATCTCGTTCGAAGTCTTTCTGTAGTCGATGTTCAGAGAGTAGTAGTTTCTGTTGAGCCCGTGAATCAGAGCCTGTATGGTTGGTTTGTTCAAATGACCCACGTTGGAAGTTGTCTGTCTTGGTTCCTGGCCCATCATTATGGCTGTAGAACTTATCGATCTAAAAGCATCGATCACTACCTTTCCCTTCACGGATTGGATAGGGTCAATCACCACAGCCACCGCTCTAGGGTTCAACTGTTCGAAGGACTGTTGGGTGTTGATATCCACCGAAGACAACCAACAACCAAATCCAGGATGCGAATGGTACCATCCCACCACCATCTCATCTCTTCCAGTCTGCTTCAACATGTCCATCATCTTTGTTTGGAACACGTCATCAACGGCCTCGACAGAAACACCAGTACCGGACTGAGGCATGGCAAATACATCGATTACATGTACGGTGAACTCGTCAACAAACTCACCCAGCATCAAACCCATCACCTCCATTGGAACTCCGGCTCTACCGTGTTTCAACATCTTCAACAGGGCTAATGACGAAATGTATACCGTCTCGGCATTGTCAATCGCTTGGCCATCTGTGGCAGCGGCCCCTCCATTGGCACCCAGACCCCCTGACCGAACCAAAAAATCGTGTAGCGAATCCATTGCAGTGTATATGAGTATAAAAAGTTACTCCTGTCACTGTAATTGCTTAAACAGTTACTGTTTGACAATTGATCGAGTAAAACGTTCAACGTGGACTTCAAGTGGCAACGCCGCCTAAGATCGAGTTTCAAGGAATAGGTTGGTGCACGTCCCTCTTGGCTTCAAAGCGGGACATGGGGAGGAGCGGCCGTATGATGGCAGCAATAAACCGTTGGAAGTATTAATTTGTGAATAATGTACATTATTATGGCTCTCAATATGTATATAAGCCCACTTCGGGCAACAGATACAGCATTTTTTTGTTGTTTATAGATTTACCTGCACCTGCCTGTTGGCAGACCTTGGGCATGCGGCTCAAAGGTCTGCTACATGGTAGGAGTGAAAGGCGAATAGTAAACCTGCGACGGATGTTCCAAGGCAACTCGTTGAGCTCTCTTTGAAATCGCATTGTGACTCTTTTTGCCTTCTTGTTCTCTTAGCACCATAGCCATGATGGTAACAATTATGGTGTCATTGGTAACGTATCTCATGGTCTTGAAAGCCCTCACGGCATTGGCATTATTCATCCTCTCGTAACACGCAACGGTTCCCTGGATCCTAAATTTCTTCAGTGCCAACTCGTGCGGTGAGTCATTGTACTGTGCAAAAATTGGTAACGTAGAATTCCTGTATTTGCGACAATATTCGATTGGTGCAGCGACATCGCCAACCGTCGTATCGTCATGAAGCAATGGATTAGCGGGATCGGGCTTGTCGTCATCTGTGATACCGTCATGAAGATGAGCGGATGGAGACTTGTTTTGGATCACCATCTCGAATGAAGTGCTTGCGTAAGGACTTGTGATAACCGAGGTGCCTAGCCACCGGATTTTGGTACCCTTATACAGAACATCGGTGTATGGTTTTCCTCGATGCGTGAACATCACGATCTTGGAAGAATAATTGGCCTGGACTCCTTTCTCATTTGGCTTCGGATACATTTCAAGGACGTATCTTTTCACTCCACATTTCAGGAATTTGCTATACACTTTGCAGATCACGTATTTGTCAGTGTAGAAGTCCTTGTATTCGGTGGGGTTGGAAAGCTTCAGCTGTTCCATGGCCAGCCTATCCTTTTCTTCGTAAAACTTGTACAAAATCATGTAAGGACAGTTCTTTCGCACCACTGATAGCGTTGGAACAATTGCATGCAACAGGGGCGTCGCTATATCTGATTTCGAGATGTACTTGATCTCCGCCTCGTTGCCTGGTTTCTTCCTCTTTGCCTTGAGCTTCTCCAAGGACTTGTACTTGAAAAGCGAGAATTCAGATGCAAATACCAATACTCCGATCTTGAAAGCCCCAGATACCACAGGCATATTTCTGACGATATTGAAGGAATCCGCGGGTCTGTTGAAGACTGTGGGGATGACGATCTGAACAGGCGTCTCAATGGGGCCAACGAGCTCATGCAATGTGTTCATGGAGTCGGAGTCGGACTCGGACTCTGAGTCAGAATTACTCGGATTGACATTTTCAAGCTCTGATCGTCTTCCTGGAGGCGTGTAGAACGTCTGGTTTGCCAGTCCCCCTAGTAATCCCATATTCCTCAACGCGTTGTTAAAGACGGTCTCCTCGCTATTCACGGAGGAGGCATCGTCGAAGGCATCTCGAGCATTCGCTTGAACGTTGGAATTTTCACCATTTTCAATACTTTTCGAATCGTCTGAATCACCAGAATCATCACGAACTGCGCTCGTTTGGGTTTCACCCCGACTCTGCTCCTTGTGAAGGTCCTTCCTGGGCTTTCTTGAAAATATAGCCATAGAACACCAAATGTGAGATACTTATTTAACAAACAGTTCACAACTTCGTCTAGTTAGATTTGAGCAAAAAGTTAACGCAGATGACTAATATCTCCGCTTGTCACGGGACATCCGTTGAGAAGGTTTAAGGGTAAGGACAGGTATGTGCACGGGCTGTGCGTCATCTCTAGCCCCCAGAGGGTGGACTAAATGGGCATGAACAGTTTGGGAGAGAAACTACCAAATTGCTTCAAATTTGGATCAACAGCAGTCACAAACTAATCAGTATTTGGTCCCTTTACTCAATTCAATTGCTAATGGCTGAATTCATACCTTCTCAAGGTGTGCCCCCGTTCCAACCGCGCAAAGATTACCAATCTGATCGAGAACCCTGTAATGATAGTGTATCTCCCATATTTCTAGATCAGGAAATACGATGCGATCTTATCGTGTCGGACAATTTTTCCCTTTGGAAGGTTTGGTCTTCAAAATGAGCTTTATCCCTCATATTTGTTCAGTTTATTTCATTTCATTTTGACTTTGTGTTTGTCTTCGCTCTATCTTAATTTGCTACAATGGTTAAGAAAATCACCTACGAACAAGCCGGGTTGTCTGGTAATCCATTGCTCTCGGCCGCCTACAAGAGCAACGGGATAGTTTTCACTTCCGGAAGCATTGGTCAGAAGGACGGTGTTTACCCAGAGGACGTTTCTGAGCAGGCCGAACTGGCAATCCAGAATCTTTTCAAGGTGTTGAAAGCTTCGGGCTCGTCTCCAGACAGAGTCCTGAAGGTGTTGCTTTTTGTTAGCAACGGAGACGATGCCGCTGCCGTCAACAAAGTGTACTCCAAGTACTTCCCTAGCAAACCTGCCAGATCTTGCATTGTGGTTTCTTTTCCAAACAAATCTGTTAAGGTGGAGATGGAGTGTATTGCCGAGGCGAAAAGCTTCTGGAAGCTTTAAGTTCCTCGAGGATGGTTAAGAATCCTAAAGAGCTTCAAGAAATTTCAGGCAGATCTCAAGTACTCCTACCCGGTCAAAGGTTTTTGCTCTAAAATCATGTTTTGAACTGAAGCTGAGTTTTTGGCTTGAAATTCTACACCTTCCTGAAGTTTGTGCTTTGAGGGCTGTTGGGTCGGGTATTATATAGAATGAGTACTTCTCTGTGAGTCAATGGACGCCTCCCCTGAAAACTTGCCAAAATAAATTATTGCAATTATGCGCAATGCCACTGATGAATAGAAAACGTATTGAAATCAAGCAAACACAAAACAGTAGAATGAAGGCGTTGCAGCTAGCGGGAATAGTAGAGAAGGTGATATAACGGATCATGTGCCAATCGTCAAAAAGCTTGTTTCTCCAGTTTCTTTCGCCCACCGTAGTCAATGATCTGCACGGTTGAGCAGAAATGCAAACCACCTTAGGATTACCTGCCATAGTTGAACCAGCCTTCCATATGATGGTACCTCCCTTTTCTTCACTGGGGGCTGTTTGGCAAGTTCTTGGCTCGAGGTTGGTTCTGGCTGTTCTGGCTGTGGATCTGAATCTGCAATCGTTCGAGCAGTGTCCGAGCTTGAAGAGCCATTTTCTGCAATGGGTTCTTGAATTTTTGTCAGTGCTTCGGGATCAATCACCGAATAGTTGTTCTCGTTACCACTCTCGTCAGTCTCAATATCCTTGGAGTAATCGCAGCACCATTTCGAGCCTTCAATCACAAACTTGTACACCAACTTGGTTTTCTTCTCAACAGACACCTCGTAAACCCAGCTCCGAGTTTTCTCGGCGTAAACCATGGGAACCACCTCCCACTCGGAGAAGGTACCCGCGGCTCCCACCGCACCGAGACTATGGTTGGGGTCCGAATACATCAACTGATATTTGGCCATGATTGTGATTGTTAATCAGAGAATAGTTTGGGTAAATTGATCCAACAAATCGCCTCAGCAAATTCCACGAAGTCACAGGGAATTGTATTCAATGTCAGGAGAACAAGAGGGTGTAAACCGCAAGTTTGATCTCAGCATCACTTTTGGTTTGCGTACCCCATGCTAGATACATAAGGCGCGAAATTATTCAGCCCCGATTTTTGTATGGGAACCGGGCAAATCGCATTTTTTCAACAAAAAATGAGCTCACAATACTAGTCAATTATTCTCAAAAAAATTATAAATTACGGGGAAGACCAGAGAGAAAAAGAGATTAATCACACTGCATAAATGAGATCACCATCTACTCGCTACAATGTGGGATAGGTAAGTTACGCAGGCATTTACAATGAAAGAATCTAAACGCGAGCCATAAGCAAAATGAAAAACAAGAATAGATGGGTCAACCATGTCAGCGAGTAGCATTAACATGTATTTGTGATACCACAACCAATTTAGTTCTTAGAATGGCCAAGGGCTGTAGTCTAACTTCCGGGTTTGGCGCATTACATGCATGGCCAAGGTGACGTCTGCAGACGGCCCTCGAACAATCTGAAGACACCAGAATACATTCCGAAACGCTTAGAAAACAGATTCATTTCATGAAAAATAGATTCAAATGGTAGCAACAACAGCTGAGATAAGTATTTCAGTAATAAAAATCTTAGATGAACCGAAAACATTCTCAGGAGAGAGACAGCCTACGGTCCCTTCGGGTGCTGCTAGTGGGGTCCCCGCAGGAGTGCGTCACTCAATGATCAGTTTTGATCTTGGCACGCTCGAGTTGCGACTCAAGATGGTAGTCGTTGGCTATTCTTCACATTTGAATCAGATCGCCGCTTGTGTCTAAGAAGTATAAAGAACACTGAAACGGTTAAGATGGCTATCAAAGGACTGGATAAAACAGTGCAAGTGTATAATGGTAAGTCCAGGCGATCAATCCAGGGTGCTTGGTCTCTAGATTACTAACCATCGCCCAACCATATAGAGAACGAAGTTAAGAGCTTGAAGGTGTTGGTCGTTCATGCTCGCTGGAACAAAGTTATCATTGATGCATTACTGGAAGGTGCCATCAACAAGATGACAAGTTTGGGGGTTGAAACGAAAAACATCTTCGTTGAGTCCGTCCCCGGATCGTTCGAGTTGCCATATGCGGTTGAAATGCTTTCGAGGACAGGAGAGCCAGGGAACCCCGGTCCATGCAAATACGATGCCATTATTGCCATTGGTGTCCTGATCAAGGGTGACACCTCACATTACGAGTATATCTGTGAGAGCGTTACCCACCAGTTGATGAGAGCGCAATCTGTAATCGCTGCGCCTATCATTTACGGTGTCTTGACATGCCTAACGGAAGAACAAGCATTGGCAAGAGCCGGTATCTCTGGAAACATGCACAACCATGGCGACGACTGGGGTGCAGCTGCCGTTGAGATGAGCATCAAGAAAAGTCGTGAGCCCAAATCTCTTGAAGCTCTGGTAACACCAAAATGATAATGTGAACATATGTTGAAATAGGCTGGGCGAATTGTGTGCACATCAAACATGGCCGGTTCTGCCGGAATTTGTCCGGTAATGAAATTTGTTTGCAGGGCTTTTATCGTTCAATTGCATTATCATATAATGTTCATAGGACATATCATAATCTTGTTCCTTGGCCAAAATTCAAGGCTATGTTCTGCGGTCAACTGTAGCGTACTTTTTTTCTGAACTCTCCCTGTCTCCCATAACTATCTACACTCCTGGTCATGTCATCATCTTCTTCTTCTTCTTCCTCTTCTTCCTCTACCATAGAAGTCAGATCCAAGGACAAAACTGCCTATTCGACAAAACACTAGCGATTAGCCCAAAAACATACTACGACGCAGTAAATGTAGTACCAAAAGAGTAGGCAATTGTTTTGGTTCGTGCACTATTTTCATGATAAGACCGGAACCCTCGGTAACCGAGGGTTTGGCCGGGCCCTACATGATGCATGATATAATTTTTCTTCTTGATTCCAAAACATTCTGTGGATGTAAGGGTTCAAGCTCTCGCAACTCCCTGGGAAAAATACACAACATATTAATGTCAGACAGTGAGGACTACATACGACAATCTGACTCAGAGGACGACGTTTCAGACTCGGGGTTTATGAGCAGGACAAAACCAGTTGCCAAACGAGCTTTTGAGGATGCGTTTGACTCGGACAAGGAAGACGGAGTTGACAGTGATGAAGAAGAGTTTGAGCAAATAGGAAAGAACAAAAAGCTTCAGAATGGCTTTGGAAGCGAAGACGAAGACGACGACGAAGACGAAGACAGCAATAATGAGAATGAATCTGGTATTGATGAGGATGCTTTAATGGAGCAGGCCGCAGCGGATGCCAGGAATAACTTGGATTTGGAGCAGATAGGTGGAAAGACTCAAAAGCTGAAAAAGCTTACACCAAAGCAACTAGAAAAACAAGCTGCTAAGATCAAGAAGACTGGCGTTGTGTATATCTCGCGAGTTCCACCCTACATGAAGCCTACCAAAATGAGACAGGTGCTTTCCAGATTTGGTGAAGTTGGAAGATTGTTCCTGAAACCAGAAGATCAATCGGTATACAAACGCCGTGTGAAGACTGGAGGTAATAAGAAGAAGAAGTTTGATGAGGGATGGGTGGAATTTGCAAACAAGAAGGACGCGAAGCTTTGTGCATTCACGCTCAATGGTAATACTTTGGGTGGGAAAAAGGGAAATTTCTACTACGACGACATAATCAATGTGAAGTATCTCAAACACTTCAAGTGGGATGATTTGACGTCGCAGATAAGCAGAGAGAACGAGATCAGGGAGGCCAAACTCCAAGCTGAACTTTCGCAGGCTCAGAAGCTGAATAAGACTTTCATCCAGAACGTGGAGAAGTCCAAGATGGTCAAGAACATGCAAGAACGGAAGAAGCAGAGAAAGGATTACAATCCTCAGGCGGATGTGGAAGTGAAGAGGAGTTTCGAGCAGAGAGAGGTTACTTCCACCAGAGCCGATTCCAAGTTCAACAAGACCAAGATGAGTGATAAAGTTAACAACGTGCTAAATAGTGTATTTTGAGAGGTGAAAAGGCTTAATAATCCGAAATCCCCAAGCAATAGATTTGTAGTAAGGCATAAAGAGAGCCCAAAGAGCGTTTTTGAGGTTGTATTTGCGTGTGTAAACCGATTTGAATGCGTCTTCTTTTTGGCGCCCTTCTGGTGTCTTTCTCTGTAGATTACACCTCTGGCTCTTCCATATCAAGGTCTGTGATCTTTCAGCGAAACTTGAAAACCAAATCAGCATGGCAAAGGCTAAGAAAGGTAAATCCAAGGAAGTCGAAGAGGTTGTCGAAGAAGAAGAACAATGGGAAGATGATGGCCCAAAGAAGGGTGGAAAGAAGCTGCAAGACAAAGCCCAGAAGAGGGCCGAAGAGCTAGAGAAAAAGAAGCAGAGGGAAGAGCTTTTGAAAATGGAAGAAGAATCTACTCCTTCCAAGAAAGCAGGGAACAGCAAGAAGGCAGGTCAGAAGTACAAGGGTGGTATTGACGATGCTTTGAACAGCTTCGGGAGCGGTTCTAAAGGTTCAATTGAGGCCAGTGGTATTGATGATGCCCTGGGAGCTCTTTCTTTGATTTCTAAGGATGGTGATGAAATCGACAGGCATCCAGAAAGGCGAGTCAAGGCTGCGCTCGCGGCGTTCAGTGAGAGAAGATTGCCCGAGATTAAGTCCGAGAACCCCGGTCTGAGAAAGCAACAACTGGAACAACTGGTTTACAAGGAATTCCAGAAGAGCCCTGAGAATCCAATGAACCAGGTTTCGGCCAAGTACAATGCCAAACAGGAGGATGTTGATGAGGTCAAGGCCAAGATTAGAAAGGGCAAAGAGATGAGATATCAAAAGTAGGATCATGAATCTATGCTTCACCTGCACTGGTTCCAAGAACTGTCCATGACATTTGTTCTTTGATATTACGAGTTTTCTGAGTGAAAGAATGACTTAATACTACAACCTCCAAACTCATCAATATACGGAACATGTACCAGTATATCTTGACGCGTATTTTATCGCTGTTATCGAAAATATCAAGACCATATTTCGTCGTGTGTTTATCGTTTTGTCTTTCGCAGACAGAACGATAGGCAGGAACTCAAGATAAGTTGAGCGAGTGATGTTCTGGGCTCCACCTCTATCTATTTTTCCCAAATAAATACACCCAATGGAACTGGAAAAACTGTAAGGGATTATCTTCTTGGGATTGTGCTTGAAATTTTTCACTAACTTATTTCTCAGAATACAATCCAATCCCTCATTCCAAGATGCTAAGGCTTTGGTTATCATAGACTCGCAGACAGGACTGTCACTGGGCCATATCGGTGACTCTTCCAATGAAAGCGTCGAACAACTTTCCGGTCTGATTAAGGAGAAGGGTGCACAGATTTTTGACTCCGACGGGTTTGGCTGTGTCGGGCTTGGGGACCGTAAGGTGAGTCTGTATGCTAAGGATGGGATGATAGTTGGTGTGTACAACTAATAAAGAAGGCGTTAGGGTGTCACGTGTATATTATAGATAATTCAAGTTCATTAGTTCATTAGTTCGTTTAGAGGCGATTTCAAAGAAATCCAAAACCACCGGAGCCGGATCCGAAGCCAGACCCAGATCCAGATCCAGATCCAAATCCAGACCCACCACCAAAACCACCTGGGCCACCACCAAAACCACCTGAGCCACCACCACCACGAAACTTGTTCTGTCCTAGTCCCATTGATCCAGGTAATCCTTGGCCAACCATGTCGAAATCGCCACCGCCAAACAGAGGATCATCGAACCGAGCTCCGGGAGGCCTGAGGGAGCCCGCTCCGTATCTGAGCCCGGGTCCCTGAAACAATGGGTCATCAGCAGTAGGATGCATGCCACCACCAATTCCTCTGTTCAAAGGATCAAGGTAGGCCTTCATCTGCGGATTGGGACCCAATCCAGAAGGGTTCAGATCCGAGTCTCCGAAGTGTGAGGGAGCAGATATTGGCGTAGTTGACTGGGGTTGAGTCATTTGGTACTCATCCTCAAACCCGGGTGGTTTCTGAGGGTCCTGGGTGTTTTGAGTTCCTTGGGTTGCTTGAGGTTTGTTCTGCGGATTTAACTTTGGGAGCGATAGAGCGTTCTGTTCCAAAGTGGATTGATTCTGCAAGCTCTCAGAAGGTATATCGCGTGGTTCTGGGATTGATATCAAAGGCTTGAATCTGAAATCGTACGTCTTCAGCAACTCTGCCAAATCGCCGCTTGACTCCAGGTCCGAAAGGGTAACCGATCCATCGGCGGCGTAAGACGACAGATCTACCACCAATGAGTCTATGTAGCCCTTGAGCGACAAAACAACCACAAACGCATTTTTCGCTGCCAGAGAAAATATCTGGCCGGATATACCCGCGGCAGATTGGAGCAGTATGGAGGTGGGGCTGGTTTCCGTGGTGGTCTCCGTTTGAAATCGCTCGCTTAGCCAGCGCTCAGTTATGGCAATTATCAGTGCCATTTCGAGTATTTGGAAAGGCAGATTGACCCAATTTTATCAAGCAAAATCAAATAAACCTGAGATAACCATCAAGATTGCAAGACTAAAGTCAGACTGACTATTCATAATCAAGTAATCAGAGGCAAATATATGAGCGGCGCACTTCCAAACTCCAAAATGGCTCGGGGTTAATTTGATAAAGACACTGGAAGGCCAATTTTCCGATTACTGGAGTCTTCCAGAAAATATGCGTAGCATGACGTATCGGGTATGGTGCCTTTAATATCTCTCAATATAGTGCGTGTCTTGTGTGTGACTCCCACCAATGAAATTACAACTCCCGGAACTGTCCGGGTCGGCTGGAGTCTCGGAAAGTCATGAATCGCCTAAATCCCTATGGTGTATGTGGAGGTCACGATACGTCTATCAGTCCGAGGTGGATAGCCGCAATCGCATCTACCAATATTCAGTTACAACTGAAAATAAAAGCATAAGCTGAAATTAAACATGTAGCAAAACCTTAAGACTCAACTGTTGAATAATATTCCAAATTTGCTGCCAAGTTTGCCGTCCAATTCCTTATCCAGCCAATTTCTTCCCCCGGGTCACTGCAGCCAGATGAGCAATTCCCAATTTCCCCCAGGCTCTTTGCCCCCCGCCCCTCCCCCCTCCCTTTCCTTGACTATCGTGCCAAGCCCAGAAAAAACGAATCTCTAGAAACGTTCTGATGTGTTCTATAGGGCCATTCTTTCTTGAGATCCGAGCAGTCTGAGTAATCGTGAGATATTACAAGAGTTTTTTGGCGTTTTTATCTGTTGTGATTGCAATTGTGGAACACTCACCTTTTGTCGGCCAATTGCGTTTGTTAAGCCAAGTGAATCTGCCGTAGCAAGTGCCCAGCAAGTGCCCTGCAAGTTGCCCCTCCATTCTCTGTCTTTGGCTTGTTTCCCTAGACTCTTGTCATGACTACAACAGTACCCAAAATCTACTCGTTCCCCGAATTTGGCAGTGTGGCCGAGGCTGTGGCCGATCATATTATTGCTGCACAGAATCATGCCTTGTTTGGAGACAGCGACAAGAAGCAAGATAGATCCAATTCTACAGGCTCGGCCATGACCACGAATACCACTGCGTCTTCCTCAAACTCGGCCTCCACCACAAATATAGCAGGTACTCCCAGCAATCCTGCGAATAGTTCCAAGAAGAAGAAAAAAGAGGTAGTGAAACGCTTCAAGATTGGTCTAAGTGGTGGTTCTCTTATCCAGGTGTTGCACGAAGGTCTATTGAAAAGAGATGACGTTTTGTGGGATCGCTGGGATGTCTATTTTGCAGACGAGAGACTGGTGCCTTTTGAGAGCACCGAATCGAACTACGGAAAAATCAAGAGGAAACTGTTTGATCAGATCCCAGAGGGCAAAGGTAAGCCCAAAGTGTTTCCAATCGATGAATCCCTCATAAACGATCCACAGGAGTGCGCAGACAACTACGAAAAGTGTTTGATTCGCGGATTCGCCAACAAGGACTCCGTGAAGAAACCCATGTTTGACCTGGTGCTTTTGGGTTGTGCCCCAGATGGCCATATTGCATCCCTGTTCCCAAACCAGCCAACCCTGAGGGAAAACTTTGCATGGGTTGTTCCGGTAGAAGATGCACCTGTTGGGCCAGCGAAAAGAATCACTCTGACTATTCCAGTTATATGCCATGCCCACAGAGTTACATTTGTGGTAGAAGGTCAGACCAAAGCACCAGTCATAAAGACGATAATGGAGAGGCCCGATAAAGGTCTCCCCAGTAGTATTGTCAATGAAGGAGCGGCGGGCAGGGTTTCATGGTTTGTGGATGATGATGCCCTGCACGATGTGTTTGTGACGAAAAAAAGGTATAAGTTTTTGGTGGATCCTCCTCAGAAGTGAGCAGGCAAGAGCAGCAGCTCTTGTGCGAAACTGCGATCCCTTCTCTCTTTAAGCGACCAACAGTTTACTCTACGTCATTTCTGAAACGCCCAGATTACAAGCACACATTTTTTTCCACTTCACACCAGAACTACTCGAGCTGTTGGAGTTTCGGGCTCTGCTCGAATCGCTGGGCCGCAAGACGCCCTTCTCCACTGCGTTTGCCGCTTGAGAAACATCGCTCATACATTTATAGATAGGTCATATTATTTATTGACGTGTCTTGTTATTATTTGTGGCTTCAGCCTGGTCTGGTGGCCGTGACGCCTGAGTTCCAGTTTTATCTTTCTTGCTAATTCTTAATCTTCCTTGTAATCACTTTGGCATATTTCCCTTGGAGTAGACACTTTTAGCAGCTGCTCCAAAAAGGGCAAATATTATTCCTAGCGAATAAATTTCATGCTAAATCTTCAGGCACGAATCCCACTGTTTTCTTCTGGACGCACTGTCAGGGTCCATTGCAGTGGGATAGAAGAATCATGGCCCTCGAACGCCTTTCTGTATCCAAACACAGACGAAAACATGACAAAAATGAAGGCGGTGACTGTACAATCATTCAGTACGTTTGAATAATAGTTTGGTCTGTACCTGTAATGTTGATCTCTGAAACACTCATACCCAATCTTTAGGGTACACAGAGCCGCACCAATCAGATATGTCACGTATGGAACTTCGATTATAAAGCTGACCGCAAGAAGTGCCAGATTGTACCATATGTAGCTCATCACCAAACCATATCTGAAGAAAATTGTCAGAAATACCAGCGCGTAGCTTCGTATTCTTGTAAGCATTCTTTGTATGGTTTCCAGAAGGATCGAAAGCAGCGGCTCTGGAGAGACAGGAAGCTCTTCAATATCTTGCTCTCGCGTGACCATGACAAGTAAAAGATAATCAATGCCGGTATGAAAAGACTGATTGATCCAATAAAGAGTTCCAAAAAGTGATTCATCCAATGTGATTTAACTCTTCATGTTTTTCTGTCAGAACCTATGGTTTATGTATGGGCGGATGTTCTGTCATTATCTAATGTGTGGAGAAGGATTATTTATTTTGGAGACTATTTTGAAAACTTTGGGAATTAAAGATAATTGAGTAACTTTATTTGATGATTTCAAGGTTGGTTATAATATAATTCACTTCGAATCACTATACACTTGCAAAAAGTCCATATCAGCTCTAAAAACATTAAAAAAATCATCCAAATAGGCTTTAGGTCAACTCTTTTGTTCGTGATCTCTGCTTTCCCGCTTAAGATGTCTTGGTTGGGCGGCAGAGTCTAAAAAGAGCAGCCAAACAGATACAAAACCACTCCTATTTCCGTTTTTTTTTAGTTCATATGAATCAGAATTGTGACAGAAAATAATCGCTTCCTTCAATATTCATTTTCGAGTACAAATACGCCAAAATTGCCCATATCTGCTTTAACCTAATACCGAGTTTTTTGAGTCTTACAGGCCCCCCGATAACACGTCTTAATTTTCAGCTCTCCGCAGACCAACTTCACACTACCTTCTTGATGAAATTTTGTCACTCGATATCTTATGTGTCTTACCTTGCAACATTGGCATTGAAACTTTGCTATTGATGACATGATTCCCATATCTATAGTCAATGGAAAATATTTCATATTCGACATTGACAGCGTCAAACGGGTGCGAAATGACCATCTCATCATAGGTACTTTATCAGGGACTTTGAGCATACTACCTCAGCAAAATATACTGCTTGGACTCCCCCTTCAACTGACATCTGAGGAGGCACTTTGGTTAACTGAAATGGGGTTGGGATACCTAATATTCAATCTCAAGAGCAGTGGTTTGAATTTGGAGCCCAAGGTGGCGGGTGATGAAACCAGGCTCAACACTGTTGAGTCCAGTGACAGCGATAGGAAATTAGAGATATACCAAAGTGAAAGCGTCCAGTCAGAACTTTCTGCTGATCTCAGAAAGATAAAAGACAGTGTGGGATATCAGACTTTCAAATTTTTCAAGTCCTTCCAGAATGGGTCCCGTTATGCCGTTTTGCCAGGAATGAGGTTTGGAGGTAAGTATCTTGTATATAACGGCGATCCTCTGAGGTACCATGCCCAGTTTATCGTGCAACCTCTTGATTATAAGAAAGATGACATTGGAATGATCAACATAGTGAATAACGGGAGATTGTCTACTGGTGTGAAGAAGTTGTGGGTGGTTGCTGGTGAAAAAGAAGATGGTTCTACCGAGTGTTTTTCAGTCGAATGGGCAGGATTTGGCTGAAACGATGAAACGACTTCATGGCATATGTCAAGAAATATTTGAATAGGTGTATATTAGTTTGCAATTGAAAAGGTCAGTCGGTATGTTCTACCGTAAATATCTCAAAATGAATACTGTTAGGCATACTGGATGCATCCTGCAGCATACAGTGATATTGGTATATCCGTCACGGATCCTCTTATTTCTCGTAGTTTTCTGCGCAATTTCTATATCATAAGCCATTTAAATAACAAAATTGAACCTGCAATTTTACTCCTCTACAACTACCCAAAAAAGCGTATTAAAACCCGACAATGCCATACAGAGTCGGCCATCTCGCGCACCAATAGGCGATCCTCACCTGCGTCCATATAAAACAAAAAAACGCGTTCATCCTTAACGCCTGGTGAGCGTTAATCTATCTTTCGAAAATCGCGAACCAATTTTCAGTTTCCTGGCATCAAAATTGATTGTATGTTCCATCGTATTATCAAATAAGCCGTACTTCGTATCGTCCAATCGCTGGACGAATTTCGAGTTCTGCTCTATGTTTGTAATAACCTGCTTCAAGTTGTGATAGTCTACCTCCAGAGACCCCAGTTTCGATATCTGATTCTTGTAGCTCTCATCCAATTCCATCTGGTAGCAGTGATTCTGAGATTGCAGGAAAGAGACGGTCTCTTTCAGCCTTGAGACTTCGTGCCTTAGAACCTCCGATTGTTTCGTAGTCACCGTTGGTGATGTATTGCAGGTGGAGTATTTTCCTTTCTGAGGCGAGGATTCCACACTAGAAGCGGGTGTTGTGTGAAAATCGTCCTGATCCGCGGAAAGCGAGAGTCGAGACACGCGCGAGTCTGCCGACGAGACACTGGATCTGTTACTGTTGCGTAACTCCTCTTCGTTCAGGCGCTGAACCAGGTGTGTGATCATGAGTTTCTGCTCCCCCACCTGCTCCTCCAACATGAGAGTTTTGTCTTTGAGTTCGATGTTCTCGAGTTCGAGTTTCTTGAATCGAGCATACTGTACCTCTTTGTATGCTTTCATTGTGGTGACTGGTGGCTTTAGTTAAAATGCTTGAACGGTTTATCCGCAAGACGTGAAGTAAGGGGGGGCAGGCGATGGACCGAATATAACGTCAATTTACTCCAACCTGCGGTTACACATCACAAACATGCAGGTTAATAACCCACAAGCACTCACCCTGCAGAAGGGGTTAATCATGTATGTTTCAAAGGGATGAAAGTGAAACATTTGCAGGCATTACGATGGTGCGGATACATATTGAGTGTAACACGAAATGATACGCGTGCTTTTGAGGCAACAAACGCGTAAAACGCGCCTATTTACAGACTCAGATAAGTAGACCAGTCCAATTGTAGATGCCAAAAAGGGGTATCTTGGGTATTGCGATATAAGATTAATTATAGAAATCGTTTTTACTTGGCCATCTCCCCGGCCTTGTCCAGCCATCTCTCAAGGTTCCTGGACCTCTCAAAGTATTGGTTGGGATGGGCTATGGATGTCTGGTCAACCTTATAAGTCTTTCCCAGACCCGAGGCTGCCAGCTTTTCCATCTGGGATTTGTGCGTAAGCTCAAACACCTTAGTACAGGCGTTCTGGTAGTTACCCATCTCCTTCTGGTCCAACACCTCCACCTGGCTCTGCTTGTCATTGATGCCCATTTCCTCCAGTTGGACCACTAGCCTCTCGCTCGTGAAATCTCTGTATGGACATCCATGATATTCGCCTTTCGCTGGTCTCGGGTGCTTTAGAATTTGACGACAGTCGTAGGGCCTATAGTTGATCCTGGCACCTTCCAACCCGTAGCTGTGCCTGATATTGTAGCGATACTCCTTCTGGAACTTGTCTATTGTCATGGCACCTGGTCCGCTGGTGAATTGTTTCTGCCAGAAAATCATCGCTTGATCGATATTGAGACCTATCCCTTTCAGAAATAATGTCAGTTGCTGTCTGCCCTGGAATCTAAGATGGTGGTTGGCTAAAACCCCTTTAACTAGATTTGTTCCACACAGAGGGTAATGACGGGCAATTCCCTCGCTGATGACACTATCAGCAGTGATATCAGTAACATCGGAATCGCTTTGAGTGAAATCGCTTTGAATCTCGGCAGCAACGTAGCCCTGTGACAAGTGGTTTAACACGGGCAACACTCTGTCATCCTCATCCAGTTGGGACAGAAATTTTCTCGTGACCAGAAGATCTCTTGTCATACTGGTTTGGAACTCACTGGCCAACAGAGACAACACAGAAACTTGAGGAACGTAGCCAAAGCCAAGGTGAAGATACACGGACTTTGTGGCAATCAGATCACCGATGTACTCAAACGGAACTTTCAAAAAGCTCTCCTGGTTGAAAAAGGATTTGATATGGTCTTCACTGATGTTTGCGTTGGCACCACCACTGTTCAACACCAAATAGTTCCTGATCACTCCATGACAGGCGTTATATAGTTTGTCAGCCAATTTTCTCTTCGTTGAATCTCCAACAGCTTCCCATGGTAGACTCAGTCTATCCGTGAATTCTTTTTGCTCGGACATCGAACAAGACATAAATCTGATCTTGAACAATGTGGTCTCAGCCCTGACGAATCTGACCCGCAATTCCTCAGACTTACAGAAGGCTAGCCTCAAAATGTAGTGAGACACGTGATCCTTTTTTCTTTCCTTCACCAGCAGCTCGGCGTCCTTTGAGGTCGCCGTCAAGGGTAGCAGCTTTGCCAACAAAGGCTTGATCACCTGCTCGGTTTCTTTGAGAGGTCGGCCATTCTGGATACAAGCTTCAATTTCTAAAAGCACCTTCAACCTGTCAATGGCCCATGTTTCAAACTGATCAAGCGTGATTTCGTTCTGGGGTGGCAGAGTGTAGAGGGAGAGACGTGATGGATACACGGTCTCTAGGAGCTCTTGGGCTTTGAGCGAGTTGTCATATGCATTGATGTGAACAGAGGACTCAAAGTTTCTCCTACCAAGAGCTCTTCTCTTCGTCTGTCTGAACATTTCTCCAGGTCCTTTCCGTGGGGACTAGAGGATGGGTGCGTTGTTGGTGGTGAAATCTAAAAACAAGAAGCATGCGAGACGCGTCTCTGGCCCTCCACCAGGATAGTGCACCCACCGACAACATGGGCACGTGACTAATTTCAGATCTCTGTATGGTTGTTCTAATTAACTACGAGATTATTTTCGCATCATTCTGCGTGTTTTTGGCTGTAATAGATGTACTCAATAGCACTCAGGGGTTTATTCCCTAGTAAATAAGAATATAGATTGTCACTGACGAGTTATTCACCCCAGCGGCACGTCACTGGCAAGAACCCAGGTTCAGCTTTCGCCCCCGCACGTCCTACCGATAACGATTTTGAACCTCTTGGAGGTCTAAACGATACTTCGAACATCAGTCTGCTTTTCTGTCGATCGGCTGTTTCAAGCTCAAGAGCTGTTCAAAATCACTCAAATGGTACGAACACAGGATGATGTGATACGGTCTACTGATTTGGATGCTCTTTCGTGCAGAGTGGCATGTGTTTCCAAAGGCTATCTCGAGGATGAGTTCTTGAAACCGATAGTCTCAGGACTGATAAAGTTCCAACCATTATATTCGGCTCCAAATACTCAATTTGTGGTGACAAGAAACCTTAAGAAACAACTCTTCCAAGCAAAATTGCCTATAATTAGTCGGGGCTCATATATCCGTGTGAAGTCAATTGATTGCTTGGTAGATTCGTTTCTGTCACAACATGAGGGCACACCATGTCAAATCGTGTCGCTTGGATCCGGTAGCGAGACCAGACCGTTTAAGTTGCTACCGAAATATCCTGAATTGAACTATGTTGAGATTGACTTTGCAAAGAGTGTCAAAGTAAAGAAATACTCGATTTTGGCCGATGCAGTGCTGAGATCGAGACTCGGAGTGGAAGCTGCGGAGACCATACCTTCCACCTACGACGAGTTTGCCGTGGCTTCTCCCGATTTACACACAGAAAATTATCATTTGTTCTCCTTGGACTTGAGATCCATTGATAGGACGTGCTCAAAACAGACTTTGGAGGACAATGGAGTGAAGTTTGACGTTCCCACTTTAATACTGTCCGAGTGCGTTCTGTGCTACCTAGAGCCCGAGGACTCCAACCGAGTGCTAAGTTTTTTCTTACGCGAAATACCCGATGGCTCTGTGATAGTATATGAACCAATGGGAGGGGAAGGAGATGACAATGGTAAGATGTTTGGTAAAGTTATGGAAGCCAATCTTGCAACGAGAAACATCAGTCTTCCCAGTCTATTCACATTTGGTACACTGGCTAGACAATCGAGCAGGTTTGAAAGATTGGGCATAAAGAAAGTTAAATGCTTAAACATGGAGACAATATTTGACAACTGGATCAGCCCCGAGACAATGAGGAGGATTTCGAGACTAGAACTGCTTGACGAGACGGAAGAGTGGAAACTATTGAGTGAGCATTATTGCCTTTGCTACTGTACCTGGGGGAGTTTCGCGATTGATAAGAAAATAAGCATGTAGCTGATAAGACATTCAAAAAGATCTTACTATATATAACTTCTGGCTTCGTATCTTTGATTCTCATAGACCACAGTTTCACTATTCCACTATTCATTTCACTATTTACATCTACACCAAGTAGCGTTTCAGGCCACACCAAGCACCTGCACCGACAGTCATCACGGCGGAAGCAATCCCCATTGGCTTCAAACCCTTGGAACTCTTGTAAAGAGCACCTGCTAGAGCACCTGCCGCCAGAGAGTTCAAGTCGTCGTGCTTTCCTCTGAAGGCATCCAGAGAACTGTTGATCAGATTATATGAAAGAGCCAGAACACCAGCGGAGTTACCCAGGAAAGGACCACGCTTTGTGACGTGGTTCAGAATAGTATTCAGCTTCAACTTTCCTGGAACATTTTCACCCTTTGGAATTGCGTTTATGCCTTCGGAAAGCCCATAGGCTCCACCAACACCTAAGCCGAGTAAATATAGTGTACCTGTTCCGTAACACAGATCGTCGGACCAGCCTCTGGAAGCGATCACACCTTGAGAGCCCTCTAGCGATGAAAGCGCTTCATCTTCTAGATCTAAATACTCGATGCCTTTATCGAGACCGGCGAGCGGATGCAAACGGGATGTTTCGTTCAAGACTGAAATATCGGTCAAAGTGGAGGGGTCAAACGGAAGTGACGATGGTGCTGGAGCCGCTGGCTGCTCCTCTTTTTTTGAAGATCCCAATAACCAAGACATGATGATGTATTAGACCCCTTCGATGTATATCGGACACGCCTTATAATATGTACAGTGGATGTCCGTCGTTACGGAGTTTGACTGATGGCCAATTTTTCGCTAGACAAGACGAAGAAAAATTGGCCAGCAAAAGGTAGTGCATCAAAAGATTATCGAGAACCAAGGTCGTGCAAAGTAAAGTAGTGCGAATAACAAATGGAGTGACATCACCGTGCACACAGCTTTCTATCCCAGCAAGGCCCTGTTGGGTTGTTGAGTAGGACCCGAATTTCGAACAATTTTTCTACGGCTTTGTTAGGCCGGGAGCGTTGTTGGTTAGGCAACGTAATTTTTCGTGTCACTTAATATTATAAGCACCTCAGTGTCTTGATCTCTCTTCCTTTGTCTGTACTTCCTAAGAGCCGTCATTATTCCATTCTTTTGACACAGTTTCTGTGCCTCTGATTTGAACCATTTGTACGTATTCACTGCTAATATTTGTCTCTCTTCTTGGGTCATTCTTCGCTATGTGAGGCCCCTATTCTGCCCCACTGTTATCTGTTAGAAGCGAGCGGTTCCTCGACCCTGACAATTGCACTTGCGATTGCGCTCGCTTTTTGACTAAAACAAGAATCACCAATCATGTCATTCAGACTACAATGCTCATCTACATTACACGGGATTGCAAACAATGGGTTACTTCATGAATGCTCTTGTCTCTGGCACCGAATCTCGACTATTGCCAGAACTATTGAGTTCTGGAAGCGAAACGTTCATGACACATTGCCAAATGACAGATGGCTCCCCAACCTTTTTCAGTGTGACAGAAGCACTGGACTTTGTTATTTGCCATTAATATTTGGTGTTGACTTGAAGTTTCATCGGGAATCCTGTGGTCATATTTAAGATTTTTGCCCCTAGTTTGTGTTCGAATAGCGATAGCGGCGATAGCAGGGCTGTTGGCTGAACGAGAGAGACCAATATATGTTATGCCGTTTGGTTTTCCATACTAACTTTGCCAAAGATCGATTTACTAGGTTTCTATCTCCGAGATCCAAACCTAATTTCATTCAAATTGGAAAAAGAACGATCATGACTGCTTCTGAACTTCACAAGGGCCTTCCGAGGCATTTCCTTGGTAAGAACTCCGTCGAGGTCGCCGAGCCATCTCCCATAAGAGACTTTGTCCTAAAGCACGATGGTCACACGGTGATTTCCAAGGTACTTATTGCCAACAACGGTATAGCCGCAGTCAAGGAGATACGTTCTGTCAGAAAATGGGCCTATGAGACCTTTTCGGATGAGCGTGCTATACAGTTTGTTGCGATGGCTACTTTGGAGGACTTGGAGGCTAATGCGGAATACATCAGGATGGCCGACCAGTACGTTGAAGTCCCCGGAGGAACAAATAACAACAACTACGCTAATGTTGATTTGATCGTTGACATTGCCGAGAGGACGAATGTCGATGCTGTTTGGGCAGGGTGGGGCCACGCCTCGGAGAACCCATTGCTGCCTGAGATGCTTGCCAAGAGCAAAATCGTGTTCATAGGTCCCCCAGGATCTGCCATGAGATCTCTGGGTGACAAAATCAGTTCCACCATTGTTGCACAGCACGCCAAGGTGCCATGTATCCCATGGTCTGGTACCGGTATTGACAAAGTTGTGGTGGACCCAGAAACCAACCTCGTCTCGGTTGATGATGAGACCTACGCTAAGGGTTGTTGCACATCTCCAGAAGATGGTTTAATGAAGGCCAAGCTTATCGGCTTCCCAGTTATGATCAAAGCATCCGAAGGTGGTGGAGGAAAAGGTATCAGACAGGTGCAGCGTGAAGAGGATTTCCTCTCCCTTTACGACCAGGCAGCCAACGAGATTCCAGGTTCCCCCATCTTCATTATGCAACTAGCGGGAAGTGCCAGACATCTGGAGGTCCAGCTGCTGGCTGACCAATATGGTACCAACATCTCGCTTTTTGGAAGAGACTGTTCTGTTCAAAGAAGACATCAGAAGATTATCGAAGAGGCTCCAGTGACAATTGCCAAGCCAGAAACTTTCAGAGCGATGGAAAACGCTGCTGTTAGATTGGGAAAGTTGGTTGGTTATGTCAGTGCAGGTACCGTTGAATATCTGTACTCTCACGCCGATGACAAATTTTACTTCTTGGAGTTGAACCCAAGATTGCAGGTCGAACATCCAACCACAGAGATGGTGACTGGTGTCAACTTGCCAGCTGCCCAGCTGCAAATCGCCATGGGTATCCCATTGCATCGTATTAAGGACATCAGATTGATGTACGGTGTCGACCCACACACTTCTACTTCGATAGATTTTGAGTTCAAATCTGAAGACTCTTTGAGGACTCAGAGAAGGCCGGTTCCAAAGGGCCACACTACTGCCTGTCGTATAACGTCGGAAGATCCAGGTGAAGGATTCAAGCCTTCTGGTGGTTCGTTGCACGAGTTGAACTTCAGATCGTCCTCAAACGTTTGGGGTTACTTCTCTGTCAGCAACCAGTCTTCTATCCATTCGTTTTCCGACTCCCAGTTTGGACATATCTTTGCATTTGGTGAAAACCGTCAAGCCTCCAGAAAGCACATGGTTGTTGCTTTGAAGGAGCTCTCCATCAGGGGTGATTTCAGAACCACCGTGGAATACCTGATCAAGCTTCTGGAAACCCCAGACTTTGAGAATAACACGATCACCACCGGTTGGTTGGACGAACTCATCACCAAGAGGCTCACTGCTGAAAGACCAGACCCTACTCTTGCAGTTATCTGTGGTGCCGTCACCAAGGCCCACATTGCTAGTGATGAAAACAAGAGGGAATACATTGGTTCCCTTGAACGTGGTCAGGTCCCAAGCAAGGACAAACTCAAGACTATCTTCCCAGTTGACTTCATCTACGAGGGCCAACGCTACAAATTCACAACTGCCAAGGCCGCAAACGATATATACACTTTGTTCATCAACGGTTCCAGATGTGATGTTCAAGTAAGACCACTGTCAGATGGTGGTCTGCTGTGTGCCATGGGAGGAAAGTCTCACAGCGTTTATTGGAAGGAAGAGGTTGGTGCTACTCGTATTTCTGTCGATGGAAAGACCTGTCTTCTGGAGGTCGAAAACGATCCAACCCAATTGAGAACTCCTTCTCCAGGAAAGCTCGTGAAGTATCTCGTTGAAAATGGCGAGCACATCTCTGCTGGTCAGCCATTTGCAGAGGTTGAAGTCATGAAGATGTGTATGCCCCTTGTTGCGCAGGCTAACGGTATCTTGCAGCTGCTGAAGCAACCAGGATCCACCGTCTCTGCCGGTGATATACTTGCCATTTTGGCTCTGGATGATCCTTCCAAGTCCAAGCATGCTCTGCCATTTGAAGGTACTCTGCCGGATATGGGCTCTCCATTCATCGAAGGAACGAAACCTGCGCATAAGTTTGCCTCGCTGCTCTCAATCTTGCAGAACATCTTGGCTGGTTTCGATAACCAAGTCGTGATGAATGCAACTTTGAGAGACCTGTTGGACATTTTGAAGAACCCAGATTTGCCTTACTCCGAATGGTCTCAACAAGTCTCTGCTCTGCACTCGAGATTGCCAGCTAAGTTGGACGCCAGTTTCACTGACCTGGTTGAGAGATCGCACCGTAGGGGTGCTGAATTCCCAGCCAAGCAGATACTGAAACTGATTGAGAAGTCAGAAAATGGAAGTGACGCCTCCTTCCTTCAAGTCGTTGCTCCACTCTCGGAATTGGCACAACGTTACCACGATGGCTTGAAGGCTCATGAGTACTCTGTCTTTGCAAACTTGCTCGAAAGCTACTACAGTGTGGAATCTTTGTTTGCAGGCCAAAACGTTCGCGAGGAGGATGTTATTTTGCAGCTGAGAGACAACAATAAAGATGACCTCAACAAGGTTATTGCAATTGCTCTCTCCCACTCGAGAATTGGTGCCAGAAATACTTTGATTGCTGCTATTTTGGCGATCTATCAACCAATCTGCCAAAGTGTTCCAGGTGCTGCCAACGCTTTGCGCGAGCCATTGAAGAAGATAGTCGATTTGGACACCAGAGGCACAGCCAAGGTTGCTTTGAAAGCGCGTGAGATTTTGATCCAATGCTCTATGCCTTCAATCAAAGAGAGATCCGATCAACTTGAGTTGATCCTGAAGTCTTCTGTCGTTGACACCAGATACGGCGAGACCACCAGCTCTGAACACAAGTTGCCAGAGTTCCAGAAGATCAAGGATGTCATTGACTCCAACTACACCGTGTTCGATGTTCTTTCTCAATTCATCGTCAGCTCAGATCCTTGGGTTGCATCTGCTGCCGCTGAGGTGTACATCAGAAGAGCTTACCGTGCATACTCTGTTGCTGAACTGAAGCACCATCCGGCGGGATCACTGCCTATTGTGGAATGGAAATTCCAGCTTCCAGCTTTGTCCACTGCTGCCTACAATGCCGTCCCAGAAGGCGTCAGGAACGGTAAATCACCAGCAATGAATCGTGCTGTGTCCGTTTCCGATTTGACTTTCATGATCAACAAGAACGACACGCAGCCATTGAGAACTGGTATCTTGGTTCCAGCTGCTCATCTGGACGATGTGGAAGAAATGCTCTCCAAGGGTCTTGATGTTATTCCCAAGAAGACCAAGCCTTCTGCTCCTGTTCCAGACCGCTCCAACTCTCCTGCCGAGGGTGGGCTCAAGAACGTTTGCAATATCTTCGTTGGAAGCTATGAAGGTTTCAGCTCCGAGGCCGAGGTCTTGGCTAGATTGCATGAAATCCTCAGAGATAACAAGGATGATTTGTTGGCCTCCGGAATCCGTCGTGTTTCCTTCGTTTTCGGTGACAAGATTGGTGCCTATCCAAAGTACTACACTTTCAAGGGTCCAAACTACGACGAGGACGATGTTATTCGTCACATCGAACCCGCATTGGCTTTCCAATTGGAGCTAGGTAGGTTATCCAACTTCAACATCAAGCCAGTTGTCACTGACAACAGAAACATCCACGTTTACGAGGCTGTTGCCAAGAACTCATCTGGTGTGGACAAACGTTACTTTACAAGAGGTATTATCAGAACCGGCAAGATCAGAGACGATGTCACGATCTCCGAGTACCTGATTTCTGAGGCCCACAGACTGATGTCAGACATCTTGGACGCTCTCGAAGTCATCGATACTTCGAACACTGACCTCAACCATATTTTCATCAACTTTTCTGCGGTTTTCAATGTTACTCCAGAAGATGTGGAAAGTGCATTTGGTGGTTTCCTCGAGAGATTCGGAAGAAGACTGTGGAGATTGCGGGTTACCTCTGCTGAGATCAGAATCATGTGCACTGACTCAAGCTCAGGTGTTCCATTCCCTCTCAGAGCCATGATCAACAATGTATCCGGATATGTTGTCAAGTCTGAAATGTACATGGAAGTTAAGAATGACAACGGAGAGTGGATCTTCAAGTCTATTGGCACTCCAGGTGCTATGCACTTGAGACCAATCTCAACTCCATACCCAACCAAGGAGTGGTTACAACCAAAGAGATACAAGGCTCATGTTATGGGAACGACCTATGTCTATGATTTCCCAGAGTTGTTCCGCCAGGCTACTATTTCCCAATGGAAGAAGCATTCTCCCGAGGCCAAGATTCCTAACGATATCTTTGAATCCAGTGAACTCATCATTGATGAATCCGGTGAGTTTGCAGAGGTTGCCAGAGAACCAGGTGCAAACAACGTTGGTATGGTTGCATTCAAGGTCACTGCCAAGACTCCAGAATATCCTCGTGGAAGACAGTTCATTATTGTTGCCAATGACATCACCTTCAAGATTGGTTCGTTTGGTCCAAAAGAAGATGCCTACTTCAACAAGGCTACTGAGTTGGCTAGAAAGCTTGGAATTCCAAGAATCTACCTGTCTGCGAACTCCGGTGCCAGAATTGGTATTGCGGAGGAGTTATTGCCTTACTACAAAGTGTCTTGGTTTGATGAGAATGAGCCAGCTAAGGGATTTGAGTATCTTTACTTGACCTCAGAGGACAAGGCTGAACTTGAGAAGGCTGGCAAGGCCGCTTCAGTTGTCACTGAAAAAGTGGTTGAAGCAGGAAAGGAGCGCCATGTCATTAAGGCCATTATTGGTGCCGAAGATGGACTTGGTGTTGAGTGTTTGAAGGGCTCCGGTCTCATTGCGGGTGCCACTTCGAGGGCTTACAAGGACATCTTTACCATCTCTTTGGTCACTTGCAGATCTGTTGGTATTGGTGCTTACTTGGTGAGATTGGGTCAAAGAGCCATTCAAATTGAGGGTCAACCAATCATTCTGACTGGTGCCCCAGCCCTCAATAAGTTGCTTGGAAGTGAAGTGTACACCTCCAACTTGCAGTTGGGTGGTACTCAGATCATGTACCGTAACGGTGTTTCTCACTTGACTGCTGCCAACGATTTGGCAGGTGTCGAGCAAATCATGGACTGGTTGTCGTATGTTCCAGCCAAGCGTGGTATGCCAGTCCCAATCTTGCCATCTATTGAGGACTCTTGGGACAGAGATGTGGACTTCAAGCCACTGAAGAACGAACCATACGATGTTAGATGGATGATTGAAGGTCGTGATACACCTGAGGGATTCGAAGCCGGTCTGTTTGACAAAAACTCTTTCCAAGAGACTTTGTCAGGCTGGGCCAAGGGTGTCGTTGTTGGTAGAGCCCGTCTTGGTGGTATTCCTATTGGTGTCATCGGTGTTGAGACCAGAACTATGGATAACCTATGTCCAGCAGACCCTGCCAATCCTGATTCTACGGAGTTTTTAGTCCAAGAAGCTGGTCAAGTGTGGTACCCTAACTCTGCATTCAAGACTGCTCAAGCAATCAATGATTTCAACCACGGTGAAGAGTTGCCTTTGATGATTTTGGCCAACTGGAGAGGATTCTCTGGTGGTCAGCGTGACATGTACAACGAAGTGTTGAAATATGGATCCTTCATCGTGGATGCTCTTGTGGGTTTCAACCAGCCTATCATGATCTATATTCCGCCAACTGGTGAGTTGAGAGGAGGATCTTGGGTCGTTGTTGACACCACTATCAACGCTGATATGATGGAAATGTACGCGGATGTAGAGGCCAGAGCTGGTGTCTTGGAGCCTGAAGGAATGGTTGGTATCAAGTACCGTAAGGACAAATTGACTGCCACCATGGGTAGATTGGATGAGGTCTGCAAAGATCTTCGTGCGAAGATGGCCGATCCTTCGTTGAGTGCTGAGGATCATTCTGTTCTGGCAAAGAAGTTGGCTGCCAGAGAGAACCAGCTGCTTCCAGTCTACTCCCAGGTTTCTATCCAATTCGCCGATTTGCATGACAGATCCGGTCGTATGCTCGCGAAGGGCGTCATCAGAAAGGAACTGGAGTGGACCGATGCCCGTCGTTTCTTCTTCTGGCGTTTGCGCCGTCGTTTGAATGAGGAGTACCTCGTCAGACGCATCGGGGAACACTTGGCACCAGGCTCCACTAGATTGGAGAAGGTTGCCCGTTTGACCTCCTGGTTGCCATCCTCGCTGGATGAGAACAACGACCAGGCGGTTGCGCTTTGGATCGAGGAGAACCACAAGTTGTTGGATTCCAACATCAAGAAGCTCAAGTCTGACATGGTGAAGCAGACGTTGGCGAAGTTGTTCAAGACCGATGTCGACTCGGTCAGCAGCGGTCTCTCGGAGATCATCTCATTCTTGCCAGAGGAAGACAAGAAGAAGTTGATGAAACATTTTAAATAATATCAACTTGTACAAATTTGCTTATAATCTTTTAATTTTGATTTTGTGGTAGCATGGAGTAGTACGCACTGGCTGTCTGGTTATAAAGTCATGCACGTTCATGCAGGCTGCCCGCCTACATGGTGGAGATCACCAAAGATAAGCAGGTTCTGGCGCTTATCTTTTGAACCTTGTTCTTCCTCCAAGCTCCAAAAAACACCTGTTGTCATTGCTAGAAAATGAGATTCGTTTGCACAATATTCGTGATCTCGTACCTATTGAGTCTGGTTTCAGCTGGAGATTATTTTGCTCAACTCAAAGCGCCGTTCACAGCAGATGATCTGTTCAAACAGGACGACTCCATCAAGGCAACTCACCATGTGAGAGACTCCATCAAAAGCCGGATCTCATTTGGCGGGTTTGAAGGGTTCTCTGGAAAATTTGAAGATGATGTTCTTCAGAGGCTACTGTCGAATCCTCTAGTAATTTAGACCCATTTTTGACCACCTACCGTTTGATACTAACGCCGTCAACAGGTTGCCAAGGTCACACCCGACATCGTTGTAAACGCCCTACATATAGATCAACAGACTGACGCTCCCAAGCATCTTGCCAGACTTTCTCAGGAAGGCCCAGTTTCGAAGAATCCAGATTCAAGGGCTTACTGTTTCGACTCGGAGCATGAGGGAGAGGGCGTTACCGCCTATGTTGTTGATACTGGTGTCAACACCGACCATCCCGAGCTCGAGGGAAGAGCAGTTTCTGGTCCCAACTTTTCAGCTTCTGAAAACTGTAATGATAAGGTGGGTCATGGAACACACGTTGCCGGTCTGATAGGCTCAAAGACTTACGGCGTGGCCAAAAAGATCAACATCGTCTCCATCAAGGTTCTGGATGATGAAGGTTCAGGAACACTCTCTTCAGTGATTGGTGGTTTGGAGTTTGCCGTAAAACACAGGCAAGACAGTGGAATGCCCGGAGTGGTGAATCTTTCGTTGGGAGCATATAAGAATGTGGTTTTGGACGAAGCTGTAATGGCCACCTACAAGTCAGGGATGGTCGTTGTGGTAGCTGCTGGAAACAACAACATAGATGCATGCAACACTTCTCCCGCGGGTTCGCCATTTGCAATCTCTGTTGGGGCAATTGATGACACCAGCGACAAGATTGCTCCCTTCTCAAATTGGGGGCCATGTATAAACGTGTTTTCCTCGGGCATCGCGGTTGAAAGTCTTTGTGGAAAGAATGAAGAGTCCCCCACAAACTTGTCGGGCACCTCCATGGCTTCACCAGTGGTTGCCGGACTTGCTGGAATTTTACTGGACAAGGGTGTTGATTACAAGGATGTTGCCTACCATATCGATGAGATGTCAATCAGGGGAGTGATTCCGAAAAACTCATTGGTAATGAGAAGAGGGAGCCCCAACAAGGTCGCGAGCAATGGCATCAGGTGTTACTGACCAAAACAGGCCTAGAACAACAATTACATAGACAGGACGCAGTCATATCAACAGATTACAAATCACAGATTACAGATTACAGAATACAGAATACAGAATACAGAAATTGAGCACAATGGTAGATCCTCTATGGAGTTCCTTTAGAACTTGAAAAATCCCTGCTCCTCTAGATACAGCACGGTCTTTTGAATGGCAATGGTGGTACCCTCACTGTACAAGTCCACCTTGATCTCAGCATTCTCGGGGTTCTTGTAGGACGCCACGTCGGTTCTCTCCTCGGCATAGTAGCCCTTTCTGTCAACCTTGCTGACATCCTCGAGAGAGGTCTCCAACGAGAGCGTGATGAAAGAACCGGCCTTGGAGATGACCTTTTTGGCAGCGGCAATGGTCTCAGCCGAAGGAGCAATTCTTGGGTCGGCGATTATAACTCCAGCACCGGATCTAACCAATTCATGGGCAACGAATGGAATGGCAGATTCAGGAACGTTCTTTCCATCAAGAAGGGAAATGTGTCTAGCACCTGAAAATTGATTGAAGGTCGCGAGTAGTGCCTGTGCCAAAGCATCAACACCAGAATTTGGCAGGCCAGTGAGGTACAGGGCAAAACCTTGTTGTGGTCTTGGTGGATGAGATTCTCTCAATATAGACACCACCTCAGGGTAGGAGAACCATTCTGGAATATGGGTTCCGTCTCTCAATCTCTTTCTGAGCTCAGTACCTGAAATGTTCAAAGTCTTAGTTCCCTCCTTGACGGTATCTATTGGGGCATATCTGTCCTCTTCTGGCAAGTAAGTCACCATTCTGAAAGGAACCACTTGGATGCCTAGCTCAGACTTGTGCTTTTCCACCAACTCCTGAGCATCGTAAGGACCATAGAAATCAACACCCTTGGAGTTGGAGCCTGGACCAGCATGGTCACGACCAACGATGAAGTGCGAAGCTCCAAAGTTCTTGCGGATGATTGCGTGCCAGACAGCTTCTCTGTCTCCGGCCATTCTCATGGCCAGAGGCAAAAGAGCCAGCTGGGCCATACCGTTGGGGTACTTCTTGATGATTTCCTGGTAAACCTTAACTCTGGTGTGATGATCAATGTCACCAGGTTTGGTCAGACCAACAACTGGGTGGACAAGAACGTTGGCCAATTGCTCACGTGCGGCTCTGACAGTCAGTTCTCTATGAGCCCTGTGCATTGGGTTTCTGGTCTGGAAAGCAACCACTCTTTCCCAGTCTCTGCTCTTGAACTCCGATCTCAGTTGTGCTGGAGTTCTTCTAAGTGCAGCATAGTCGTAATGGGTTGGTAGTTGAATAGCCTGCAAAGAACCACCGATGTAGACGTCTCCGGCAACGTCAAACAAGTATCTGACGGCAGGGTGTTCTGGATCTCCTCTGAAAACCTTCTTGGCCTCATTCTCCTTGTCTGGGACATACTTGTCCTCGACAGTCAGGATCGAAAGTGGCTTATCGTCTCTGGGGTCTCTCAACACCACTCTGTCTCCGATTTCAAACTTGGAAGCCTCAGATTGAGTGAGGTCCAAGGTGATAGGAATAGACCAGATCTCTCCCGAAGCAAGTCTCATTTCCTCGACAACAGACAAGTAGTCCTTTTTCACGAGGAATCCAGTGAGAGGAGAGAATCCTCCGTTCAAAATCAACTCGAGATCGCATATTTGACGGTCGGTGAGAACGATTGACCTGAGTGCTGGGACTTCAGCCAGAAGCTCGTTTTTGATAGAAGCGTCTCTCTCGACGAGATCTTGGAGGATACCGCCGTGTGGTGGAAGCATTGTCGTGGAATATGCAAATGTCGTGAGATCAAGGTCCGATAACAGTGGTTTACTTTTCAAAAAAGTGAGAAAAAATCGCAGAAACCCATGATTTTATTCCCCGGCAAGCGAATTGGGTAAAGCAGATTTGAAATATCACGTGCTCCATCATCATCATCAAATCTTTCAAAGGCCGTTCTTGTGCAGATTAGATAAGTGACGTATTATTGAGACTGAACACTACTCCGGATATGAATGGTTTATAGTCATTAGGAACCCCTGGTGAAGAATGCTTGATTGAATGACTGAATATAATGCTAACTTAACTCGAAAGGAATGTACTTCTGATGATGTTTTGAGTAAAGGCCGCGGCACTCTACGATTCTGAGTTCGCATTCCTTCATGGTTTCTGTGGAACCGATCTTGCCAGTTACGGGTTTGCCCAGACTTTTGACTGCCAGATTAGCGGTCACTTCCAAGACTTTAGACATTACTGACATCACTTCATTGGTAGATTTCACCAACAATTCGCGACTGTGGAGACTGGTTTCGTCAGCAATTTCCTTGGAGTACTTGAATACCCTGTCGAGCAGCAATGCCGAGAAAAGGTCACCCACGCCAGTAAAATACGATTCCAGCTTTTTGATCTCAAGAACCACTGGAGGCTTTACGCAATCGTCAAGTCCTTCTATGAATGAAGAGACGACTGCAAACAGGGACTCATCATTGTGACACTCAACTTCTAGTTCCTTTGCAGACAGTGACAATGATGATATCACCACATGTTTCACTTTGAATTTGTTGTGCAATGTGGATAGTGCAAGCTTCAGACTTTGCTTGTCCACTATGGCAAACTCCACCAACATCTCAGCCTCGAACTGGTTTGGAGTTATTATATCGACATTCCCACTGGACAGGATCTCTCTGTAAACGGGTATCACCTCTTCACTGACATAAAGCAGACCTTCATCTCCCATTACCGGGTCCAAGAGCCACATAACTTCTGGCGATTTCTTCTTGATGTCGTTACAGATCTTTCCCACGGATTTGACGGTGTCTGCTCCATGAATGTACCCTGTGAGTATTGCCTCGTACCGCTGGTCTATTTTTTTGAGTCCTTCATAAATGTCCTGGAGCTCACTTCCCGAGGCCATGGTGCCCGTGACTGAGCCATAACCTGTGTGGTTGGAGTAATTCACAGAATTCAGCACATCAACATCCCAGCCCAGTGTCTGCAGAGGGAAAGTAGCAGCTTTGTTCCCTACATACCCGTGGACCACATGCGATTGTATTGATAGCACTTTGGATGCTGGACTGAACATTTCCTCGTGAAATAGTATGGTCATTGCTAAAATTACTCGTGAATCTAATCAGTGGAACTGGAAAAGCCCTTCTCCAATCGTAGGGCTATGCCTTCCTTGGTATCACTAACACGTCTGCTAAAAAATCAAGCACTCGTCCGAGCCAGATATAGCACTGAGACCGAGAAAAAGGATCACAAACTTATTGTAAGCTGCTTGCAAGCCAGGATAAATGACTAACCTGAAGCCCGTGTTCTATTATGACCAATTTTTGCTTGTGCGGGTTATCCGATGCCCTCACGAGTGAAAAAAACCCACCAAATCCGATATGATTTTGAAGCGATAACACGACCGTTTAAGCCGCACGTCATTATCGGCGGCCTGTGCTCGCTACATTGATAAGCCGAGCTATTGTCTGCTCCGAGAAATTGGCATTTTCAGTTTGAAAAGTCTTATATTGGGTTTACATTTTGCATATGTACTCTATGCCTTTGACAAAATTTCACCAAACTTGGACAAGAAAAGCTCAGCTCTCTTCTTGGAGTCACTGGCCTTTTCGTTGAGTGTTAGCTCAACAACCACACTTGGCAATGAAGTCTCTTCGGGGGTTTCAAACAGATCTGGCTCACTGGCCACCGTCTTGATGGAAATCTTGAATCTATCAATGTTTCTTGAAGGTGCAACAAGGTCCTCAAAGATTGGATCAACCAGGTCAGACTTGGCATAGGTCTTCGTAGCGTAGGCGTATCTTTCGGCTGAAGCTTTGGCGGACTCCAGAAGATCAGCAACTGATTTGATCGTTATATCCTCTGGGAGAGTGTAGGATTTTGACACCTTCACTGGTTCTGGTTTCGCCTTGGCAGCAGGGGCGGCAGCATCAGCCTTAGGCGACTCTGACTTTGCCTCTGGGGCGGCTTCCTTCAACTTGATGTTCGACAGATCCAAGTGGGTTCTTCCATTAATAAAAGAGGCGATAGAGGTGACTGCCTCGGTGGGGATCTCGCCCAAGTAAGCCAATACATCACCCTTAAGAATACGACCGTTTGGACCAGACGCCTGAATCTTTTGTAGGGCTTCATCGTGCGAAATGGAGTTCTTCTCTAGCAAGAGCTCCACAGATGGGAAGAACTTCTGAGATGGGTTTGCCTTGGATAGTACACCCGAGCTTGTCGAGGAAGCTGGTCCCGAGGAAGCAGGTGCCTCAGTACTTTTGGCTGGCTTTGGTTCCTCCTTCTTCGCTGGAGGTGGAGTTGCGGCAGCAGCTGGTGCTGGCTTCGCACTCTCCTCTTCCGGGTAAGTCAAGGTAGCCAAATCGTCTTCTGGCTCAGCAGTGAATGCAATTGTGGTTCCAACCTTAATCTCCTTTGCACCATCATGAATCAGGATTTTAGCCAATTTTCCGTCGTCTACGGCTTCAACGTCAATGGTAGCTTTGTCGGTCTCAATCTCCAGTAGCACATCACCTGAGCTGAAAGAATCTCCTTCCTTCACCTTCCACTCAACTACGCCACCTTCTTCCATAGTGGGTGACATCGCCGGCATACCAAATGGTGTAGCACCATATCTCGAAGCCGAGGTGTGGAATGCTGTGGATTGGATGTTAGTAAATAAGGCCATTGAACTTCACGGTAGTAAGACAATTGAGTGACAACATACAATTCCTCAAAGAGAGTCTAGCAGCAGAGCAGAGTAGCCTGCCATTGATTCTAAATACAGTGTTGCCCCTAAGCATATCGATGGTCACTATTGGAAAAGTTTGCGGTGCGTAGTAGGACTATCGACAGATCCTCTATGACCGAAGTGTTGGAGACCAACTTCGGACTGCAGAAGGCCCGGGAGTGTCTTACCAAATACTTGTTTACGTAATTTGTTACGTAATTAAAATAATTTGGAGAAGATGAAAATTAATTTTTTTTGATCGCATACAGTAGAGATGCTTTACAGATCACTCCCTGATAACCTACAACGACTTTAGAAAATGAGTAAGAGAAAGGCACTCAGAAAGAAGGAGGAACTACTGAAAAAAAGAAAGAAGCAGGATGAGACATCCTTGAGTTCGGGTGTGTTCAGGTCGCTGGATGGAGCTTCTGATGAGGAACAGAACTGGTCTGATGAAGAACAAGACTATGAGATGAAGCCAAGATCTATATATAACACGGAGCAGATGGTGGAAGGATTGCCAATCAAGTCACAAGATGGTAATATAACGAGAGTGCTGAGAAAGCAGCCGAGCCCCAAGAAGAAGGAAGAACCTGTTGAATCGTCTGAGGAAGAACCAGAAGAACAAGAGGAAGATGAAGAAAATACCGATTCAGACGAAGATGACGGTCGAACTCCTCAAGAGAAGCTGAGAGAGTTGAAGGAGGAAGTTGCCAACCTCTCAGAGGAACTCATAAATGATCCCGAAGAGAATATCAATATGCTGTCAAGATTGAGGAGAATGGCAGAATCCAAGAACCCAAATACTAGCAAACTTTCTTTGCTATCTCTGGTCTTGGTGTTTAGATCTATTGCACCAAGTTACAAGATCAGACCATTGACAGATGCTGAGAAGAAAGAAAAAGTTTCTAGGGAAGTCAAGAAGCAGAGAGAGTTCGAGCAGATCATGGTTGCGAATTACAAATCGTATCTGCAGCTGTTAGGCTCAAAAGCCAGAAATGTGAGAGGCTCACAAGGAGCCAATGAAAGTGATATCGAACTAGGAAATCTGGCAGTGAAAGCTGCCTGTGAACTCACTAGTTCCATGAAGTACTTCAATTTCAGAGAAGAGTTGTTTGACATATTGGTGAGAAGAGCAGTGAAAAAACCAACTGACAAAAGCTCGCAAGACTACAAAAGTTACGAGAGGTCGGTTATTACCTTACAACAGCTTTTGCTTGATGATGCTGAGAGGGGAGATATTTCTTTTGACATTGTGAGATCTCTTTGCCATGCCATCAAGGGCCGCAAACACCGTGTGGACGAGAGTTGTCTTAACATTTTTCAGTCGTTGACTGTTCTAACGGACTACAATCCCAACAACGTTGAGAGTGAAGATACTCCTCGTTTGAAGAAGAAAGATAGAGTGCATTTCTCCAAGAAGGAGAGGAAGGCCAGAAAAGAAAGAAAGAAGATCGATGCTGAGATTCAATCGGCCGAACATGCTCTTACTGTGGAGCAAAGACAGAATTTCCAGGCTCAGATTTTGCAGATGCTGCTGGCCCTCTACCTGGAAATCTTAAGATCTGGTACGAAGCCTTTAATGGCTGCAGTATTGGAAGGTCTCTCCATGTACACCCACATGGTGAACATGGATCTTTTGGGAGACTTCCTGACTGTGCTTTGGGAATTCACCACGAAACCAGGAGACCTGGAAGAAGAAGACAGTTTCCAAATTCAAGTGCGCGAGTCTCTTCTGGCAATTGTCACAGCATTCGCGCTGGTGGACGGACAGCCAAAAAACCAGATGGATCTGTCCAAGTTCGTGGACAACTTATATTTTATCCTGGCTCCTATGGCATATGAGTTTAACATCGAGGGAAGAACTACAAGACTGATCGAAGATCAGAGAGACAAAGGATCTCTTTTGGCTGCAACTTCCGTCAATTTCTCGACCATGATAGAGCTGTGTCTTCGTGCTTTGGAGATGATATTCTTCAAGTCCAAGTCCAGTTCGGTTTTACGGGCCCATGCCTTCACCAAGAGACTCTACCTATCCCTGCTCAACTTGCCTGAAAAGTCCTCCATTGCAATTTTGAAATTCTTAGGAAAGCTGATGTCAAGATACTCCGAAGTCTCAGGTCTTTTCTCCACAGAAGACCGTATAAACGATGGTGTATACCACGTCGAAGCCACAGAGCCTGCCAGAGCCAACCCAGGAGCTGCCGTTCTATGGGAGACCGTCTTACTGGAAAAGCATTACTGTCCACAGGTCGCACAAACAGCAAAATCATTGAGTAACAAGGCCAAACAATCCTTGTAAAATGTATATTAATCACTACATCATTTTCTTAATTCATATATCCTAATCTCCGGGGTTGTAACACTGTACCATATACCGGAATCTTTCAAGTCTTGGTTCGGGCAACTTGAGTATGATATCACGCTGCATTGAATATCTGACTGCGCTATGGAATTATCCCAAACCGCAATAGTCTCTTCGTTTCTGATTGTTGCAGAGATGTACACCACCAGGTTTGGGTTCTGAAGGAATGCTGCAGTGATGGTTTGGAGAAGTACAGGGATGATGGTGGAGTCATAAGTGATATCAGCACCAACGAGAATATCAACACCATCAGGCACTTGATCTTCACCCCACAGCAAACTCTGAAAAATCCATTTGGGATCATCTTTGGAGATGTTGTTCAATTTTAGGGTGGCCCCTAAATTCTCAATCAGATTGGCATCTCCATCAGTAACCACAATGCTGGATGCTCCCGTATACTTCCCCAATGCAAGACTGACCAGCCCTGTACCAGCACCTAACTCCAAAACGGTCTTTCCTGGAACCAAATCGGGGTTCTCAAGCAAGTAATTGGACAAATATAGTGCCGCTTCCCAGGTTCTTCTTCCAGTGGTGCCGTATCCCGAGATTAGTTGGGGAGATTCGTTGATCTCTATTATGCTATCCTTTTCAACTCTCTCTGCTGCCTTGATGCTGTATGTGATAACTTCGAAATCCGTGGGACTCAGCGGTTTTGCTCCGAGCAATTCACTGAAAAATTCAAACAGTTCGTCGTCAAGCTCGCAGTTGTCCTGTTCCAGTCTTTTGATAGCAGATTTCAGGAAGGTAAGTATGTAGTATGGGTTCCGGTTTGCTATCAGTTCGCATTCTCGCAGTAGCCTTTGGGTATTCAGTGCCAGCTCTGCTGTAGAAATATCCTCCAGATATTTTACTGGCACTCTCTGTCGTATTTTTCGTATGAGACTATCCATATTGGAGCCTGGAACTGGCGTTTTTTTGAGGTCAGATAAGAATTTGGCTGATGCTTTTAGGACTGAAAAATCTCACACTTGCGCGATGCGATGCCCTTCCCCCAATAAACACTGTGTGATGAGGCTGATGACCTTTATGGCATAGATAACAGTTTTATTTTAGGACATGAGATAAATTGATCTAAACGTTCAATTTAAATACTTTTAAATACATTTAAACAGATAATAACCCCAAAACTCTGATTCTCTTGACACCTCCGTCAGGGATCATGACGAGCTTCACGTGCGTGTAGACCTCTCCAGATTCAACAGAGTACTCGTGCTCAGCATCGGGTCCAGTTTTTGAATCAGGAACAATCGCCTTCCAGTCAGAATGGGCATGGTCAGGAGATTCTTCAGACGAATTCAAAGCCTCAACACGCACCTTCTGAGGGAAGTTTCCACGGAAATGGGCAGTATCGACAACGATCTTCTGGACCTTCGTAGGATAGCCTAATTTGATGATAGCCCAGTCAACGTGACCAGGCGCTCTTGATCTGGTGGTCTCCCAGCCATCACTCATATCGAATCCTCTTCCTGGCAAAATCAGGTTGTCTGCGGATCCGAAATGTTGGTCTGACACAGAAACGGCAACACCTCCCTGGTTGACACTGGCAGTATCCAACACCTGGCTCAGATCTTGGGGCACAACCGTCACGACCTTTCCGTAAAGTCTAAATCTCGCAATTCCACCGTCTGGGTACATGCGCAGTCTGATGTGGGTGTAGGTGGCTTCGGTCAACGAGTCTCTCACGAAGAAGTGTCTTTGGGAAGGCCCACACTCCACCTTGGAGATAACCGTTTCCCAGTCAGCTTCTTGAGCCTTGGAGTCATCAGAAACCGTAGCAGCCTCAACAGAGATAGCAGGAGCGTGGTTCCCGTTGAAAAAAGCGGTATCGATCTCGCAGCCGATCAATCTTGCAGAAGACACTCCCAGCTTGAAGATGACCCAGTCTGCTTCCTCAGTGTTGTGTCTTCTGGTTTCCCAACCATCGTACCAGGCACCGGCATATGTGAATCTGGTAGCATCACGAATGGGGGCCTTTGGCTTGATTAAGTTCTCTGCCGCAGCAAACCATTCGTCTGAGAATGACAGCACTTTTCCACCGAGCTTTTCACCGATGACATCGGTGTATCTCTGAACGATGGACTCGTGGAACTCGCTCTCAGAAATTCTTTCAACTGGTACTTCAGACATGTTTGGATGAGTTTCTGGTGATCTTTTTTAGGAAAAGAAGAACAGTATTGCTCGAAGAGGTAGGAAGTCGGCGGTGGTCTAGCACCCAACCTTCACCGATAAGCTGGGCGGAAATGTCCGTCTTATCACACGCACACAGTAGATTGCGCCTTTGGCCGCCGAGTACTCGCCGGGTGCACGCCGGATGCGAAGACTATAATATATATCATACAATAAAGCCCCAGTTTTGTGTAATAAAGGTAGCGGGGGAATGGGATTTTACAGCTATTAACAAAATTAAACCCTATTTAGTTATTTTTTTGTGGTCTATCCTTTATAGTAGTCCGGGATCTTGAACGCATAAGTCCTAATCGTGGGCTCTTCATTCAGGTTGTCAGAGGAGTGTAGAGTCTTTTCAATATACTTCAGGTTCCCACTTCTATCCACAACAATTATGGTTTGAGTCCTTGTGCCATAATAACCCCCCATGGACGTAATTCCTTGCTTTTTCAGCTCTTCCTCCATCCCAAAGTGTGGAGTCTTGATAGGCGGGATAAAGATCGAGGACGGCATTTCTTTGAAAAGCTCGAGATAAGAATCGGGTTTCTTTGTAGTGTCTATTTCGGTCGTGCTTAAAACTTCGAATCCTCGGGTTATTAGCTCATCCTGCGACCAGTTGTTCTGGAGGGAGTCGGAGATCAGCTTGTCCAAGAGAACCTTTCCCTTTTGCACTTTTGGCCATGGCTGCGTGAAAAGCGAATTCGAAAGGCCTATCATTCTTGTCTCGGGTTTAAACACCTCCACAGAACCTTGCGCTCTGTTGGATATGATATTGAACGGTTCAATCACTCCGCCTGCTCCCAGCCTCAAATCGCCAAACAGCAGCGAGAAACCGCCAACATTCTTGAACTCTTTGGAAACCTCACGAACATGGGCTTCCCATTCCCGGGGATTGAGCGAAGAGTTTAAAAAAGAGATTGGCAACGAACCTCTTGATATAAGACTCAAAGCGTCGTCTAAAGTTGTTAGTCGGGGACTCGATAGTGTGGGGAAGGTCTCAAAATCATTTCTGTCGTTTCACTCACTTTCAGCGGAACCCTCGCGATAATTCACCAATACACACAACCTTCCATGCCTATTCACTCCTATCCAAGTTCCATGTTCGGACCTGGCCAAGTCGAAAGGCGCTAGAATCTCTCTGTTCTCTGAGTAGAAGTCAGCCAGCGCGGTTGGCCTAGCAAAGTACTCATCTCTGTTTGATAGTAGCACAAATGGATAATCTGGATGCTCACAGGAAGACAACAGAATACACATTTGTGATTGAAGTCAGTACAGGGAAAGCGCGACCACACCAACCTAATCATATGACGGCTTCAGCCCAACTATCTGCTTAAGGCGTACACGCCGCGATAGGCCGGCCTGGGGTTTGGGATTTCCTGGGTGCAATACTCAATTTTGTTGGCCCTTTTTTTTGAAGTATGAAAAGTTAAGCTGGTGAGTCAACAAGACAACTTCAGTATTTTTTCTGTTTGGCCTGGAAGAAACACCGGAATAGGCTCTTGCTTTCTGGAATATACAAACAAAAGTCCCTCTCATCGGCTTAGAAAACTTACCCTCACCGATGTCGAAGGTTGTCAAATCAAACGAGGTCAAAGTGCTGGTGGACTCGTTCATCTCGAAGTTGAAGAGACGCCAAATCACTGGTTCATATGGCGTTGCTCTGGAAACGGCGCATTTGCTAATGCGAGTGATATCGTTCTCGAGGTGGCATAGTGCGGATGAGTTGATTCTTCAGATAAGAGCTGTGGGAAACCAGCTGATCAAGGCTCAACCAAGAGAGTTTTCGTGTGGTAACATTGTCAGGCGGGTGCTTGCTCTCATCCGTGACGAGATCACAGAATCGAACCCGAACCAGGCACATATGGTGACGTCGATGTTTGAGCTTTTGAGTACGAATAAGGACCTGGCAAGGAAGTCTGCTCCTTTGATGCACAAATCACACAGCCAGGATTTGCGTTCTGTGATTATCCAGGGTATAAGAGAACTGGTGGACGAAATAACCTCTGTTCACGAGAATATAGAACTGATGTCTGTGGATCTCATTCACGACAATGAGGTGTTGCTGACACCCACGCCAGGATCCGAGACTGTACTGAATTTTCTTTTAAAGGCCAGGTTGAAGAGGAAGTTTACAGTACTAGTCACCGAGAACTTCCCCAACGATACCGAGCAGTCGCATAAATTCGCAAAGACCCTTGCTGAGGCCGATATTGAGACTGTCATCATTCCAGATTCCACAGTGTATGCTGTGATGTCCAGAGTCGGAAAAGTGATAATAGGTGCCAGATCAGTGTTCGCCAATGGTGGCTGCGTCACCAGTGCTGGTGTAGCTACTGTCTGTGAATGTGCCAAAGAACATAGGACTCCGGTGTTTACTGTGGCAGGGTTGTTCAAGCTTTCGCCTACGTATCCATTTGACAGAGACAGTCTGATCGAGGTCGGAAACTCAGGCAAGGTGCTTCCATACGAGGACAGCGCTTTGGTGGGCAAGTGCGAGGTGACCAACCCTCTTTACGACTACGTTATGCCAGAGCATATTGACATATATATTACCAATGTGTGAGTATCCCTTGAGTGTGGCTTTCAAATTTTCTGACTACAGCTTACTAACTTTTTCATCAGAGGTGGCTTTTCCCCAAATTTCATATATCGCATAGTTCAGGATAACTACAAGAACGAGGATGTGAATTTGGAGGATCCACAATAATGCAATGATACCTTCCTTTTACCTCCAGCCCGTAACATTCTTCGGATGCGGCCCCTTTTCCTCGCTCGGTCTGAGTCTTTCATGTGAGATCTTGAGCTGGATGATCCTTCGTGATTCATGGGGCCAGAGCAAATAGATTTTTTTTTGAGTACGACGTTATCTTGCGATTGCTGTGGTAACGCTGTAATTACCAAATCTGACACCATGACATTGAAGCATTTATAATTGTAGACTAATAAACTCGTTCGTATTTTTCATTAGTAGACCCAGATGCGGTAATCGCCCCGGCACTCGAGACGCGTTAAGCGATGAGCATTGAAAAGTCATTTGATCTCACTAATGGTGGACTCTCCTTATCGATAGATCTCCAACGCAATGAAGCTGAAGATTGCCACGTCTGATCCAGATCTCTTACGAGGTATGCGCGCCATTCTGACTCTGCTGCTGCTGTTCGACTTTTACTAACTGTGCCAGTGACCCTCGCCTCTATCATACCACTACGCAAGTTCTGCGTCTTCAGATTCACCCCAGAAACACTACACATCATCAGTGCTTCTCTGGATGAACCGCAAGCCTGGTGCAAGTTACAGACAGACATATTCGACATATACGATGTGGAAAGTACCAGGCAGAATGTCATTGCCATGGAAATAAACATAGACCCGTTGTATCAGATCCTGCGGGCCTACCAGCGAACCAACTCACATAACCTACTGTTCCATCTGCAAAAAAAAACCGCTAATAAAATTGGCACGTACATAACAAACAGCAAATCCGCAGCCTTTCTCTCCGTGTTCTACGACCAACAAATCTCCATGACTTCCAGCGTTCAGCACACGTTTAGAATACCAATTCGATTGTTGAAGAAAGATAGTGACGACAGAATCCAGGAACCCAGGTCGGGTGACCCGGCCCTGTTACTGAGACTGAGCAAAAATATCACCTATCTGTATAAGAGGATTGACCGGTATAAGAAAGCAAAGCATATCACGCTCACAGTGACCAAGGGTGGTGAACTGAGCATCAACATCGATCATGAACTGCGAGACGTTTCTATGGTATGGAAGAAACCACTGCCCATTCCTGCTCATAGTTTTGATGATGTCTCAAGCGATTCAATCAGTTTGACTCTGAAGCTTCGAGATTGGAAAAAAGGTGCAAAGATCGCCGAGCTAAGCAAAACGCTAATGATGATGTTTTTAGAGAACCAGGCTTTGGTTCTCCATGCATTCATGGATGACGAGAAGAAAAGCGAAGTGTTGTTCTACGCGGGGGCTTTTAACGCCTGATAATTGATATATCGAACAAGTGTCTATTGAAGATGTAGTAAATCCAGCCATTACTTATGACTCTCGGCAAAGGTCTTGATATAAGCAACCAACAGCTCCACGGACTTCAACGAGACTGCGTTGTACAACGAAGCTCTCATACCACCCACAGATCTGTGTCCTTTCAAACCGGTGAGCTTGTTGGCCTCTCCCTGCTTCAAGAACTCGGAGTCCAGAGAGGTATCCTTCAATGTGAAGACAACGTTCATCTTGCTTCTAACGGCTTTGGCCACGGGCAAATTGAAAATGGTTGGGTACGCATCCAATGTCTCATACAGTAGTTTGGCCTTCTTTTCATTAAGCTCCTGCTGGAATGTAATTCCACCTTTTTTCAAAAGAGATTGTAGCACAAGATCAACTATGTGCAAAGTGAAGATTGGAATAGTGTTGTAGGCAGAGTTGTTTGCAACAACGGTTGGATAATGAAAAGCGATTGGGGGTAAAGGAATTCCAGCAGCTTTGATTTCGGCATCAGATGGCTGTTCCAGAAGTGATTTCTTGATGATATAGATGGAAATTCCGGCCAGACCAACGTTCTTCTGAGCACCAGCCATGATTAAACCATACTTGGAGATGTCCAACTTCTTGGACAGTATGTTGGACGACATATCCGCAACAATCTCAACATCTGGGAACTTTTCGAATGGAAAGTCAGGGAATTCAATACCGTTGACCGTCTCGTTATCACAGAAGTACACATAGGAAGTGTCTTTGAGATCAGGAATGGACCATTTTTCAACGGAGGGGATGTCACCAAAAGACCCATTTAATTTTTTGGCATCACAAACAACAACCGAGTCAACACCCAATCTCACAGCTTCTTCATAAGACTTTTTAGACCAGGTACCAGTGATAACGTAACCTGCCTTACCTGGTTTGCCTGTCTTTTTCAGATACGCAGCTGCCAAATTAGTTGCGATTGACGAAAATCCAGAGGTACCTCCTCCTTGCATGAAAAATACTTCATGAGTGTCTGGAATGTCCAACAAGTCCTTGAAATGCTGTTTCGTGCTATTTATCACCTCGGTAGCTGGTCCAGAACGATGAGAGATCTCTCCGATACCCAGACCGACTGAGTTAAAGTTCAACAGATCATAGGCAGCAGTCTGGAGTACCTCTGTTGGTAGCAACGCAGGCCCGGCTCCGAAATAATTGGGTTCTTCTCTTGTTAGCTCTCTGGACATGGCTATATCTCAGAATCTGGACTTTGGCTTGTTCGCACGGTGGAAGGACAAACCACGAAGAGTCATCGTGGTGAAATAGATTGGATATTTGGTGTCACGTGACCAAAATCAATCTTGTTTCCGCGACTGTTTTGTATGTCAACAGACAGGCTTCTATAGCACTAACAAACACGTTAGCCACTCGCCCTCAAAATGTCGACTAATAGTCCGAATAACTCGACTCTCACGATTTCTCCCTTCGTGAGGGGCCAGAAAAAAAAGGACTTTTACGCGACGCCTCCGAATGTACTTCTACCCCACCAATCCTCTAACTCCAAGATGTTCTCAACACCCTCGTCTCAGAACTCGTCATTGAAATTCGAGACAGGTCTTGCAGAGGATCCTCCGCTTACACAAGCTGATAGGCTGAGGCTCTGGAGGCATGACGCATTTTTCCAGCACCATTACACCACGGCGGAGTATGTGGGTGATAAGGTTTTGTCTTTGACCAACGATCCGAACGATGCTTTTTGGTTGGCCCAGATATATTATGCTACGGGAAACTACATTGGCGCAAGAACTTTATTGATGGGCCCTGACTTCGAGGACTCCATCGCTTGTCGGTACCTTGCTGGTCAATGTCTTATCAAGCTGGAAGAGTGGGACGAGGCCCTGGATATAATAGGTGATGTGAATCCCTTCAAGACGGATCATTCCACCAACAAAAATCTGGATGGTGGGATTAAGCTGGAGGCTTCGATGTGCTATTTAAGAGGAGTGATATTCTCAAGACAAAACGATTTCGAAAGAGCAAAAGAGTGCTTTCAAGAAGCTGTGCTGGTGGATGCTAAGTGTTTCGAGGCCTTTGACGAATTGATCAAGAATAACTTGCTAACACCAAAAGAAGAATGGAGCTTACTTAACTCGCTACATTACGAGGATGCTGATATCAATGGCGATCTGGTGAAGTTGCTTTATACCACGAGACTCAACAAGTATGTCAATATGCCCTCTTTCGAAGAGGCAGAATCGCGACTGCGAGAGGAGTACAACCTTGGGAACAACGCTGATATTCTGCTGAGCAGAGCAAACTTGCTATTTGTTCAGTGCAAATTCCAACAGTGTTTACTGATATGTGAGGAGTTGATGGAGAGGAATTCCACCAATTTTTCGGCGATCCCTCTGTATCTCAGTTGTTTGCACGAACTAGGAGGCAAGAACAAGCTCTTTCTGATAGCTCATGAACTTGCTGACAATCACCCCAACCATCATGTGACATGGCTTGCGATAGGAATTTACTATTTCTCCATCAAAAAGATTGGTGAGGCCAGAGCCTTCTTTTCTAAAGCCTCAACAGTGTCGCCGAATTTCGGTCCCGCCTGGATAGGGTTTGCACATACTTTTGCTGCGGAATCAGAGCATGAACAGGCCATAAGTGCTTATGCGACAGCTTCGCGTCTTTTCCCAGGCTCTCATTTGCCAAACATGTTTTTGGGGATGCAGTATCTTCAGATGAACAATTTGTCGCTGGCTGACGAGTATCTGTCATCTGCATTCTCAATCTGTCCGAACGATCCTCTTTTGCTGAATGAGCTGGGTGTCGTATACTACCATCGAGGGTCTCTCGAGAATGCTGAGCAATACTTCTTGAGAGCTGTCACTGCTGCAAAGAATCTGAGCGCGGACTCCAAGGTTTGGACCTCCGTAAACTCCAACCTTGGTCATGTGTACCGTCGCATGGACATGTATGGGAAGGCACTGCAATGTTTCAAAAAGGTGCTGAAAGTTTCCAACAGAGACGTGAACACATATACCGCCCTGGGTCTGGTTTACTTGAAAATGCGCGATTTGACACAGGCCATCGAGGTTCTGCATACTGCGCTTGGCATTTCGTCAACCAACCGTGTAGCCAGTGACCTACTGAAACGGGCTCTGGAACAGGGCTCGGGCGACAGCAAGGATTTCTTCGGCAAGACGGAGAGGCTGGGGCGGCTTGTCCAACAGCCTGTCGGTGGTCTGGTGACTGAGACCCCTTTGAACAGAAACAAGGGCAATAGGATATCTTCGAGCGGCGTTAACTCCGAGTACGCAATTGATGTTATGGTGGACAATCTGAAGAAGGGTGCGGAATCTAGTGATGAGGAAGATGTGATGGAAATCGAGAGTGACTAATAAAAAAAACAGGCGTTTTTTCAACAAATATTCAGCATAATTACATACTTTTTAGCTAAACAGTCAATCTGTTAGATCTCACTATAATTAGCGTGATGCGTCCCAAAAAGGAGTCGCGATGGGGGAGACCCTTCAGGCTCATCTCTCCCACAAATAAACGTGGCTCCTTATCGGTTGTGAGGCGAGATCATACTTAAGAGACAGTCCTTGGCCTCGGTATCGTTCTTATAATATCAGAAATTTGTCCAAATCATTGCCATATTCCTTTGGGAGTTTTTTATCCTATCCCCAATCAATGCATCGTCAAGCAGAATAGACGCTATTGGGAACAAGTGATATCAACAGCATAGCATTCACATTCCACAATGAACGCCTTCGAACCAATCTCTAAAATCCCACAATCGAAGGAACCCGTTCTTTTGGGTGCCTCGTTCAATCAAGACCAGAGTTGTTTTGCAGTAGGCTTTGAACATGGATTTCGAGTCTACAGTACTGATCCCATGGAGCCCCGGATGAAACGCACGTTCTCGCTGGTCACTGGCAAGAAGAGCACGGATACTGACCTGAACTCTAGCGGTATAGGTGTTGTGTCAATGCTGCATCGAACGAACTATGTTGCTTTGGTTGGAGGCGGGAAGGCCCCCAACTTCCCCGTGAATAAGGTGGTGATCTGGGACGACCTGAAGAAAAAAGCATCTATCATACTGGAGTTCATGAGTCCTGTGTTGAACGTGCTGTTATCAAGGACTCAGATAATCACCATTTTGAAGAACCAGGTGGTTATTCATGCTTTTGAGGCAAAACCAAAGTTTATCTCCAGCTACGAGACCTCCGATAACGAATATGGAACTGGTGACTTGTCTCCAGGCACTCTGAGCAGGTCGAAGGGTGTTGAAACAGACACTGGAATGCACATACTGGCATTCCTCGGAAGGTCCATTGGGCAAATTCAGTTAGTGGACGTGTCTCCTAATGGGCAGGAGAGAAACCGCATATCTATTATAAAGGCTCATAAGGGCAAGATACGGTGTCTAGTTCTGAACAGTGCGGGTACTATGATCGCCTCGGCATCTGAAATGGGCACGTTGATACGCGTTCATGCTACTTCGAATTGCTCTTTGCTTTACGAGTTCAGAAGAGGTGTTGATCGTGCGGCAATAACCTCGATGAGATTCTCTCCTTCTGGGTCGAAATTGGCGGTTCTATCGGACAAAAATACCTTGCACGTATTCAATGTGAACGGGGCTACTTCAAATCGCCATCACTTTCTTGGGAAACTGCCCATGGTTCCCAACTACTTTATGTCAACCTGGAGTTTTGTCTCCATTCATGTATCCGAGGACAACGGTCCTACAAACGGAAAACTAATGACCATCGATACAGGTGTTTTAGGCTGGTCGAGTGAAGACAGCATCATCATTTTATGGAAGCTGCGTGGTCGCTGGGAAAAGTACGTTATTGTTGAAAAGGGGGAGGTAATGGATCAGGACGGTAGCGTTCAAAAACAATCCGAGTTGGTGAGAGAAGCCTGGAGAGGCTTTGGTGATCTACTCGAACAATAGACATCGTCCCATTATGGTGAAAGCATACTTTCTTGTTGAATTACTTAACAAGAATATCTATCGTGTATTATTAATCATGCAATCATGTTTTTCTTGGTCCCTTGATCCTCATCAAGTTTGCAATGACCTTTGATGGTGGAACAGAGATGTGTATGTCCATCTCTCCTTCTTTCAAGTAGTCTCCATCGGATAATGCAATTTCATCTCTTGCTATCAACCAAGCCCTCAGTACAATAAGAACTATTCCAGAAACAAAATAGCAAACACCAACAAATATGGCCGGGTGTTGATATTGTTTGGGGTTTGCGGCTCCTCCAGTAGTCAGGCTGATAGTTATGACCGGACCTGTTATGCTCCCCGTAGACAAAACTACCAATCCTAAAGCCAGGCCCATTTGAAATCTTTGCATACCAACAACTCTGACGGCAAGAGCTCCAAATATTACCCAAATTGTACCACAAATTGCGCCTGCAACAAGTGCAAATGCCACTGCAGCTGCAAGATTCCGGGCTGGAATCCATAATGCTAACGAAAACAGTGCAGATAACATGCTGCTGATGATTCCCATGTGAACGGGCCCAAACTTGTCGCCCAAAAATCCAAAAAGAGGTCTTCCGAAAAAAGCTCCCAATGAAACCATTGAGGAGACAAGAGAGCCTTGGAAGGGAGTATATCCCAAAGACTGGGTGAAGCTGGAAAGACAGTAGAGGATAGCGATGTACCCCAGTATTGCCAAAAACTGGTACAGTGCCGCCATCCACATCCCAAAGGATTGAAAAATTACCTTGTCATAAATTTTGTAGCTCGGTTTTATATGCTTACTTCTTGATTTCATCAAGATGAGCACAATGATGTTCAGGAACAAGCAGATGAAAGATTGGGTTCTCAATGCCCATTTGTATCCAAACCTTTCCAATACCTTTTGCATTCCCAGATTGAATAGGAGACCACTTCCTGAACCTGAAGATACCAATCCCAATGCCAACACTCTCTTCCTTTTGAACCACTGAGGAATAATCGTGAAGCCTGGCATGAAAAGAAGGGCCAAGCCAAATCCCTGAAGAACACCTTGGGTCAGATAAAGATGCCACAATTTTGTCGCATAACTTGCAATGAACACACCCGCAAACTGAACCAGCATTCCAACAAACATGACCTGTTTGAAGCCAAACTTACCAATAAGGAAATTGATCAAATGTGCAAACAGTACACCTGCACCGAACGTTAGGCCTCCGATTGCTCCATAATCAAGCTTTGTAGCACCACTAAACGTGTCATTTCTCAAGTAATCTGCAAGATATATGGCATAGCTTGTATTTGATCCCCACGTGCTGATAAATAACAGGAAATTTGCAAAAACAACCACCCACCCGTAACCCCCATCTGGTATTTCAACAGATGCTGGAGTTACAGAATGTTGTGAAGTTTTCCCTTCCTCAACATCCGCATTGTCGCCGTTTCTGATATTCTTGAAAAACATTAATAATTGGAAAATATCACCAACAGAATCTCAAATTAGAGCTGTTGATTGATACCCTACAGGAATTTATCAAATTTGCAAGGGAAGCAATGTAGGATTTTATATCGAGCTGGAGCCAGATATTCGAGGCGTAAAAGCAATGTGATAGGAGAAGAAATGATGTTTGTCATCTCAATGCTGGAACGTTATTGGACGAGAGACTCAATTTTTCACCAGTTCAGACTCAGAATCATGCACGGGGCCGATTTTAGGAGCAGTAGCGCCACGCTTAGTAAACAAGCCACGGTGGAACGTTATTGGCTGGGAAGTGTTCGGGATGACAAATTATGAAGCTGGAAGGTGAATAGTCATGCACTCCCCGCATGGTCGTTAAATATGCGGCGAATAATTGGTGGGACCACTATATATCACAATCTGTTCACACACTCCTAAAATTTTTTATATCAGAAATAATCTAAGAGAACTAAGAAGATTCTCAGTCTGCTCCTCACATCAAGACTAAAAAAAATAGATGGCTACTGTAGTACCGCCACCATCGAAGAAGCAGAGGAAGGCTGCACAGCTGGAAAGAGAAGTGGATGTTGTTCCTTCAGACTTGCCGGATGTTCTGATCAAGTTTGAAGCCTCTGATGCCCCAGAAGCCTCACAAGACAGGATCAGAGGTGGCTTCAGAGTCCCCGGTGGCATCACCGAGAAACAATTAGAGGAGCTTTTGAACAAGCTGCAACACACAGAGGATGATCCAGTTCCTTACTCTTTTTCGTTCACAGCTAATGATCAACTAATGGATATAAGGACGTCACTGTATGCCTCGGTACTGAAACCAGGATACAAATCTACAGAAGATTTCATTACGTTGCTTTATACACCTAGAGCCGTTTTCAAGGTCAAACCTATTACCAGAGCCTCGGGTACAATTTCGGGCCATGGTTCTACTATATTGGCGGCGCAGTTTTCCCCTAATGATAGCTCTAAAATGGTCACCGGGGCTGGTGATTCCACCGCCAGACTCTGGGATTGCAACACTCAAACAATTCAACACACTTTGGCAGGTCATACAAATTGGGTTTTATGTGTTAGCTGGAGTCCAAGTGGAGATGTAATTGCCACCGGAAGTATGGATAACACGATCCGTCTTTGGGATCCTAAGACTGGAAAGCAGCTAGGAAAGCCTTTGGCAGGTCATACCAAATGGATCTCTAGTATATCGTGGGAGCCTTTGCATGCAGTTGCTGTTGGAGAAAAGCCACGACTGTGTTCAGGTTCCAAAGATGGAACCATAAAGGTCTGGGATACCGTAAGAAACGTGTGTCTTCTGACGATGTGCGGTCACGCGTCAAGTGTTTCCTGCATTCGCTGGGGAGGAGCTGGATACATTTATTCTGGATCTCATGACAAAACTGTCAAAATGTGGGATGCCAAAGATGGAAAGTGTGTATCCACTCTGAAATCACACGCTCACTGGGTCAATCATCTCTCGTTATCTACAGATTACGCTTTGAGAATGGGACCATATGACCACACTGGAGTCAAACCAAAGGATGATGCTGAAGCGAAACAAAATGCTCAAAAGAATTACAACAAGGTTGCTATGGTGGGAGGAAAAGCCAAGGAGTTGATGGTGACTGCTAGTGATGATTTCACAATGTTTCTGTGGGATCCTCTTTCATCAACCAAGCCCATATGCCGTATGACAGGTCATCAGAAGCTGGTAAATCACGTCTCGTTCTCTCCTGATGGTAGGTACATTGCTTCCGCTTCGTTCGATAACTCTATCAAGCTGTGGGATGCGAGAACTGGAAAGTTTATCACTTCTTTCAGGGGCCATGTTGCCTCTGTTTACCAAGTGTCTTGGTCCTCAGATTGCAGACTGATTGTGAGCGCATCCAAAGACACCACTTTGAAAGTGTGGGATGTAAATACGAAGAAGCTGATGGTTGACTTGCCCGGTCATTCAGACGAGGTTTATGCAGTAGATTGGAGCACTGACGGTAAGCGAGTGGCTAGTGGAGGAAAGGACAAAATGGTGAGAATATGGACTCATTGAGATGTAGAAGAGAGTGGCATAGTTTCGTTATCCGAGATAATAACTGACAGAAAGAGGGAAATAGATAGACACACAAAGGAGACTGCTACTTCTAGTGACTGCAAATATATATGTATAGCTTCTCTGCTTAAAATTCGAAGTCAGCACTATCTAAAATAAATTCAGCATATTCGTCTCATGATCTGCATGCGGCTCAAGTCTACGTCACCCGCATGAAATGGCAGGTGTCGCGTCTTTGATACACGAAGAAAGATTACAACTCTTGGAAAGCCTTGGCCAATGCTAACTACTAAAATGCATACTGAAAAAAAAGCTATATCACTTATAGTTGCAGGCCTTCTTCCCAAATTTGGAATTGGCTTCGAGGGCCAATTGCCATGGAAGCTGAAGAGGGAAATGCGCTATTTCAGATTAGTCACATCTACGGCAGTAGCGGGTAAGAAGAACGCTGTGATAATGGGACGCAAGACGTGGCAGAGTATCCCTCCAAAGTTCAGACCGCTGCCAAACAGAATAAATGTTGTCTTGTCAAGGACATCGTCTTCAAATGCCGCGATACAAGAAGAAGTTGAAGGTAGTGATACTGTGATTGCAGACTCGATGAGCTCAGCAATCCGTTTGCTTGATTCAGAAAAGATCGATCAAATATTTGTGATTGGTGGAGCCGAATTGTACAATCAGCTTCTTTCGCTTCCAGAGACCGAGGATTATAGCGTTGAAAATATATTTCTGACTGAAATTACTAGTGATAAGGACCATGCCATGGATGCTTTCATTCAAATGGATAATACCCAATGGAGAAAGGCCAGTTCAGCCGCATTACAGGGTCATTTGGAAAAATACGAGCTGACTGGTTTCGAGCTAGAGAATAATGAGGAAGGGGATTACAAATATGATTTTACTCTGTGGCAGAAAATTAAATAAGTACGGATGTGATTTAATGGATTGTCTAGTATTTAATTGATTAGCAAAGGGAAGCCATGTGCGGCGTGCAGGATAAAGTGTAAATCACGTGATATTATTGAGGGCTTCAACCCCTCGGCATCCTACCTCGTGAACTTTTCATCTCAAGTACAGGCTTCTTTTTCTCTCTATCATAGAAGGTAAACCAAATCATAGAAAAATGGCTGAATCACACAGACGTAAGTAACTTTATGTTTATTGATCAATCGGAATAGTCTTCTGCGGGGTTTCTTTCATAGTTTTTGACTTCAATTTGGACAATTACGAGGACTTTCTCTCCACGGACATCATCAAGGACATCATCAAGGACAAGAAAGCAAAAGAATCATCATCACAGCATCATAATCACGCCGGAAAAAGTATCTGATCGATTGGGCTTATTGATATGTTTTCCATACTAGATGAAACAACTCGTGCGAAGATTATTGAGATTGATTTCACCAAAACCAAAGGCTTGAAAACTAACTTTATTTTTACAGTATACGTTAAGGGTAAACACGTGTCCTACCAACGTTCTAAGAACGTCACCAACCCAAACGTTTCGTTGATCAAAATCGAAGGTGTTGCCACCCCAGAGGATGCCAAGTTCTACCTGGGTAAGCGTATTGCCTACGTCTACAGAGCTTCCAAGGAAATCAGAGGTTCGAAGATCAGAGTCATCTGGGGTAAGGTTGCCAGAACTCACGGTAACAACGGTTTGGTGAGAGCTACCTTCAAGACTAATTTGCCAGCAAAGACTTTCGGTGCATCTGTTAGAATCATGCTTTACCCATCGAACATCTAAGTGACCGATATAGCAGTGTGAAGGGGAGATGAGTTGGCTTTATTTACTGAATATAGTTTATTGGCTGAGAATATAATAATGTAGGAATCATCATTATTACTTATCGTAGCTTGCCTATTCATGTTGACACAATTTTGGCAATATATTCAATTTTTCTGATCATGGGATAGACCATTCTAGTATAGTCTGCTGGAAATATCGATGTCGTGCAAGGATTAAAACAAGTCTGAGGTGCTCATAACCAAGTTGGTGCTGCCAATCAAATGGCCTCGAAACATTATTAGCTAACAAACACCAGCACCACGATCAAGTGATACTACTCATCATTTAACTCCGGAGATGATTCCATTTGAAGGTTTGCTCCCTTACGGGATCATGTTTGCCGTATGTAAAGACTTTTATTTCGCTCCGGAGACCCGTTACTAACACTATTCAGGCTATGGCACTTGGTGGTGCAGCTATGAACTCCATAACTGTGTCTGGACTGACTAGAGACACACATGGTCCAAACAACGCCTCGAACTTTGGCCATCCAAAGGATGATATGCATTACATCAGACCTAGATTCAACACAGATCAATGGGATAAGTACTTCGCAGTGAGAGATCTCCGTCTCACCGGTTCGTTCAGAGGACAATCCGACGCTCCAGAGGCCCACGAATCATTCGAAACCAACTCTGTACAACCATTCAACAACACAACCAAGCCATGGGTGTTGAGGAAGCATATAATCATGAAGAACAGTCCAACCAAGTGGCTGAGAAAGTACGGCAACAAGAGAGACAACGACATCCAAGAGATGAAGGATCAATACATCAAAGACATGGGAAACTGATGTTGGTTAACAGAAAATATTTATAAAAATGAAAGAAGGATATCAATGTTCCAAATTTGGCGTATAACATGTGCTTCCATCCCACGATGGATAGCGAGAAAGATGTTCAACTAACCGCTCGATAAAGTCATTCAGTGATTCCAAGTAGTCCTATGGTCAATTGGCATTACTGCACTATTCTCAGTTCGGCATCTCCATCAAGAAGATACTTCGATTTGTGCTCATCGAACAACTTTTTCAGCTCTTTCACATACAAGTCATGGTAGTAATCGATCTGCTGCTGGCTGGGAGATGGCATAAAAGGAATGCTGACCGGGCTGCCAACAACTATGTTTATAGGCTTGCGGAAAGGGAGTAGTCCAAAGTCGTAATTGAAGACTCCACGAGCGAAAAATAGAGGGATTGTGAAACCCAGTCTATTTTTCAGCCACATTTGGAAACTGTAAAGTGCCTTCCTGAACAAAAAGAACGAGTCAGAGACCTCACCCCTATTGCCTGATGTCTCAAACACATTGTATATGTTTGTCTCGCCAAATCCGTAGATTGGAACTAAGCTAACATCTCCAAGCTCCAAGGCAATCTTCACAAAACCCTTGCGCTTCTTCAGCACAATGTCGTTCTTACCAGGTTTGGCAAGTAAAGACTCACTAGCACCACCAACGACTATGGCCACACTTTCATTCTGTCTAACCAAAGACATTACATTATGCTTTGAGACTGATGATATTCCTAGCGACATCAGGTAGTCCCTGTAGAACGGTAGTCTGAATTGGTTGTTCAATGTCAGCAGAAACACCCTGATTCCTGGGAACAGCTTCTCGAAACCTGCTCCATTGGTCGCAAAAGCGCCTGTGACCCCCATAGAAATGATACCGTGAGGATGGTACGCAAATATGTACCTTGGACCCGTTTTGACTTGTTTTGAAACCCAAACTTGCGTCTTCGGTATACGAAGAGCCGCAAGAATGGGGTCAAGAAACCTGGGAAGATACCCAAATGGCGAGATGAAAACCTCTTTGCTGACCTGCTTGGTTGTGAAAGTAGGCTTCAAATCAACGGATTTCCGAATGCGTATCGGAAAGTAGTTCACAAAGTATTTCCAAATCGCCAGGTTTCTCATCGTGGAGGAGTACCTCCATACGCTATTTCCGTTGCTTGGGGTTCTATCATTGAGAAAGAAGAACACGAAATAAACGAACATAAGTGGCCATAACTGGGGGAGCGAACAACATATGAAGAAAAACGAGAGAATCAGTGGAATTGTACACGTGTGCCACAAGACAGCTAAAGTCTGCAACCTCCTCTCAAGAGGTATTCTTTGTGGAGCAAATGCGGGGCGTCTAGAATCATCGGTCTCCGCCACCTTTGATATTTTGTCGTCGTAACTGTGACAAAGGATATCATCGCATTCATAAGACTCATTGTTTTCCTGGCTGAATGTTTCTTCGTTCAGCACCGGCATTTTGGTCAGCCTGGCAAGGAAAAAAAAAACTGAGAAGTCACTCCGCTTCCCCTGCAGCGCACTAATGTTACTAAGAATCCTGATTGCTTGATCTGTCACCTATACCCGGGTCACTAAATTTCTGACTTCGACGGCTCAACTTCTGATTAGCCCTTATTAATCAAACTTTTGACTTATCATTGAGATTGGTCACTGCTTTAATAAAATGACAGAAAGAGGACCGGATCAATGGTTTGAGGATATCAAAAACTGCAAGACTCTCAGTGAAAATGATATGAAACAGCTGTGTGAGAGGGTGAAGGATCTGCTCATGGAGGAGTCCAACATCCAACCGGTGCAGTCTCCTGTGACGGTCTGTGGTGATATCCACGGCCAATTTCATGACTTGCTGGAGTTGTTCAAGATATCTGGAGGCTTTCCAACCTCAAACGGTATCAGCATAAATTACATTTTCCTCGGGGACTACGTTGACAGAGGATACTTCTCCTTGGAGACGTTCACTTTACTAATGGTTCTGAAGATCAAATTCCCACAACACATCACTCTTGTAAGAGGCAACCATGAGTCGAGACAAATCACACAGGTATATGGGTTTTACGAGGAATGTTTGAACAAGTATGGATCCACCATGGTTTGGAAGTATTGTTGCCAGGTCTTTGATTTTTTGACGCTAAGTGCTATAATAGATGGCAAAATCCTTTGTATTCATGGTGGTCTTTCCCCAGAAATAAGGATGCTCGATCAAATCAGAGTTCTATCAAGAGCCCAGGAAGTTCCTCACGAAGGTGGGTTTTGTGATCTTGTTTGGTCAGATCCTGACAATGTTGATCTCTGGGCAGTCTCGCCCAGAGGCGCTGGATGGTTGTTCGGAGCAAAGGTTGCCCGTGAATTCAACCACATCAACAACTTACAGCTCATTGCTAGAGCTCATCAACTTGTCATGGAGGGATTTAGGTACCATTTCAAAGATAAAGATGTGGTAACAGTGTGGTCTGCCCCAAACTACTGCTATAGATGTGGCAATGTCGCCAGTGTTATGAAAGTCGATGACGATCTGGATGTCACGTTTAAGATATTCAGTGCAGTTCCCGATGATACCCAGAAGATCAACCCAACCAAGAATCAAAGGAATGAATACTTTTTGTGATGGTTTTCCGATACTGAGGGAAAAAAAGAACAGACATTGTTCTGACGATGTGACGATTTCGTGTTTGATTTGATGTAATATCCCCTTTCCATTTATATATTATGAGATAACTTTTGTATCAGTTTGTTTCCCAACATTTTCTAACAAACTTATCCATTTTGACCACCTTCTTCACTTGGCCTCCAATCCAGGGATGCTCCAGCATTTGCCTCGGACTTGGCCGACGCTCCGGCTCCTTGATCAAACAATACTCCAAGAAGTTACGGAAGGAAGCAGACCAAGTAATACCCTCTTCTGGTTCATCGTTGAGCACAGGAGTGAACTCCAGTATCATGGACAAAAGTTCTATAGGGGTAAGCGCCATAGTCCTATCAGTGTTATGGAAGGGAAACTTTCCTTGAGCAACTTCCAGCAAAGTTAACCCCAAAGACCACACATCAGACGAGACCGTATATGGCTCATTCTTTATCCTTTCAGGGGCCATATAGTAGGATGTGCCAGTGAAGGTTGTAGCCAGAGAGTTTACAACTTCACCACTAACACCAAAGTCACACAGCTTCACGCTTCCGTCCCAGTCGAGTAATATGTTTTGGGGCTTGACATCTCGATGAATGATCTTCCTTGAGTGCAAGTATGATAAACCCTGCAGCACACTTTCCGCAATTTTGCCAATCACCTTCTCTCCTATCCTCCCATTTCTGGATTTGATGTTTTTGTAGATTGCATCCAGCGATGTTCCCCCCATAAACTCCATGCATATATAGATAGATGCGTCCTCCTCGTCCATAAATGTCCCATAGTAGTCCACAATATACTTGCTTTTGCAGCTGCGATTAAAGTTCAGTTCCCTCATTATTTGTGTCTGAACATTGGGATTCGGATCTGTAGTTATGGTCTTCAGAGCAAAAATCTGGTTCTTCGACTTCCAATTGCATTTTTTGACAGATCCCCCATTCCCCTCTCCTATGAGCTCAAGCTCCTCTATTTCGTTTGATTTCGATAACAGTTTCCAATCGTCTGCATCTAGCTCGTGTATATCCTTTTTGCAGACCGCCTCAAGCTCAGCTTTGCGGTCGTCGCCTATAGAAAGGGTTGACATAGCCAGTACGGGGCTATCAAAATCATTAGGCACACTTACCGGAGTGCTCTCGCTTATGGTGCTCTGCGAACTAGAGCCCAGGGACGAATTTGTGCCAGAGCGTTGCTCTCCAATTTTTATCGGACGTGCTGACTGAGAATCTTGAGACGTTAGTGGAGCCGACAACACAGGCGGCGTCGGTATGGAGAGTGTCGGCAGCTTTGGTCTTGTTCTTCGTTTGTGAATGGACATAGGAGGTCGCAAAGTTGGCGGCGGCACAGGCATTTTTGGAGAATAAATAAAAATTAAATCAGATCCTTCGCACAGTCTCAACAAACATAGATCGCCCAATCGTTTATCAACCGGAATTTGGTTCTGAGGCACGGAATGTAGATGAGAATATGTGCTCAGGTGGTTGCGCGCGTGTTAATGTTAGCACGAATCTCGCGAGGATAGTCAAAACACGACTTTGTGGGAAGCTCAAACTAACCTGTGTCTGTTCACTCCAGTGTTCGGTACTCGGTAACTTTTGAATTTTTTTGAATTTTTCATATTTTTGGTAATATAACCTAGTTTTCAATTTTTTTAATTGACTCAAGCTTGGAATTTTGAGCACGATGGTTGGTTAAATGAACACCTGTAACTCGGACCGTCTTCCTAGGATGTCTTTTCTTGACAAATGAGAAACAGTCGAACCCATACGCTTATCAAACCCAGGAAGAATGCCCGCGTCATAGAAACGCACAAATTCAGTCATTAAAAAACGCAGTGGCCGTTTACGACCATTCTCCAGGATTATTTTTTCGCGAGCGGCAAGCGGAAGCAGTGAAATCAGGTAAGCAACGACAATCTCTTCGCCAGTGAGACTGCCGTCGACCTCTTGAGCAGGAAAATGGTGTCTATTACAGAGAACCTACAGCATTGTGTTGTTTTCTCAAGGCAAGGATTGATGGCCCGGTCTTCTGTCTCAACAAAAAGATCAACAATAAGCTTGGTAGGAAGAAAGCCATAGGTCCGCTCAATGAACTGAACTTCTCAACTCTAGAAATTTGGTTGATCTTATGAATCTTCTAGCCAATAAGCTCGCTCTTGAAAATACCGAGCGCTTTATTGCTTCGCTTGGTCGTACAATCACAACCCGCTAACTTGCTGTTGCCTTTGGGGTTTATTTGATGCCTTTTGATGCTAGGAACAGAATTCACCAGACTGCCAGTCGTAATTATTATGGCGCCGTCATCACTCTTTATGACGTGTCGCGGGTCATGACTGCCCTGGACAGGTAGGATATTTTTCCTGAGACCTTGTCGGCTGTTCCTTCGACTTCTTCGAAAAAAGCCCAAGAAGTCCAGGGTAAGAGCAAAGTCTGTTTTGATCAAGGCTCCCTCTCCTTGTCCCTGTAGGATGTCTTGTATGTTCCACTTATTGATTGCAATCCCCATGCTTGTGATCGTGGTCGTAAGCTCGAGTTTTCTTCTTCTGGGACTGAGCGTGTTGCCCTCTAGAATGGCCGACCCTATACTAGTTGTCACGGGTCTTCGGGTCTGTACAGGCTGATGGGTACTCCACTGATCTCTATGCCTTATGCCACTGATTGTTGAGAGGTGAACTGAATGTTCTACACCGTATAGGAAATACTGTTTTAATAGTTAGATCCCCATGTGACTCAAAGAGTATATGAAGAGGGTCTGTCTATGGCGTTCAAGGTACGCAAAACGCAGGGCTCCGGAAAGGTCGCTCTCAGCTTCCAGAACAAGCATGATCCGAGTATCAACCGAAACCTCAACAATGGCCTCCGGCGCTTCATCAAAAACAACAGCGAGCACAAGCTCAATGTTCTCAGAATAGACCACAGTAAGCGTAATCCCATTGGCAAGAAAAGCCGCAAAGCCCGTCTCGGCCTAGTAGAACCCTCAGAAGGGACTTCACCAGGCAAAGACATAAGAACCTTGTTGATAGGTGTGAGGCCGCTCAATCAGCCGCATTACTATTCTAGCGGTGTGCGGCTCATGTCGCACAGAATTTATTGAGTGATAAGAGACCATACCCCTCTATTGAAGCTCATACCCTTCATGAGCTTCTTCCGTGTATCCCAGAGGAATGTTAGTTAAGTTTCCGTATTATTCAAGAAGCCCCCGTCAGATTTGAAGCTCTTTTAGTGTCTTGAATGACAGCAGGGAGGTGGTCGCTGGAGACCTGAGGTGAACCACGGGGAGAGCAAAAAAAATTAAGGGTGGACATGCCACCAGAGCGACAAGCATGACTATCTAGAAATAGCAATGCACATTCTCTCCTTTGCGCGATCGGTCAAGGGCAACAGCTACCACCGAGATGAAGGTAGTGAAGGACGAAGCGGGAGCTCATCATGACCAGGAACAATCAAATAAAGTTGGCGAGCAACATTATCCTGTTGATAACGCAGGTGATCCGAGAGTTACCTATGTGTAACAATCGCTTGTCAGATATCTCAGGAGAAAGAAGAGAAATGATAAAATCAGCGTGAACTTCCGGACCAGTGACCGTAGGATGAAGAGAGCACAAGCCATAGAGAGCTCGTCGAAACGGATTTACAACAGCATCAAAATCTGGCGTACCATTATTAATAGACTTAAAATCACCCATAAACGAAGTAATTAAGATGAATAAAAATCGTATAAATGAGTCACTATATAAGCGACATAGTCTCTTTAAAAATGTTGACACCATTACCATAGGTTGTAAATTCGACCTGATCAGACACTCTCTCCTTTATAAATCCTATCCTTCATTTCATACTGGAGAATGAATATGTTATTTATTTAACCTGAGGGTCTAATAAAATCTATATTCAAGATACAAAATGGTACGAAAGAAAAGAATCTGAGCTGAATATAAGACCTTATTCATATATGCTGTTTGCATCACACAAACTAATTTCTAACGTTGTTTAACCGTCTAATCCGTCTGTTTCCGGTAATCGACAGTAAACTACAGCTATCAAAAAGTAAACACCTGCTCTCAACAGAAGAAGCGTAAGAACGACACTTAGGATTCAACATTACTAAACGATCGATGCCTTGAAACAAGTTTCTATTAAAGTTCAAATATACTGTCATATCAGAAGCGATGCTGAGCCAAGAGAGCTATTCAACACATTGGTTTAACAACTTTCAACATAGAAAACAGCGAACGGATTCTGAAAATTGATTACATTAGTTTCACAGTTAGGCTATGTTGAACACCATTAACTTAGGTCGTACAATCAACCAACTCAGACATTTTTAGAATTATATTCTTCGCTCTGGATATATAGAATGCTAGAGAGTTTGTTTGTTATTCAAGTCACTAAAATAGGTCTCAAACGGATGGTCTATACCTTAACGTGGACCCTCTTTATATATACCATTCGGATCACAAGAAAGTAACTCATGAACTACTTGACCTTATGGTCACCCACCCATGAACTCTTGGCATTAGGAAATGACTCAAGGTTCTGCATAGTTATTGAATTGTCAGCCTGGAACACCGAATGCCAAGCCCCGAGCATTTACAATGCACGCGGGTTTAACACCTTTCAACTGGCTAAACAGATATTTTATCTTCCGAGAACACCATATTTAGCGCTAGTCGTCTCCTATACTACGTACTATGTATGCTATTCAAGATATGAATATAGCTCTTAGTGTCAGGGATTGCGGTCAAACTGATCTGAAACGGAATTATAGTTTAGAATAAAATCATGAGTGTCCTTCTTAAGACTAATAACACGGCATTCAAGTCAATTCAAAAACCAAGCCAACGTTGGGATCAATTGAGATAGCCTGCCAAATCAACCAGATCAGATACTCTTTCCTATTAGAATTCTAGCTTTCATTGTAAATGCCATCAATGCTACAGAATAAATATGTTATCGACACAGCACAGCACTCTGAACACTCAACAATCTCAACAGGATCGATTTATGGATTCCCAAGGCCCCGTCGGATTATGTTTTTGGCAATCTTTACCAAGTCAGCATTAGAATATTTCTACAGTGAGCGGCAGAGGCTTACTATTGGTTCTAGGCGGTGTTATGGCCAACCTCGAAGCCATAATTTAGAGTATTGTACTAGAGCCTCAAGTATGAATGCATGTCAAACACCATTCTCTAAAATCATAGCTGAATATTTCTGAACGATTGAAACCATCTATACAGAGCGTTATATCGTATATATGTCACCGGCAAAAACTCTCCTTAGTATCGTTGACGACATTCCTAGTTTTCTAAAAGAGGGAGGACAATTAACATTGTGAAAAAATGGGATCAAATCCCCTTTACAAAACTATTTACAAAATCGTTTTCACAAGCTACCCCAGCGAACTCTTCGGCAGGTGTTGAAATTGCTGAATCTTGAGACTGTTATGAGCAATATGTTCAGCTTAGACAGGAACGGAACATTGAACATCATGAAATAACTATGTTTTGTTAGCTAGGTTCTTGTGTGATGCAAATGTGATTTAAATGGAGAGTCTAAAGCGTGTTTGGATCATTAGATTTATAATTTTGGTAGTATCTGGAATAACATACTTAATCTCTAGTATAGATGACATCTAGAGCGAATGTTAGAATTATCGTAGGAAAGAATTTCTGGTCTGGTTGATTGTGTAACCTATGTTAATCGATAGCAAGAACAGGTAATCAATACATACGGGAAGTACATGTGTTGAAATTTCTAGACCATGCCATGAGATTTTGGTGTACGAACATGTTTAGTCCGTTTCCTTACCAAGAGGGACATTAGGGAACATGAATGAGAGAAATTCAAATGCCTGTTGAGACTGTTTATTCTGCAGTGTTATGAGTAGTTTATTTTGCTTAGACAGTGACAGAGCATTCACCGTCATGAAGGAAACCTCTTCTGTTAGCTTTCTTCTGTGTGATTCAAATAAAATACAAATAGAGTCCAAAGTGTTTATAACACCTAAGATCTGTAGTGTTTTTATATCTTGATTGATAGATTTTGTCTATGTTAAAATGAGGTGACAATGATTTACGATACTGCGATGGTGTTGTTAATCAATTTCAACATAACACACTTGTTTTCCTTTGCAGCAGACATCTGGAGTTGAATATAGAGTTCTTATTGTGAAGAAGGTTTGGTTGTAATGACTCTATGCAACCTGTGTCTTTTAATTTGAGCGATTTCTGCTTCCGTATATTGTATTTTTTGCTTCTTTGCGGCAAATTGCTTCCTAAATTACGCGAATCTTTAGCTGTATGATTGGTGATTTTGTAGCAGTTGATAGATTTTAGAATTATGGAGGTACTCTTATGCAAGATTGCTCTAAATCGATTTTTGGCTCTCAATTTGCTTTTTTGATTTGTTTGGTTACAGATTTGGGAGTCTGAGCTCAGTAAAGCTGTGATAAAGTTATTGTAAGGTGTGCTGAGGTTGCGTTTTTATCTGTACTGCCTGGTGTTGTCCTCGTCTCTATGGTCAAACTAGTCATTCGTATTAAGTTTTCTCTTGCCGAGTTTGTTGAATATGTACAGGATAATTTAGTGCTTCCTTAAGCTCTGTTAATATGAGATTATCGTCCTGTTTTTGTCATATCGACTAGATTTCCGTGCTATCTAATCCCCTCTTAGGTCCTGAGCTTATTGTATTATACACTTTTGTTCGGCAAGAACTCCGAATTGCTCCACTGCGATTTCTTTCTCGGTTTCGGCTTGCTTCTGTTTCGTCTCTTTTGGGAAATAGAGCTTCAAATATTCCATTCTCGCAATGTCTAGATTTCCCTGGTCTGCTTTCATTACAACATCCTCCCTGCATAGAGGGCAACTATCCTTACTTGCTCTTTGTAGCTTGACCAGACACCGCACACAAAAGACATGTCCACAATCGAGACGGATGGGTTTGAAAGCCACAGATGTGCAGATAGGGCACGTGTAATCTTCTACCTGTGGAACAACACTCAACAGCTGCGTCGCTATGATGCTGCAGAGTGATTGCACAAAAGATGTTTCTCTGAAAGTCTGTAGTCGCACCAGCATAGGAAAGTTTTGTGTATCCAAAAGTGTCTGCTTATTGAACTTTTTCAGAATCTTGTAAGAGGCTGTATTGTTCAAATCTTGAAAGCGTAAGGCTTGGATGAGTCTCAAATTCACAGTGTAAAATGATTGAAACGCCCTGGCGCTTTGCTTGTGACGAAATTTCGAGAGCAATTTGGTCTCCTCAAGTCTTCTGGAGAACATTTCAAGCTGTCCGCGAGCCTGTTCAACTTTGCGTTCACCAACTTTCACTCCTGAGCAGCTGAAGAATACTTCAGAATCAATGTACATTTTGAATATCTCTCGCCAGACGTACATGTCGGATCTTCGTATGCTTGGTGATGTGAGCTTGCTGATTGAGTTGCTTATCTGTGTCACAGATTCTGTAAATTCGCCTTTCTGCACGCTCTCCAGGTTTGACAGATCTCTGACTTCACTGTACAAAGTTTCGAAAAACGCTTTATCCTGCTTTAGTTCGATCAAAATTTCGATAACCCTCTTCGTTGATTCGAGTCCACTTTTCTCCAAATCATCCGCTTGTTGTACCCTCTCATCTGAAAATGTGACAATCCTGCCACCGAGTTCGTGGATTTTTGACAGGTCCTCTTCTGCAACTCGCATTTTGAGATAAGGTCGTATTTGTTCGTTCTCGGCAATAAAGTCATATTCAGCCAGATAGTGGAAGCTGTCGGAACCTCTGTGAATAATAAGATCTGTGATATCGTTCTTCTCTAATCCGCTATTTTCCAGCTCCTGAACCACACTGTTAATGTACTTCTTCAGTTTCTTATACTGGATGGTGTACAGGGCCCACTCCTGAGGAATATCCTCGTTTTGGAGTATCTGTTCAAGCAGCTTTGCAAATTTCATGCTGCCTATTCATATAGGTGTCATTCAAGTATTCCAATGATGCCAACTTGAGCTGAGTGGGAACAATAAAGGTTGATATGTTTGTTACGCTCCTCTCTATGGCACGCATAAATATTTTTTGGCAGAAAGTACCCCCACGTGAGAAAGTGGGATATACACACCCTTGGACAATAACCGATTATATAACCAATATACATGACACAATCTGTTCCCGTCGCGACTAACATTGGTTCTCTGGTTGCGGTTCTGCTTACTCAATTTGAGCCGTTCGAGATATCAGAGATGGATGGTGATAATAACAGCAGATATGACAGGCAATTAAGGCTCTGGGCAGCCTCTGGCCAGTCACTCCTTGAGGCCTCTCACGTCTGTCTAATCAATGCTACATCACTGGGTTGTGAGGCTTTGAAGAACCTTGTCTTGCCAGGTGAGTATGATTGAAGAACGCTAAAGATCATTGTGTACTAACTCGGGAATAAAAGGATGTGGGAAATTCACAATAATAGATGACGCCAAGGTTGGAGCTATGGATCTTTCAAGCAACTTTTTCCTCACAGAGGCTGATCTGGACTGCCCGCGTGCTTCTGCCGTTTTAAGAAATCTACTTGAACTGAACCCAAATGTGTCTGGTAATGCATTGGTTTGTGATCCTGTTTCGAAGCTGAGTGATATTGGCTTTTGGGAGGGATTCTCTGTGGTGATTGTATGTGGAGGCCACTCTTCGACCGTGGATTCTCTCTCTGATTTACTATGGAGTCTAAAAATCCCGTTCATCCGTCTGCTGTTATCGGGGTTCTATGGAAGTATTAAAGTCAACGTTCCGGAGAAAGCACTGACAGATTCACACATGGAGCTAAAGGGCGACCTTAGATTGGACCAGCCGTGGCCAAAACTTCTCCAACACGTCAACGCCATCGCCTTTGAGGAATTGGATGATACAGAGCACGCACATATTCCTCCAATTGTGATTGTGGTCAAAGCTTTTCAAAAATGGAAGAATGAGACCAAATGTTTTCCAGAAAATCGCAAAGAGAAAGAGGAACTACGTCTGGCTATAGGAAGTTTACAAAGAAGTACTAACGAGCAGAACTTTGACGAAGCAGTTGACCTCGCTCGGAAATTGACAAATTCAAAGAAAATCGTGCTGCCTCTGAAGCCCTACCTTACCATGTTGAATGATATTGACTGGAACTCCAATATTTCACCATTTTGGTTCTATCTTCTCGCATTGAAACAGTTCTTGGATCAAAATAATGGGCTACCCCCTCTCTCTGGTGACCTTCCCGACATGGCTTCGGATACAAAAAGCTACATCATATTGCAGAGACTTTACAGAGAAAAGGCTGAAGAGGACTTCTTGAAGTTTCACGCCATTCTGCACGATTTACTAAGGGAATTAGAGAAATCAGTCGAAGAGTTTACAGATGAAACATCTCGCTTGTTCTGCAAGAACTCAAGGCAGGTTATAGTACAACATGGCACGCATCACCAGGTCTCGAAAAAACTAGAGAATGAAAACGATGACATTATGAAAGCAATTTACCTGTGTCTGCTGGCAACCACAGAAACTAATCACACACAAAAGGCATCCTTGGAAGATATAGAGCGGTTTGTCAAAAGCAGCTGCGAGCGATACACAATTACATTGAGTGACGAAACTCTTGAAAGCGTGTCAGAAGAAGTGTAAGTACTTCATTTTTTGTGTGCTTTTATCATGCTACTAACTTTGTACCAAGAATTCGAACTTACGGTAGCGAGACTGCAAATATTGCATCTTTCATGGGCGGCATCGCTGCTCAAGAAGTATTGAAAGTATGTTGAAGTTCTTTATCTTCTAGTGATTCTCCTGGGTGAAACTAACTGAACTCTAGCAACTCACCAACCAGTATGTCCCACTGGATAATTGTCTTGTATTTGATGGTATTAGAAGCGTTACCAGCAGCTTCGAAGTATAAGCACATCGCATTTTCTCTATCTTCATTTCTTTGTTGCCTTCAATCTCCTGAAACGCTGCGTATTTGCAACCATATTCTCTATGTAAGACTCGAAAATGGCATTATCGCTTTTCACGCTTTCTCTTCTATTCATCCACTCCTTGCATAAAATCAACAACTGAGATTTGTGACTTTTCATGCTCTCAATTTTGGCCGAGAGATCAGCTTCTGTGATATGCGATTCTTCGAAGAAAAACCGCGTTTGTAAATTCATCTCAGTCTCATCAACTGCCTGGTATGTTCTTTCCTCTAGCTTCAATCCACTTTCCATCGTTACTGAGAGGTCCAAGTCCTTTAGCATTGAGTGAACTCTGTCAAACTTACCCGATGACAGCTCGCTTTCTCCGTAAATGTTGGTTATCGTTCTTTCCGTGCTCGGATTTAATATTTCATCAAGATCTATTGGAATTCCCAATTCCAAGAAAAGTTGTCGTCTCACCAAACTCTTTCGCCAGTTGGGCTTGATCAGTTTGGGGTGCTGTACTAGTCTATCCAGTAGCGTTCTGCATCTGTCACCGATAACAGATTTGGCTTTCGAGTCAAAATCTGTTCGGCTTTCATTGAAAATCTCACTCATCACGAGATCAATTCTCTGGTTTGAGGGCGGAGTGATTCTCACTTCTGGCGCTTCAAAGTTGAGGGGTTCAACCTCTTGCTGCTGCTCTTGCTCCTCCACGAACTCATCAAACGACGAGTCAGAGTCTGATTCCGAATTGCTTGTATTTAACATCGGAATGTTTAACTTGAAATGTAACAGACTATTAACCCTATAAAGTTCGGTTAAGACATCATAACATCGTAAAGATGACACGGGTGGAACTTCAAATGCACGTACTCATCTCATCCCCATCTTGGACTGGCCAGTCCGTAGTGCCAAAACAAGGCAATACATACATATAGTGCGTGAAACTAGGATTTTGGAATTCAATGCTCTATGTAGAATCAAAACTATACCCTCACATCAAGGTTTGGTTTTTTGCTGGAGAGTCTCTTGCTCTTCTTCCCAGCCGCTTTTCTCTCGTTCTCCCCAACGGTAATCAGATCTCTGCCCAAGTTATCCTCAGGCTTCAGTTTATATAATCTGACTATCCAGTTCTCACTTGTGAACACCTCTTCGACGGTATCTAAGTGAATGCTGCGAGCATAGCTTGAACTCAATCTTTGGTTTCTTACCCTGTCCATAGCATCGTTTGTGCCAAACACATCTCCAAACCTGTAGAAAGAGAGCTTGTACATCAGCGAATTCTTCATTGCATCTGTAGCCCCGTCATCCACACGATATTCACCTCTGTCTGTGAAATAGGTTCTCTCGTTCACCTCTTCAGGCCAGATTCCTTCCGAGATCCTCACCATCCACAAAAACTTGTTAATATCATCACCTGAATAGCCAATGAGACCACCGAAAATCACAAGAATGTAATCAACACCGAGCCTGCGCATGATCACTTCTGCCTTTCTCTCGTCAACAGACATGGCTTTACCCACCGTAGCAATATGGGTATTGTTCCATGTGTTGTTGTCAACAAACGTAGTGCGGTCGGCCATTCCTCCAATCTGATAACCATAATCCCACCATGACATAACCTTAGCATCCTCGGCAGTGTTCATGCGAAGCCAATAATATGCTTCTCTATAGTCATCGATGAGCAGTTGAGATCCATCTGGATTCCTAGACGCCAAAACCACGGAAGGCGAAGAGTATGCATTAGAGGTCACCCAGGTACAATGGTAAACATAAAAGAACAGGTAGAAGATGAAAGAGACAGAGACCAGCGCTTTTGAAATAAAATTGACCCAGTTCGTCTTCGTGCTTTTAGCCTTGGATTCACTTGGTTTTTCACTTTCGTCGGCTTGTTCGGACAAAAACTCCTTAAAAGTGAGGTAGTTGTCAAAGAGCTTTCCGACAGTGATGGCACCACAAACACACACCACAGGAGCCAATGTGAGCATCAATCTGACCATAACACCAGCAAAGTAACTCGCCAAGACGGAGTAGATGATAATGAAGATGGCCTCATTGGTAAGTTCCTGAAAACAGAACCAAACACCCACTGGAAATAGCCATATAAGGAAGTTCAAATCGAAGAAGAAAGCGGACCATGGTGTGGGCTGATGTTCTGAAACGGATGCAATGATTGGAATGTGGATCTTAGCATAGCTGGTATCCCACAAGGAGTAGAATCTCCCTGTCCAGGGAGCAATCAGGCCCAACTTAGTCGCGGTAAACAAAGCTGCTACACCCAATGCAGTCACCAGGACTCCGAACAGAATCATCAGTCTTGAGTATTTCTCTGGAGAAAGAGTGTATTTGAAGTAGTTTGCTAGCAATACCAACTGCAGCAGACCGAAAACCCCAAGACTACTCATGTGGTCGTTGGAGCGAATAGGCAAGAACCCCACGAAGGGAATCTGCATACTCATAAGTGTTCCCAGAATGTACCATGTGGTATAACTAGTGTAGATCTTGTAGTCAAATCTTCCCATCAAAAGCAACACAAACACGTGTAGAGGGATCAGGTTTGTGATAAAAACGTATCCACCCCAAGCACTCACCATGTAAAAATAAAAGACTGAAGTCAGGGCACTGTAGAACACAGAGCCTAACTTGACGGATTTGACCCACAGATAGAAGGTTACCATGAGAATCGTAATAGCAATTGCCTCATTATCATATGATCCCGCAACAGATCTGGAAATATAACCTGGAGTGATGCCCATGAATATGGCACTTAAAAAGGCAGATGAAAGTTTTGTCTTCCGGGAGACAATGGCCTCGCTGGAGTTCGTGACTTCCATAGTCAACAAGAACATCGCAAGAGCCGTCAGCGAACTGAAAGCGGGTGCCAACAAGACACAAATATTTCTTATGTCAATTGGCAATCCACATGCTTTCAACATTCCGTGTATAACGGAGCTGGTCACCATGAGACCCGGGTATAACGTACCACCGGTGACTCTTCCAAGGGGATACCAGGTCTTGTCATCAAACCAATTCAAAAAATCATAGTAGCTGTTATTTACCAAATACTTGGTAGCCCTGAAATTGAACCAAGGGTCGAACTCGTGGATGATACTTTCAAACCGTATGACCGAGAACAGTCTCGAGGACACAGCTGCGAATGAAATAGAGACGAAAATCCCAATCGTGAGTATGAGCTTGATGGCTCTCAGCTTCCCAGCCGATATCACGACCTGGCCATTGTCCTGGTAACTGACGAACATGGATGGTGGAATTGGGTTTTGGTAACTGGCAATTGGTAGTTGACAAGCTGTTCACGTCCTTGACGAACGTGTACTTTTGATGCGTAGTGTGGTGATTGATTAAATTCTCGAGATCAAAGCCCCCCAATTTCCCAGTTGCTTAGTCGTGCGAATACCATCTTCCCCTACTTAGAATCGCGATATCGATCTCTCAGACTTGGAGCCCTCCATGTGAAAAGGGACTTACCGGCAACGATATCAACACTCAGAGTCCACACATAAGCAAGAAACTCGGTTCGCAAGGTCTGTTTATTTCGATACAGTTATATACCTATTCCATACATTTTTTTCTGATATTATTCCAAACAGTATCCCACCGAGTCACTCAGCATACGCTTGCGGCAATCCCCCTCAAACATGACATCTCATGACTTCTACATGCCAGAAATCGAATCTGCGATCGCGCGGTCATTAACAGAGAGGAAAGTGTTGTTGATATATCTGTCGCCGAACTCGACAGCTCAAGATACCTGGGAATACGATCGAATCCGCCATAACCAAAATGCGGAGGTGTCACGTCGAATACTGCTAGAAACCGTGCGCCTCAAGCTCGTGAAGGACACCCAAGGGTTCAACTACTTCCAGCAAATATTTCCTGGCATTACCGTTCCGAGCTGCTATTTATTGCTGGGATCACGCGTTCTGGAAGTGATCAGTGAGTCCATCAATGTGGAGGCCTTCAACGAGAAGGTGCTACAAGTGCTGGATGGTCACATGGAGGCGAGAGAGCCAAGCGCAGATATTGTGGCAAATCAGAGTGAGCAGCCTCAGGAGCAATTTCCTACGCCAGCGGAAACTACTTTGGAGCCAGAGGTTGCGTCTCCGGAGCGTCAAAGAGCAAGCAAGAAGCCAAAGGTTTGTTCTGACCCGGCAAAGATACCCAAAGCTAAAAAGATCCTGGCGGATCAGGTCAATTCAAAGTCACTCGTGAAGGAATCTCCTACTCAGAAGCCAAATACTAGCTTACAAACAGAGAGACCTCATGAAAACATCCATAACGAGAGTTTGGAGACCAGCCACGATTTTGCAATCCAATTCAAACTGTTTGATGGAAGCGTTCTGAGAGCTTCTTTCGAGAATAATGACACCCTCGCTCATGTAAGAAATTGGATCATCTCAGAGAGACAAGAGTACGAGTCTGATTACTTTTGCTTCTACAAGCCGATTGATAGGATCACGTATTCAGAGGAGGACGAAAACCTCACTCTGAAGGATTTGAAATTGAATCGGGCTAATTTGATCTTAAAACCTATGGATCCAGGCGAGAGCTCGTCGCACAATTCTGTGGGTCAGACTGGAACTTATGGAGTTTCTTGGTTGAAGACTGAATTTTTCAAAATAGGATCCTTCCTTGGCTTTTCTGGAAAGAAAGAGCCGGAAATGCCTGCCGATGACGTTGTCGCAGAAGGAAGCAGTTTCAAAGCAGATCCAGAGATTTCAGAGGATGTCTCAGCCTACCCTAGTTCTCTGGAAGCGTCTTCCGGCTCGACGAGGTGCTCGTCACCTCATGAAAGTGAGAGGCCAGCCCTACACTTCAACTCGTCCACTTCACAATTCAGTCTCAACGGGCCGAGTTCAAATAAGCTGGTGATATCGCCTACCGAAGAAGTTTCAGTTGACCCTGTCGTGCAGCCAAGCAATTTGCGGCCATCATCTAGAACCGAGTTCACCAACAACACTGATGAAGAGAGAAAAACATACAATGGTAACTCCCTGGAAGTCAAGGACGAAAATAAGGTATGGGGGAATATGGAGGATAGCTAATGTTAAATGCTACACCTGCACTTTGATTTGTTAGGGTTTATATCATTTGATCGCTGTTTGCTTTAATGTTAGGATGTTGTCTAGATTTATGGTAATTATCAAAATACACACAAATTTGTAAAATATGAGCAATTCCAAAAATTTCAACCTAAAACCTACGTGAACACCCTTTTCACACTGTGTAAACTACAGAAACTTCTGCAATCGAATTTTATTAGACTCTAACAAACGTTCATGCCCTTGAGGCTTTGACAAAAATACATCGATAGTGATAAACAGTGTTGGGAACGCGCTTTGTACTCAGCACAAGGCATCAAGAGCACAGCAGAAACAAAGGGCTGCAAGACATCCACCACAGCATCCACAACCACCCTCTTCCCTTGGAGGAGGCTGTTGGACATACATGGGCTGCTGTTGTTGGTAGTAGCCACCCTGCTGTTGTGGTGGGCCTTGTTGGTAGTAGCCACCTTGTTGTTGTGGAGGACCTTGTTGCTGAAGAGCGAACTAGTTAGTGACCGTGTCAAGGCAAAATATTGGCAGCAGATGTACTTACATAGTACTGCTGATTCATGTTTTGGTGTTTTGACTCGAAGCTTGAAAAGAGATATGATAATTGTTGGAATAGAATTCCCCGGAACAAAGCTTTTTTTGGACCTGCCCCATGAGACCGTGAGGCTAAGTAGCACAGCCTTGTATTTCAGGTAAGAATTTTTTAAATGCTTTATGTGTACTAACCTATTTGTCCCAATCGGGACGACATAAAGTTCAGCCGCTTTTGGACGATAAGGGGGCCGCACATCGCATCATCAAGTTATCCCCAGAACATCTTTAACGAAATCAGTCTATATGCTGTTCTGACTCTGTGCGGGATATATTTGCTAATTCCGGAGTTAAGTTTAGTAAGACTATAGCTGGTTTTTTATTCGTGGCTATCATCAAAATCCCAGACATGCAGGGCACCGAACGTTCTGATACCAGTTCGTTATCCGAGGGTACCGCCAGTACTTCCACAAGCGAAATGCACACGCCACCACCTTCACCAAGATTGTCATACTCAAACCAGCTGCCTTTATCACCTCCTCGCCACATTCTGAGCAGACTCACACCTGTTGGAAGGAAAGCGGATCCACCAACTGTGTCTCTGGATCTTTCAACCCACAGTCTACGCAGGAAGAAGATTATACAGGAAAAAGTCCAGCGCATCTCTCAATATTCAAAGGAAGTTGACGAGAAGGCTTCCAAGGCTCAAGCATTGAAGAATGAGCTAAGACAAAACGCTAGAAGAAGGTTCGGAGAGAAGATGAACAGGGCCTTGGAGAAGAGGAACCAGATTATAGATCGAAAGAGGAATCTTGCCTCAAAGCTCCAGAGAAGGAGCTCTTTACACAGCAATCTAACTGGAGTTGAGGAAATTGTGAGCCAGAATACGGATCAGTGTGAGGAAGACGATCATTCCGAAGCCGACAGCTTTGATGACCACATTTTTGACGGTTTCAATGAAAAGATCATCAGAAGAGCCTTATACAATTACAAATCCGCAGCTTTGTTCAAGAGGTTGCGGAGAACGCATATCTTTGGTCGTTCTTTGGATTTGTCAATAGGGGTAGGATACCAGAAAGCCTCAGAGCTGATACAGATCAAATGGGTCATAGAAGCTCTTTCTTTTATCCTAGGCCCTTCCTTTGGCCTGGTTGACGATAGATTGGAGAAACATTATTCCAAAATCTTCCTTTATTCCTACCTCATGCTTTGTGAAAACAAGGAAAATGGCAGCAACGGAGGTCTTTCCTCAAGTACTGATACTTCTCTTCCTACAAATGAAAGGGATTTCGCTTCATATCTTGAGGGACTCTCCAGCACCGAGGCAAAACTTTACACGAACACTTCACTCTACAGGATCATTCTGAAGATGGCTTTTCAGAATAGTGAAGATGCTTTGAAAAGGTTTAGATCGTTGTTATTTGCACCGTTAAATGTCTCGCTAAATTCAAAGAGCGCAGAGAGAATCTCGTTCTCTCTCTCTTGGTTGAAATTCACCCACTGTTTCGACTCCTATCTACTTCTACATCGCCAGAGAAGCCGCATCCTACTTTTAAGTGTGGTAAACGTTCTACAGAGGGAAATAAACTTCTTGAAATTTTCCTCTGAAGAAGGCATGCAGACGAATGACGAGTATGAGAAGGCAATTTGTTCATTTGAAGTCAAGGTCACCCAAACGAAACGAACGATAGCGATGCTTGATGCAGAAAATAAGAAGCTGAATCACCAAAAGGCTATTTTAATGGAGTTCAAGAGAAGTATAGTCATTTCCGATGATAATCCACTATTATACTCTTCTTTGAGCAACCCTGTTTCGTCTCTTGCTGAAGTGGCAGGTGGAAAACTCACCTCTTTAGTTGACGATCCTTCCAACGCCCTGAAGGTCTCTTCATGGTCTGCTTACATGTCTCCTCCGGGTCTGTCCATGACAAAATGGAGACAATATCTTATGAGGATTATCTTGCAAGCTAAGGGACCTGGCCCGAACAACTTTATCATGCGTTCGGGAAGAAACCAATACTCACAGGAGAAAAATCACGATGAAAGCGTTGATATAGATGTGGTGAGATCCTTATGCGGTCTCAAATCATATAAAGAGGCATGCAGTGAAGTTTTGCGTCATCTAGAATATCTGGATGAAGTTGAAGAGATGATGGAGACTGTTTTTGATCTCACAAAGCAACTCATACTGTCATTGGGAGTTGTTATAGAGGTTGAAGATGGCGATACCTCTAAGCTATTGGTAGATTACTCTTATCGACAATACAGGAGCTCCATATTGAGGCTCTGCAAAACCAAAGAGCTGAAAAATGATTTTTACTCCGGGGCTTTAAACATCAATGACTATTTCGCTCTCGTTTCGAAATTTGTTCTGGAGGAAGCCTCTTTCAATGGAAACTGCTTTGATGAGTTAATGGTGTTTTTGAAGCAGGGAGATACCAAATCGAAAGCTTTCTACCAAGAATACGTGAGATTGGTGACAGAATGTGTCATATATGGAATCAATCATTGGTGTTCAAGTTTCTTCAAAATGATCAAAATGGATCTGATAAAATTCGAAACGAACTGTTTTGTTCAAGAATTTCCATCCACAGATCTCACAAAGCCTCGCTTCAACTTGCTGCATTCTTTTATTTCCACGAATTATGTCCCCGCCAACGATCTTCTCAAGCGTACTGGGCTACTCCAGGAGGGAGATGAACTCAAGAACACAGGGATTGATGTCTTCTTGGCCGGGTTCATTGAACTTGTTACTTCCGACATGACACTGAAAGAGAACATGAATAGTCTTCCAGAGACATTCGCACTTTTGACGCCCGAAATACGTTCTTTATGCGTCAAATACAAGGCGTTCCTCTACACTAACTTGGTTTGTATGTTGGTAATGCAGTATTTCCAGAACTGTGAGTTCAAGCTGGAGTCGTATGCTCAATATTGTGTGTCCCCTCGAATGAACTCTTTACAGGCACTGTTCGACCAATCTCTGCTGATTAGCCAAATTCATCACTATTTTGAAAAAAGCTTCGAAAGTGAAAACTATGCCGGTTTGCCAGAATCCAAGCAGGAGATACTGAACATAATCAGAAGGAACGCCAGAGATAGACTCGGGGGGACTTGGGGTCAACTATTTCCTGAACTGAGGTTTGAGAAAGATATCGAATTTTCCATTCATGAAATTGTGGAAAAAAATGTGGATAAAGACATAATTCAGGGTCTCATTAACAAAATCGAGGCTCCACCATCGATGCAACGCAAGTCACTGAAGGGAATCTTAGCTGAGGGAGTCAAAGCCTTCTTAATCTCGAAGAAAGTCGACTATCCCCAAAATGCTGAAGGCCTAGAATATACGGATATACAAAAGCTAAAGCAGCTAACCCGTTCGAGTTTGAGATTGTTTCTGCAAGACCATCCTACTTTAAGAGCTGCCCTTGAGGCGATATCGGAGGAAGCATACAGCATCTTCAATTGCAGTTTCACGGTTTATGGGAAATACTATTCAACGACATTGGACTCCTATATAACGGAGCTGGTTTAATATCGTTTTTTCGCTAATACATAACACACACATGCGCATAAAATCAAGAAAAACAAGTTTTTTTCCACTTTAATGTTACATTGCTATTACCTAGAATAGACCTTCTTCTTCGCCGTCATCACCATCATCGCTGGGGTTAGCCTCCTTCTCGCTAGGATCGTCATTAGCGTCACTATTCACATCAGGCATATCTTCCTCGCTATCGACAACGAACTCATTCGATAACTCAGGCTTTTTAGAGTTGACCCTTCTTTTCTTAGGGACAGGACCCTTGGATTCTCCAGCTGCTTCCTCTTCATCAGAATCAACAATCTTGGCCTTCTTCTTTCTCGTCTTGCGAGTACCAGATGCAGCCTTCTTTTTCTTTGGTTCTTTTTCGGCACCATCTTCTGTTGGCTCCAGCTCGTCGTTCTCGTCCTTGGCAAGGTCGATCTGGTTTTTGATCCAGTCTTCAGCCTCCACTTGTAGCTTTCTTCTTTCTTCAGCCAGCCTCTTCTCGTTTTCACGAGCAGCGGCGAGTTCTCTTTCTTTGGCTTCTGCAAGTTTCTCCTCTTGCTCAGCACGCAACTTCTTGGCTTCCTCAAGTCTCTCGGCGGTCTTGATTTCGTACTGTTTCTGCTCTTCGATGCACCTGATAAGCTGGTTCTTCAATGTGTTTGTACCCATGGAAGCCCTTGCTTTGATATCTTCGGCTGGATAAGGAGGATGAGGCTCATCTGCCAGTTTTTCCAGACTCGAAATGGCTTCCTCAAGTTCCTGTAAGGCATCCTCCAATGACTCCACCGTTCTTTTCTGTTCGGGTAGTCTTCTTATGAAATCAGCAACCTGGAACTGGACGAAAGCAACATTGAAAGACAACGCTGGGATTGGATTGAGTGCATAAGCTTTTTTGGAAAAGTCCAAACTCTGCCTTATAGCATCCAAGTTTTTCTCAAAAGCACCTCTTCCGTACCATGCCCTACCCAACAGCACAAACAATCTAGAATCTTCTCCGCTGGTAAACTTGCTCAGTGCAATATCGTAGCTCTCAATAGCTTTAGCATACTGCTTGACTTCCACTAAGCAGTTTCCCAGGTTGATGTAAACGGACATGTCTTGCAGAGAGTCTCTCACCTTTCTAAAGATCTCCAGAGCGGCTCCAGATTGCTTCCTATCGGCAAAGATTATAGCGATACCCTGAGCGGCATATGCGTTCTTGGGATCAATCGACAACACTTTCTGATAAAGCTGAGCAGCACGGATGTAGTATCCGTTTTTTCTCTCTTCATCCTTTGCAGAGCCGTTCCTGATGTCCCTAGCGATCGCACAGTAGACATTACCGAGAGAGATCAAAGCATAAAGATCGTGAGAGTCATACTTCACCAAGGTATCACGATGATGTTCAGATTCGGCCTCTTGTTTGATATCCTGCTGTCTACCGTATCTTCTCGCATACCACCCGTAAAACGATCTCACTTCCAAGTCATCTGGATTGGCTTCCAACAAGTTCAAAACTTCGTTTTTAACGACATTGTCGCCTGATAGACTTGATAGCAAGAGCCACCTGATTTTGGCACTGGCATAGTTGGGGCAAACATCCAAGATCTCTTCGTAAAGTCTGATAGCATCAGAAACAGTTTCCTGAGAGGACTCAAGAGCACGGGCCTTATTGTACTTCAAAATAACGGAGACGGCATCCGATCCAGCTTGTTCTTTGTGGGCTTCTAACGCTTCATCAAAGATATCGACAGAAGGATTTCCCTTCTCGACTCTCAGTAACGAGAAGACACCAATGTTGTTTAGCAGAGAGTAAGGAACATTCTTTTGCTCAGATTCCAGGAGCTCTTTTGCCTGCTGCAGGTACTTGAGAGACTTGGTGGTGTTCTCATCCTCGTATGCCTGCGAAAGCGACAGATACGCTGGAAGATATACAGTGAAACCAGACTCCTTGCACAACTGAAGGTATTTCTCCAAGTACGAGATGGACTTCGTAGTTGAAGACTTATCCTTCGAGTATAGTATACCCAGAATGTAGATAACCTCTAATGTTTTGGGATTCTCCTTCAACACTTTCTCAAAAGAGATGATAGCTTCACCGAATTCTCCTCTAGCTATCTGGCACTGGCCATATCCAATCTTCGCCAGGAGATTGTCATCTTTGGCCTTAATGGAATCCAGAAAGTGCTTCTGGGCTTCAACGTACTGCCTCTCGGCAAAGCGACACCTCCCAAGCCAGAACTGGGCATCACCTACCACGCTGGGGCTCTTGGAGGAAGCGAGCACCTTATTGCAAATCTGATCCACTAAATCGTATTTTCCGCATGAGTAGTAGTACGAAGCCAGAACAATGAGAATGGACTCATCATGAGATCCTCCAGTATATATTTCTTTCAGTTGAGTCAAAGCTTCGGCGTATCCTGCCAAAAAGTGTTCATCGCTCTGAGAGCCAGTGAAACACTCGTCAAACGCACTGAAACATAACAGCAGTTTAGCAATAGACTTGGAATCTGGGTTAACCTTCAAAGAGTTTTCCCAAGCCTTCCTAGCCAACAACTTATTATCCAGCTTCCAGAAACACAAGCCAATTCCAATCCTTGGATCTGGAGTGATGAGAGGGTTGTTAGACAGAACAGTTTGGAATAGCTTCAACGAAGCGGAGTAGTTTCCCTTCTGGAACAACACCTTTGCCTTTCCCATGAACGCATAACAATTGGAAGGCTGTCTTTTCAAAATATCGTCAAAGATGGAGGAGGCCCTATCTAATTTGCCTTCTGACTCCAAGCTTAATATGCCCATAGCAAGCCCAGTGTTGAGTGACTCTGGGTTCAATGAGAACGCTGTGTTTGATTCGTTATTGGCCAGATCGAGAGAAAATGAGTCTTGCGACTTGAACTGCTGTGAGAGATATAACCAGGCTAGAAACGTGTGGAAACTGGCCTGAACATCACTAGTAGAGTCAATGATGGTGCTTGAGCTCAACCCTCTTTTGATGACCTCGGCAGATTCATCAAATCTACCCTGATTGGCATAAGCTCTTGCAATAGAAAGCCACTGATCTTTTCCTGCCTCTTCGTTTTCCAAAAGATCACAGAGTTCTGTGGGATCCTCAGGCAGCTCGTCGTTGGCATCTATCACAACCTCTTCATCCCCCTTCAGAGGAATGGAGATAGTGGAGCTGGTCCATTGCTGAGCTACAGCGGAATCCAACACTTGCACGTAATAATCAAGCCCCAAAGACTCGGATACGTCCAGCGAAGGCATGTTTAATCTTGATTTTTCAGGTCTGTATACTGAAGAATCGCCCTTGTTGAATGAGTTGAGTTGAGTGGACAAACCGACATCATCACTCTGCCATATTTCAACCGTGTCGACAACAACTTTTTTCTTCCTGTATCAAAGAGGTTCAAAACTTTTTGGAATATAGTGATAGCTGGCTTTGTTTTGCTTGACACAGGTTCAAAATGGAAACCAGAAGAATATTTATAGGCTCTATGTCACAGGAGCTCTGCTCTTCTGTGGCAAATTTGGAGTCCAGGTTGGCGAAGTATGGTGCCCTGCAGTCCCCAATTGAGCTGCATACCAAACTCGATGGGACTGGGTTTGGATATTTGAACATTGACTTGAGTGACGCAGATTTTGCCAAGCTCAAGAGGGAGTGGAAAGGTGTGAAGTTTATGAATTCGAACTTGGTTTTCGATATCGCCAACCCAACGTATACGGCTCGCCTGATCGAGGAGAAGAAGGCCGAGCCCGCCGCACAACTGAAGCTTGCGAAACAAGAGAAAATTTGCCATGCGAGACTTGAGAGAATAAAAAATAGAAACAAAGTGGAAGAGGTGATTAAGGGAAGGCTTAGAAAAATACCGAGAAAGGATCCGAAGCATTTGACACTGAGAAGGATAGTGAAGGGGCGGGTGAAGTTCATCCAGTCCCCCAAGACAAAGCTCTGGGGTTTCGACAAGGCTAAGAAGCCAAAGGACCTTGTTTCTTACTTTGCTCATGGTGAGTGGAGAGACGGAAACAATCATGTGGTTGACCGGTTGAGTTTGAACAAATCTGTGCTCAAAGCCAGTGTGCTTCCAGAATCAGCAGAAGACAGCGCAGACGACCACGAAAATACACAGCACGAAGAATTAGATACAAACACCAAGCTTCTGGAGTCCATGTTTGGAAACTACAACTTTGACAAGAAGCTCGCCATCGAAGAGGATCCGGATGAGTATGGCCAGTCTGATTATGAGGATTATGGTGGAGTTTTTTCGGACGACGAGGTTTTTGAGACAGTCTCTCATTTGAAAGAGACACGGAAATTGGACGAGTACAAGAGTAAGTTTGGCGACAGTTTTCAGAATCAGCCCATTGGGTATGAAAGTGAAGAGGAGGACGAGGACGTGCCAGAGGACGTGCCAGAGGACGTGCCAGAGGAGGAGATGGACACAGGAAAAATAGAGACTAAACAGAGCAGGGAAAGTGCCGATGAAATGTCTGTTGATGAGCCCTCCAGTGAGTCGGAAGAATCGTCGGAAGAATCATTGGAAGAATCGATGGAAGAATCGTCGGACGAACCATCAGGCGAACCATCAGAAGAAGCCGTTGAAAAAGAGCCAGTTATTAGCTCGGAAGAATCCAACGAGATTCCTGAGGATATTGATGACGAGTTTGTGCCAGTTTTCGGAAAGAAAATCGAGGAAGACAGTCAAGAAAAGCCAGTTTCAAAACCTGAAAGTGACTCCAAAGAGGTCGAAGAAAACACCACCGAGGTCCTACGGTCTCTATTCAAATCAGCTCAGCAATCTCATGAGACAGCAAGTGATGACATTCCACAGATAACTGCCACAGAACTCCCCACAGCGGCAAAGAAAAATGCTCTTTTTTTCACACACTTCGAGTCGCCTTTTCTTCAGACTCAAACAGTGCTTAACAGTCTGAAACAGTCAAGGTTGGAGAACTACGAAAGCTGGTTCTGGGAGAATAGGGGAGAGCTGAACCGTCATTTCCGCTCGTTGAAAAGAGACAAGAGGAAATTTAAGGGTAAGTCCTCAGCATATTAACCTTGAAATCAGTAATAAATCTATCTATATCTTTGAACGAACCCTCATCTGCAAAGGAAATGCCAACGGTGAGACCATTGGTTGTGGAAATCACAGAACAATTGAAGTTACCCCCAGTAACTCCAGGATTTTGGATAAATCCCATTCTTTCACATCTCCATGATGTTCCTTTGGGATCGAACTTGATCAATCCAAGGTTAGAGAGCCTGAAGGTATCCGTTCTTGGCTTGCCCAGAATACTCATTTGTGCTTTGACTGCCTCTTCGCAACTCAACGGAGGCCCATTGAGGTTCTGAATGGCAAACGCATCTTCTGTTGCTCTCTTGAGGTTATCACTGATCTCCCTCACGAGATTCCAGGAGAAAGTTCTTGCGACTGGAACAGGCGTGTGATTAGTGGCTCCAAGATACATGATGTTTCCGAGAGAAAGATCGTACTTCTCGAAGTTTTCAGCAGGAATATGCCTTCTATAACTTATTGGTATATTGCCTCTGATGTAATTGTTCTCCCCCAGCTCGGAGAGCCATGGTATGGCCGATATCATCACCACCATATCCATGTATGGTGTGAGAGTCACGGCATGCTGCTTGCACTGCTTGAGTATAAAAGAAAGCTCGTCCTTGGAGAAATAAATCATTCTAAAGGCCAAAGGGGTCTCGATGCTGGAATTGGTCAAGCTCTTCCATATTGTGCAATCAATTGGTGCTGGTAAGTTGTAAGATCTATCAGCAATCAATGGCTTCAGGAGATCTGGAATAAGCTTTCGAAGACGAGACTCCAGGGTTCTCTTCCAAGAGGGCAAGAATTCTATCCATAAGTCCATTGGGGCAGTATTATTCGTGTCTTTTATAAGTTTGTAATCATCTTCAAGAACAAACAAAAGTTCTCCATGGTCAAGGAGAGACTCTTGAGAAAGACTCACAATGGCATCGTAAATGCCTATCCAAAAGTTGGAGCATGACTCACCATCAAAGAGTATATGATCGGTAACCAGCACGAACTCATTATTTCTCAAAGCAACGACTTTCACAAGAGGAAGGTTCAATTGGTTGAAATTGGAGTCGCTCAGCTCAAGTTCTCGCAGGAGTTCATCAGAAAAATCAACATCTCTATATTCAACCACATCTTCAAATTTCACATAGTCATTGATCCTGAACTGCAAGAGGTCATTTTCAGTGTACGCCTGACACGCCAGAAAAGGATGCTCGAGGATAACTCTTCTCAAGGCATGAAACAACAAGTTTTCAGACACCTGTTGGTTGAACTTGCAAGAAACCATGAAATTCTTGTAGAGGCGTAGTTTGGTTCTTTGGTAGATCATGGTCTCCAGTCTACCACCGGCCCGAGTAAACTTGGATTTGACCAATTCCAATTCAGTCATGTTTAATATCTGAAAAAGCCAACTTGAGCCATAAAGAAAACAATTACTAAAAGTACAAAATCAACTGTGTTATAAGGGGACCTTAAGACCCTGTATCTGACAGCATGCGCGTCTATGGAGTTGGGATTCCGTTCCGGATGCCTCTGCATTTCCGCCGTTTTCTTATCGCAAAACTGTGCCGAACGGACCGACTTGGACAGACCAAAAGCAGTGGATTGTTTATTGACATATTTAACTGAAAATCTATGAATCTTGATTATTGAAAACTTCCTAGTTAATATTTACTATGAACATTGACTACGAATGTTGACCATAAATATTGGTCTGGGTCAGAATTTTTCAGTTTGACTAAAGCCGACACATTGATATAGTCCTATATTTAGCTTCGTAGGTCGCGTTACCATTCGAGATCATAACCCATGATACCGTTAGGAAAGAAATCATTGACAGATTGATGTTCATCGTTTTTTCGATCCTTGTCTATTTTTCACGTCGCACGCTTGAACGCATATGCTATCTCGGAACGATCAACAGGTACATCAACATCCGGATAGTATCTGTCAACTATGGCATTCAAACGCGAAAGCGTGCTCGTGAGTTGATTCTGAATAACTCCTGCAACCTTCTCCGCCAAAGCACCCTCGATATCTTCAATGACTGACAAACTGGTTGGACTCTCCATATCATCAGAGTATTTTGCATGTCCCAGCAGCTCGTTGTGAATCTGTTTGACAATACCCTGTACACTCTTGTCAACTCCCTTCGTATCAAACGTTTGGAGAAGTTTCTTAAGCACATCTTTGGCGTAAGCATGCCTTTTGGAAGGATCCACATTCCTCACAGCACCAACGCTGGGATCCGCCTTAGTCAAACCCTCTACTCCTTCGATGAAAGCCAGGAGACGACCAGCACTACCACTTCTGATAACATAGTCCGCATATGCCATGGTCTCCTCATGACACAACTCTTGAAGCTGGGTTTTGATGGGCCCCAGTTTGGAGACGTCCTTGATCTCTTCAAGTAACCAGTTGAAGTTCAGTAGCAGCATGATGTGATGATTCAGAGAATCTCCCTCCAGACTTCCGTCGCCATGGAAGCTGGTCGATATGGTTGTAAGCGCATTGGAAACCAAGCCTCTGGAACCATTTGTCGTGGTTTTAGTCAAATCACCCATTGTTGGGTTTGACATCGCCTTGTCTCCCTTAAGCACAGAAAACAGGTGTCTCCACAGCTCCATGTATGACTTGGTAACATCTTCGCTTATTTGGAAGTCTTCAATGCTGAAGTCCAGCGTTGATAAGCTGGCCTCGACTTGCCTAACAAACTCAGGGTAAACTTTGACAATTCTCAAGACGCCGTAGCTAGAACCGTTGCGACCCTCCAATTTGGAGTCGGAGACAATACCAATTTGCTTATCCACGAATACTGCCCAGGCAGTCACCAGCTTGCTCTTCAGTTGCGTCAGCTTTCTGATCAAGAACTCCTGGTTGGTAGAGTTGTACGTCAAGATCATCCTTTCAATAACAGCCAAGGTTCTTGGGATCTCCACGGGATTCTCTTTTAGAATGGACTTCACCTGTTTTGTCACTGCCTGACTATAGTCGCTCAGCATCTGTGACATACTGCTCATAGACTCAGAAGCCAGGTTCCTATCAGGCTCCATAGAAATGGCTTTAGGTCTGTGAGGATTCAAAAACTGGTCCACTCTCTGATCGACTGGCCTGCTTGCAGCGAATTCATCCAATGTGGTGGGATGCAAAGAGGATAAATGAAACAGCTCAACTAGCATGTCTTGCTGATTGATTAGAGCGGCTGCAAAATGATCCAGAAGCTCGCTCACACCTTCTCCGACGCTAGCAAAATTGACCTCACTAGAATTTGGAGTCTCTGTTGCAGTTTCCTCACTGAATCCCAATCGTTCCATAAGCCTATCTCTCGCATTCAAACCTCCGCGATCATGAGAGCTCTTGTTGCGTCTGATTCTGTACTTTTCCCCATATATGTCCTTAGGATCGCTTTTGAAAGAAATAGATGGCGGAGAAACAACTTGCTTGCTCTTTTCAACGTGGGCTGACAGAGATTCTGCTACAACCGAGTATATCTCCCTTATTTGGTCTTGATAAGACAACATCAACCCACTGTAGTCACTCAAAGATGCAGACCTCAAGAACAGTGTTATGCCCGCAAAAATGAGGAGTTGCGCAAGCTCTCGCGAAATAGCAGTTTCAATTTGCGCAACAGGGATCGAAGAAACATCCAAAGTACCGATACTTCTGTGCATCAAGTACTTGAATTGCAGTTCCACATTTTGGGTAAACGCCTCTGTCGTTTTCTCGTACTTCTCCCTGCGCTCCTGCAATGCCCTCATTGCCTTACCGTCATCGTCATCCTTGAGGGATGCTCCACGCATCGTTTGAAGTGCTGAGTCTAGCTCTATGAGAACATTCTCAACCTTTTTGATTGACGTAACGTCCTGAGGACTGTAGCTTGTGGTAGAAGTAGTCAGTATATCCAAAGAGTGATCACTTATTGACACTGCCTCTAACAGATCTCTGATTTCTTTCCACAGTAGCTTCTTATTAGTCGTTTCAATCTGTAATCCGCGACCTTGTTTCTCTATGTGCTTGATATCTTCCGCAAAAGAAGACAGTTCAATACTGAAAAACGACAAAATTGGCTCCAGGACGTTGCACTCATGAATACCACTGCTTATGAGACTTTCTATAGATGACGCATCCATGGAAAAGTCAACCAAAGATTTGACACTTTGATACTCAGAATCCCTCAATAGCTTTCGCAACTTCGTTTCAATCGTTTGGACAGTATCCGATCTGCTCCAGCCAATCTCCTCGAAAAGCTCTTCAACCATATCTCCGTTGTTAGACTTCTGGTTCAAGGAACGGTCATTCTCGGGAAGAAAACTGAAATCTGTTATCTCATCGACTTCGTCTCCAACTGAGAATAAGTCGCTTGCTGCGTCATCATCATCCAAGTGCTTGCTTGGTTCCAAAGTCTGTCTGACAGGTACTTGCAGATGTTGAACAATGCTCACTTGATCATCCTCTTGCCCATCTTCTCCGGATAGCTCTTCAGCATAGCCATCATAGAAGTCGTCAAGCTCGTTATAACTGTAGCTCTGGTCTTCAGTGGCTTCTTCAGCCCCAGTGATATCTTCGATTTCGTCGTGGGTCCTTTGATGCGCAATGAAGCCCACATCCGATACCGAGAGAGGTCTGTCAGGTCTGTTATTGACATTCTCCTGGATGGATTCTTTGGGGACAGGCTCACTTTCTTGTGCAATGTTTGGCAAAGAAGGCTTCTGGATAGAGCTCTGCCTGGAATGAGTCAGGCGAGGACCGGATGATGTATCGACTACGCCCTGAGCATTCCTTGAAAACACCGGGGTGCTATCATCGACGGAAGTTTCGCTACTTTTTTTGCCTTTCAATCTTTCCAGAGACTTCAGTGATGATTCCCGTCTATGAGCATGAAACTCACGATCTGACATCGGTTTAGAGCGCTTCTCAATAGCTAATGGTTTGACCATGCTCTCATCGGGTATGGCTTCAGGAGCAGAAAAGTTCAAAGGTGCAGTAGAGGCCGCAAACTGTTCCTCATTGCTATAGACTTGAGGAGGTGCCTGTTTGATAGGTGTAACTTCTGGAATTCGTGGCACTTCTGCATTTCTCGAAACCCTCAGAGGAGCAACATCGGGAAGGTCCGCTACATTTTTGGGTGCATCATCCAAGGTCGTCGATATCATATCTACCTTAGACACTCTGCTGACAGTCTTGGTATCAACACCCAAGCTTTCCACGCTGCAGTTGATAAGTTCAGGTACCTTTCCACCAGTGTAATCCATGTAGTGCCAGAGTAACGTTCGGCAAAAGACCTTACGCTCACGAGGACTGTTGGTCTCCCAGTAGTATGGTTTTCCCATTACAGCAAGAAATCCTGTAGGCAAGTGAGGATCAATCTCAATTCTGCTCAGTTCATCAAGATCCCACGTACGACCAATCTGGACGGTCCCATCGGAGTTCTCTCTAGCCTTGTGAAGCCGCAATCTTCCAGAAGGTCTGGCAGCTATAATCAAAAGTCTTGACTTTTTGTACTTGAGAGGGCTATCTGGAGGAGGTCTAGAAGCGGTATTCTTGGCATCTTCGATGATTCTGACGTGACTGATATAGCTTTCCACCAGGTGGTTGTTGTGCGTTTTGCTGAAGCAGCACTTAATGATTTTCTTCTGATCCAGATCATACTGTCTTGCCAGATCCATTGCATGATTTTCTGGTTTGGGTTCACTTCTATTCTGGACTGGAGCCTGGACTGGTCGAGAATGCTCTTGTATCCTTCGATCCTGCGATCCATGTTGCTGAGGAAGGCGCTGGATACGTGGCTCTTTCAGAACACGTTGTCCATGCCCCGAGACCATCTTGTGTGCATTGTGCATAGCTAGACTCAATTGCGAATTTGCAATTGGAGACTCTGTTTTGCTTGATCTTGTCTTTGCATACACAGATCAACAGTATCAGAGGAGATCGTTCTAAGTGTGCAATGGCTTGAGCTACCGGCACTACGCGTAATGGCAGATGAGCCGCACGCCAAATCAGAGTAGCTTTCAAAGCTTTGAATTGTGGAGCAAAAGAAACAAAAAAGAACGACAATTGAATAGAGCTTGGAATATTTTGTCAAATTACGAAGATAAAGTGGACAGGTGGAGCTTGGATTTAAAACTCGGCTTTATAATTAGGAAAAACAACGAAATGAGTAATGAAATGCGAAGCGCTTTTGAAAAAAACGGTAATTTTGTAGCGTGGCTTTGACAATAGATTTGTATCTTGGCCTTGTCATTAACTTTGTCACTCAATTTCCCATTCAACTCGATATCAACAAGTTTGAAGAAACAGCATCAAACCTATCATTCAACAACGTCAAGGCAACCATCAGCAGCTCAGTGAAAACTTCCACGTTTTCAACACGCAGCTTTTCGAGTTTTGCATGGCCCAACCTCCAAACCACTACTTCCGTGGTGGCCGTATATTGAACTGCCCTTTCGGTGATAATTCGTTCTAGGTCACCAAATCCAACCAACGGAAGGACACTAGAAGTCAGAATAAAACCGCTGTTCACGAACTCATATTTGGCAGAGATCAGTCCTGATTCCACAAAGAAAAAGCTTGGAGGATCTTGGTGGTTATTGTAGAATTTCGAACCAGATGCAACCACTTCTTTCTGGAGATAAGGAACAAGTTTCACCCAGAAGCTATCTTCGACCCGAGAAACCGATTGAAGAACAGTAAGAAGTAGGGGGATTGGTGGCTGCATCAATGGCATACCAACAGCAGCCGAGGTGCGTCTTTGATAATAGTTAGAGGCATTCTTGGTTTCATCCTTTAGTGACTTTTTTGCAGCTGAAACCAGCTGAGCTTGTCTGGGAGAACCAAAGGCGACTCCACTATCATCCATAAGTGACATAGTCGATTGACTTCTTTTTCCAACAACTGAGCTTCTGGTCTTCGGACTCACAAAGTCTTTACCAAGGGCAGTTACCATAGACGGTTTGGCCTGAGGAATATAATGGAGTTGTTTGATATCCCGGTATGTTTCCAAGAAGGTATTCTCGCACCATTCCAGAGCCGAATTCAGGTTTGTGAACAACTGAATTCTCTTATTATGCTCGTCAGTTTCCCAAAGACCAGAATCACGAAGAGCTTGCACCATTTCACTTCCCGTCTCAGTAACCGATGAAATTATAAGATAACACTCTTTCTCAATGATAAGATTGCGTATTCTTCTAAATCCTTCGGCCGCCGAGAAATCAACTGACAACACATTGTGCATGTCCAGAATGAGATATCTTATTGGTTCTTTTGAGAAGATCTGATCCTCGAACCTATATCTGATTTTTCTCTCCAAACCACCAATAGACCCAAAGAAAAGGGAACCTTGCAGCTTCATTATGTATATCTGATTTCCCACCGTCTTTAGAAACTCTTGCTGTTTAGGGTGTCTAACAACAACCGATCTTGCGTAAGCACCAGTGAATATTCCTGATACAACTGGACTGGTTGCTGCTTGCACAACGAAAGACACACAAGCCAGTAAGATTCCCGCCAAAATACCGTACACAAAATCCCAGGCACCCATTACAACGACAATAATGATGATGGTGAGGTATTCAAACCCTCTCAAGCGACCATATGTGTCAAACAGAGCTTCTCTCAACAACTCGTAGCCCAGCAAATAGATCAGAGCTCCAACCACACAAACAGGAATGAAACCAATGATCCCAGGACCGACCATCATAACTGCAGCAGTACCAATGGCCAGCATTACACCAGACAATCTTGAATCCGCACCTGCTCTAATGAACAACACACTGTTGGTGTAGACCAGGTAGTTCTGGATGGACCCAATTAGGCCTGAGAGAGTATTTGAGATTCCGTGAGCGAGAAGTTCTCTATCCACATCAAACTCATCCATTCCTACTGTAACTGCCAAGGCAGGAACATTGATGGGAACATGCAAAATCCCAAAAAACGTCAAGGCCAGCATTGTGGGAACCTGACGTACTACTACGAACCAATCAACTGCCTTGAAGTCATACAGTTCGTAGAAAGAGTACCATGGCTCGTTGGATGCAGGAGCATCAAACACCCAGCCATATTCCCTTGCCATTTTCAGATCCCATTGCGGTGCAACCAGGATAATCGCATGAAACAACAGAAACATCATGATGAAGTAAGCAGGAACAATAAGGGCATTTTTATTGTAATGCTGTATCACAACAAGTATACCAGCCATGAACAAGGGTATCACCCATTGCATAAACGCCAAAGGTTCCAGCAAGAACCTCAATGTGGGTAAGTTGTATTCAAGTCCGCCTTCCAGTCTGGAGGAAACCTCAATCGCAGTCACGACCAGAAAGTATCCCACACCTCCAATACATCCTACCAGTATGTGTCTGGGGAAGAAACCAACCAGAGAACCCAGTTTGAACTTTCCAAGAAGACCAAACACAATACCAGTAACGATAGACGAAAGGGCATACGTGAATACTACAGTACTCACAATGGCAGCAGCATTGTCTGGTACTTCCCCATCTCCAATTCTCATATCTGTGAGAATGCTCAGGGCCATGGAATGAAAGAAGGGAGTAACCTCAATCATCTCTGATCCAATTCCAGACTTGAAAGCAGATCCTCCAAGAGAATACACCAATTGAGACACCACACACGAAACATAAAACATGGACAAGCCAACTGGACCCAGCTTGCCGAACGTGGCCTCGCTAATAGGAAACATGATCATACCATATGAAAGTCCATCCAAGATGTTGAGAAGCACTCCCAAAAATACTGCTGGCATATATCCAACTGGTCTTATTACCAACTCCTGGAAGGCATCGTTGGAGTCTTTGGGCAATAGGTTCATCAGCGTCTGGATACCTGAGCTGAGCCTGGTCTGCTGAGACTCGAAATCGTATTGTTCTCTCGAGGCAGTGGGTGTGAGGGCCTCTTCAGCTTCCGCAGCAGTGGTGTACGATCTGAATGGGTCATGAACCGAACTGAGAGGAGTTGTCTCTTTGGGCGTGCCTGCTTGCTCCCACGAGGGAACCGACGCACCACCGTAACTGGGACCATCATCCAGCATCTCTGATAATCGCGAAGCCTTCGCATTGGATTTCGTCGATTGTTTATCAAATGAAAAGTCGTATGACTTGTCGATATCGGATCCGACTGGCTCGTCGACTTCTTCCTCACTAACCCTTTCATCGAAGTCAGGGACTCCAACACTGGCTAGGTCTATCGTCTTTTCCTGAATGGATACTCCCGAATGGACGGTGGGAGTTCCTTTGGCAGAATTCAAAGGAGTAAATGCTGAATTTTGTTTGAAACTTCCAATAACATATCCTCTTCCTCCTTGCTGATCAAACGAGAATGAGTTGTCGTGGAGCTGTCCTGCTGCCTTGGAGAACGAGGACGCTATCACGTTCGACACAGACTTTCTCCTCTTGTCAATGGCCTTCGGTAGCGAGCTATTAAAGGAAGCCATACCTCTGCAGGACCAAAAAAATTGGTTTTTATAGCTGTAATGGTATTGGAATGCAAATCGCAACTGGGAGGTTTTGTTGTAGAGATGTGATGAGGTGCTCGCCCTGGGGTTAACAACGGAAGTCTGTGTGGAGTCCAAAATACTGAAATGGGTCAAAAATGGGTCAAAAATGGGATAAAATAGGACTATACTGAAATCCAAAAGGTTATACGTGAATCTCGAATAAAATAGAGTTGAAAAATCTAAACTAAACCGTTATAGTAATATTAATGAAAGAATAGTCTAATTTCAACACTGTAGACGCGTGCATGCATTGCTAGTAGCCGTGCCGTTTAGAACGGTTGATATTTGAGGAACTATAGTGTGAGGTTTCTGGATATGGCAAATCGTTAAAAAGTCCAATACTCTTCAGTATTGTCATTCGCCTCATCTGACACATCAGGTATTTCTTTCATGTTTGGCGACATTTTATATGTCACTTACACCATATCTCCTCTAGATAGTTTGGATATATGCAGTAATGTGCACATCTTTCATTTGGCATCTATACATCTTCTAGGTAATATCTGCCATAACTTGCATATAGCATTAAGCTATATCTCACGTCTGAAATCAATTTTTGTCACGACATTATTCAAAGTTCATCCTTGACCTCTGATTCCTCCGAATCCTTGACCTCACCACAGTCAACAATCTTAATTGGGACCTTTGGAACGTCTCTGAATCCAGTTGGAGAGTTCTCAATCTTTCTGACGACATCCAGACCCTCAAGCACCTCGCCAAAGACAACGTGCTTTCCGTTGAGCCACGAGGTGGCCACAGTGGTGATGAAAAACTGGGATCCGTTGGTATCTTTGCCGGCATTGGCCATGGAAAGCAGACCTGGTCTGTCGTGTTTCAACTGGAAGTTCTCGTCAGCAAATTTTGCTCCGTAGATGGATTGTCCACCGGTTCCGTCACCTTTGGTGAAATCACCACCTTGAATCATAAAGTTCTTGATGACTCTGTGGAAGGCTGAACCCTTGAATCCCAATTTAGGATCCTCAGAGATACTCAGTTGGTAAAAGTTTTCAGCGGTTTTTGGAACAACAGAGCCGAAAAGACCAATCACGATTCTTCCCAATGACTCGTCACCGGCAACAACGTCAAAGTACACCTTGTGGGTGACTTCGGGGAGTTCCTGTAGATCTCCAGCAGCGTAAACCTGGTTCATGAAAAAGAACGCAGCTGCAAAAACAGCCAAAATTGCGGAAATGATCTTCATCATGGAAGGTGAAAAGTGGCAATAATGGTATAAAGACTTACTGAAAAGATAGGAAGACAGCTGAAGGTGTAACTGGCACACCTGGCCAGCAAAGGGGTTGGTGATGGAGCCCGGGCCTGCACAGCCTTGAAATCGATTCGTTGCTCCTTTCCACAAATTGATAACAACCCAAAATAAAGACCAAGAGATAGACTGTAGACTAGCTTGGGATGATATAGATGCAGTCTATGGACTGAAGAGGATAGTTAAACCACGGACATATTTCACCAAATGTTTCCCTGTGAATAACATGCCTTTGTCTACAAGACTACCTACTCTCTGATCCATTATTCAAATCGTATATTGACTAATGTACACACCCAATGTTGAGCCACCTTAAAACTTTAGCACATGAAACAACAAAAAACCCGTTAACTAAAATAAACAAATACACGTCTCTGACTTAGGAGGAGGCAGAAGAAGTGTACTTGGTAACAGCACGAGTACCTTCGGAAACGGCGTGCTTAGCCAATTCACCTGGCAAGATCAAACGAACAGCAGTCTGGATCTCTCTGGCAGAGATGGTGGACTTCTTGTTGTAGGCAGCCAACTTGGAGGCCTCAGAGGCGATTCTCTCAAAGATGTCGTTCACGAAAGAGTTCATGATGGACATAGCCTTCTGGGAGATACCAGTGTCTGGGTGAGTCTGCTTCAACACCTTGTAGATGTAAGAAGAGTAGGTCTCCTTTCTGGTCTTTGTTCTCTTCTTGGCGTCCGTAGAAGCGGCGGTCTTCTTACCGGCAGCTGGCTTCTTCTCAGCAGGGGCCTTGGAGGCGGGTTTCTTCTCAGCTTTTGGTGCCATTTTGTCTTTGAGTATTGATTGATTGAAAGAAGTGATTAAAATTCTTAGTCTAAGAAGAAAAAGAAGGAAATTCACAAGTATGTTGCTCCTAGAAAGGGGGCAAAACACAGATATATATATTCCCCAAAACTAAACACACCTTCACTGCATGTTTATTGAGTACTGAAAATTACCGTGGGAAATGTAGATCCTAGCACGGCCATCGCATGGATGAGCTACATGGCCATACTTAAGCTGCTCGTCTTTTTATTCAAAAATCCATCGCATTTTGCACTATTTCGCATCTTATCTACCGTGCTCAAATATATACACCAGTCCTGTATATCTCAGAACGATCCCTAAATTTAATTCTCCACTCTCATTGGCTAAAAAACTCGCAATCTAGCAGCTTTTTGCCACCAGAATCACAATTAAATTCAGCAGCGACCTAATATATAAACCACCAATATTCCCCCCTCTTTGCGTGTGCAGTTTCCTTTTTTTTCTCCACGGTTATACAACTAATAATCTCAAACACATAATTATACACAA